CTTTTTCTTCCTCCATGGTATCATCAAACTCCAGTGGCCACATCAGAAACAAAGACAAGATTCGCGTCTTTATATATATACGAGCTCAAATTCGCACAATGTTTGGGGGGAAAGGTTTCGTTCGGATTGTCAAGATCAAGACCAAGATGATGCATTTTTACACAGCATTCTCAGCCTTGTCGCCGCTCGTCCTAGCTCTGCTCGCTTCCATAGCGGCAATAGACGGCGGCTTCTCGTTGTCCTGGTGGAGGTGGCTGTTGTGCCCATTGCTCAGCGGCGCAGGCATCTCATCGTCATCAGGCTCGTCAGCCGGCGCGGCAAAGGTGGGCGCGTACGCAGACTTGGCGCGGATCTTGTGACCCCAAATGTAGAAGATGACGGGGATGGGCACAAGAGCGATGGCGACGCAGCCGAGCAAGGTCGAGGCCCACTCGATGCCCATGCCGTTGAACATGTAGCTCGCAAACAGCGGGAATCCGGCGCCGCAGAGGGAGCGGAGAAAGGTGTTGCCCGCAATGGCGGAGGCGGCGAACATGAGGTAGGCGTCGACGAGGTAGTTGAGGGCCTGGAGGAAGATGGACATGAGGCCGAAGCCGGTGAAGAGGCCGCTGAGGGTGGGCACGATCCAGTGGATGTCGGCGCGGTAGCCGGACCAGCCGAACCAGAAGATGCCGATGGCGAAGAAGACGCCGCCGGCGATGACGCTGGGGAGACGCCACTCGGGGATGGGGACGCCGTTGTTGGCCTTGAGCTTGCGGAGGTACCACGGCTGCTGGAGGAGGACGGTGACGCCGGCGATGAGCTGGCCGGTGATCATGCCGAAGAAGGTGAGGCCGGACTGGCCCGCGCCGAAGCCGTGGACGCCGCGGAAAACAAAGGGGTAAGCCGTCAGGAAGAGGTAGAGAAGGCCGTAAATGAAGGCCATGTAGACGGACAAGGCGGTGACGATGGGCTCGCCAAAGAGGAGGCGCATGGGGCGGGAAAAGTTCTTGTTGATGAGCTCCTTGAGGTCGATTTCGATTTCTTCTTGCTTGGCGTGGATGCCCCAGTTGCGGGTGCGGCGGCGCAGCTCCGAGGCCTTGCTGACGAGGATGACGGGCGGGTACGTCTCCTCGAGGAAGAAGAGGTCGAGGAAGAAGGCGAGGAAGCCCATGAAGGACGGGATGTACTCGGTCCAGCGCCAGCCAAGGTACGACTCGACGATGAAGCCGCCGATAAAGGGGGCCAGGAGCGGGCCGGTGAAGACGGCCATGGAGAAGACGGTGATGGCGGTGCCGCGGGTGCGGTTGTCAAACATGTCGGAGAAGACGGCGGCGACGACGGCGAGTGGGCACGCGCCGAAGAAGCCGGCGAAGAATCGGCATATCAAAATCGTTTGGAGGTCCTTGGCGACGGCGCAGCTAATTGTGAAGATGGAGAAGCCAAACATGGAGAGGACGAGGGGTAGTCTGCGGCCCCTCAGCTCGGAAAGGGGTGCCCAGAGGGTCGGGCCGAAGGCGAAGCCCAGGACGTAGAAGGAGACGCCGAGGGTACCGACGGTGGCGGAGACGTTGTATTCCGTTGCGATGACTTGCGTCGCCGCTGAAAAGATACTCGAGGTGAAGGCCGACGTCATGGTGGTGTAGCCAAGCATTGCGGCTGTAAGCAACCTGTGGGCCAAGACATGTCAGTTGCTAACGTCCCCCAGCCAGATTTTGTCTTACAATATACTTGACAGTTGCATGACAATTGCGATTGGCAACTTACTTCTTCTTAATCGGCCAGTTCTGCGCGTGCAGAGGATCCTCCGGTCCATCAAATTCCACAACGTAGTCCTCCTGCTCCGGCAGAGGCGGCGGGTACGGCTTGCCGGCGCCCATGGCCGGCAGAGGCCTCCTCGACTCCCTGCTCTTGATGCTGCGGCCGACGGTGTTGGAGTGCTGGCTGCGGGCGGTGGCGATGCGGCTCAGGGCCGTCGGGTGACGCTCGAGGTCGTTCTGGGTCGAGACGCGGCTGAGGCCGGTGCCGGTGCGGTACGCGGCGGTGCGGTCGGCGGCGTGCGAGGCCGTGGAGGAAGAGGTGGAGGAGGAGGAGGCGGAGTGGACCCGTTCGATCTCGTGGCTTTCGCGGCCGTGGTAGCGGTTTGGAGAGGCGGCGCGCTCGGCGTCCGCGATTTCGCGGTCGACTTCGTCCATTGCCATTGCTGTGGACGATGTCGCTTTGGGCTGGTGGTGGGTGGTGGGTGTTGGTTTAGGTGTTGTTTTGAGATGCTGATGCTGGCAGAAGATGCCTTAACAAAGTGAAGAACGGATCAGGGTGTCTCGCGACAGATCAGGCTGTATGTATATAACGCCAATGGCCAGAGACTTGTCTTGGGCGCAATGTGGTACTGGAGCAAAGAGCTCATGCAATGGTGCGTTGTGCTGACAGGTAGCTTGGAGCTATTATGAAGGCGGCGCGCCGAACTAGCTACGTCAATCTAGTGTAATGAGGAATAAAGGGACGGCGATATGATGTAGGGCCGTCTCCCAAGGTATTGTAGCGCCAGTCAGACTTGGGGGGAGGTCTAGATCGGGGACAATGGTAGAGAGTGCGCGTGTATGTATCCGTAGGAGGGGTATAAACTGGAGATGATGTTTGCACGATCAGGCAAGTTGGGTGGTCCCTTTCGTCTTATGAATAATGGATTTGTCTGGGCGTTGTCTGAAGATCCAGAGATATATGAGGGGGATGGGGAAGATGAAAGATCAGTTCAGATGAAGAAGCAGTGTATTAGTGAGGATGTGGGTTGAGAGAGTGGATGGGTAAGCAGACTATAGGCGCGCAAAGGCCGAGGCGAGGGGGTACTATGTATGGAGATAGGAAGACGAAGCAAGACGAGGATGAAGAGGAAAAAAAATCAGATTTGTCAAGTCAGGTATGAATGACTCTGCTCTCAGCTGATGGATGGGAGCCGGTACATCTCCCGGGTGACCAAGCCAAGGGGGAAAGAATGTGTGAGGACTCGAATAGGTCTGGTAGCAAATGGGTAGCAATGGGGTCGGCAAAGTCCCACTTGGGGAGGCCCAAAAGGAGAGATCCATGGAACATCCGCGGCCGACATGCCTGCTGAGATTTTCTTCTGGCAGTGCAAAATTTTTTATTTTATTTACTTGCGCCCATACTACGTACAAAACATGGAAAGACTCGGCAAGGAGTTCGGCATCATAAAACAAAAGCGCGAACGACACGAGCCGATCGGGAAAAGGGTGTGGCCCAGGCACAGGTACAACTGCAGAAAGGAGGAAAGACAAGTGGGCCCGGACGGGGCCGGAGGCGGTAGCCGGCACTGCAACCTGGGAAATTTGGTGATGGAACATGGAACCAAGCCGAGGGATGGGCAGGTGGGGTTTCGATCTTGGCCTTTTGGTTTGTCAGTGTGTCGCAGCTTTTGTTTTTCCTTTCCTATGCAGCCGTACCCTTCCTTCCCTGACCCGATCGCGTAGGGTCGATATAGCCCAGGGAGGCAGTGTCGTTACAAATTCGAGATGCTGCAGGAAATTTCTTACAAATGCGGTTCGTTCTTAGTCGCTTTCCAAAGTTTAATGTAGACAGAGGCACTCGTGCGGCAGACAGAGGGAGAAGGTATGGATTAGACTTCCGTCATCCAATAAGACTACCAACTTCATCCATCCGGGAAGGAACACTCAATCGAACTTTTCGCAGGGTTTCTGCACACCACAGTCCTCCATATGGCTCGAGCAGAGTACGGAGTAGTCACGCCAGTTACACGGCAAATCAGAGTTTAACCATGATCTTCCTGAACCCGCGCCCTAAACCAGTAAGCCAATTAACTAGAGTTTTTGCTAATCGGTCGGATCCGACGAAAGCCATGGTACGGAATACTTCGTAGGGATGTGAGAGAAAGGTTAATACCGGGTAATTATGATGTCACTGGGGCTGGGCAAGTCTGGACTTAAGCAAAAGGCGTGGTGCGTCCGAGAGAGAGAAGAAGACGACGGAATCCGTATGTACACTACGGTAAAAAAAATTTTTACCTATCACGGCAATCGACTCCACCTAGTGTCAATTCGTTTCCAGACTCCAGTTGTGAAAAGTGTCACTCTTCAGGCTTCTTCTGTTGATCTGTCTCCCTCGGCCCCGCGCCCTTTCGGAACCAACCTACGGATACCTTACATACATATGCACTGCTTTAGTCATCAGCCTTAAACGTCACCTTGCGTCTGCACTGCACCGCACCGTCTGCCACTTTTTCCTGCAGCACTGACTAAAAAAACGTGCACAAGTGACAACGCCACGGCATCCCCGGCCGTGTGCATCCAACTTTGCTCGGTGTATGACCGTGTCTACAACGCCGAATGACTACCTTAATTAACTACCTGCCTATGTGGGATGATGAATAGGTGATTCCACGAAGAATGCTTCAAGTATGGCAATAGAAGAATGTCATGAATTGAACAGCAAACACACAAACAGATCTTGTCAGAAAAAAAAGGAATCCCAATCAACAGCAAAAGAAAGGGGCATACGGATTGACGGTAAAATTACCAGTATCCCCTTCAAGGCTCCAGGAGGATGATCGTGGGTCCTTGAGTAGTACAGCCCCTCGATGTCTCATTTTCTCTACAAGTTCATCCACAATTTTCCCAGCGAGCCGCGGTCTTCGGCCGCTGTTGTAGACCCTCTCGCCGAATGCCCAACACAGCCCAATGCCGCTTGTTGCCGCCTTCCTGGGTTCCGCCCTCCCAGGCTCCGAAGGCTCTCCCCCTCCACGGAGCGGAAGATGGGCCTTTCACCCAGAGACCAGAGCGAGCCGTCGCCGTCAGGAAAGAAACAAGAGGGAAAGATAACCCGAATCGGTCGGGTCCCCACTCACACTTGATACGACGATTCAAGTGTTCCAGAAAGGTCTAGAACGCTTCTTTGCCCCCCCTCCCTTCTCTATCCGTCAGCCTGTCAGGTACATCAAGATTTTCCCCCCTCGAGGAGTCGAGCGATATAGATATGGTATCCGTAACATGGTACACGAAATCTCATTTTTTAGTGTAATTGACTGTTTTGATTCGGTCTTGTCATCTAAAATATGTAAAATACCAGGGGGATCCCATCCACCCTTCGTAGTGCAAAGAAAAAAACAAGGGTCCCCCATATGGACAAATGCACAACCATGCCAAAGGTCCCGGCAATTCGGGGCTATCGTCGGACGCCCCATCCATTCTCCAGCAAATTCGTCGCCTCCTCGAGACTCAACCCTGACGTCTCGGGATAGATGCGCCAGATGAGCCCGTAGCCCACCAGACACACCAACGCGTAGAGCACAAACGTCCACGACGGGCTCAGCGCGTCCATGAGCGGGAGGAACGTCAGGCCCACCACAAAGTTGGCGCCCCAGTTCGTCGCCGTCGAGACGCCGCTGCCAATGGACCGCACCGCGAGCGGGAACAGCTCGCTCTGCATCCAGGGGACATTGCCCAGTCCCAGCGCGTACGCCGCGACGTAGCCCATGATGCTGACGAGGATCAGCACCGCCGCGCCCCTGTCTGTGCCCGCGCCCTCGCCCGTGCCACCCTCCGAGGCCGCCACCGTTTCGGGCCGGAGGTCGACGAAGGAGAAGCCGTATGCGGAGAGCATCAGGCCCGCAATCATGAACGGCAGAGAGTAGAGCAGGATCTTGCGTCGCCCGATGCGGTCGATGAGACACAGCGCCGCCACCGTGAAGATGAAGTTCGTCACGGCGACGCTCATGGCGGTGAGCGTGGGCGTGCCGAAGCCGACCATTTTGAAAATCGTCGCCGAGAAATACATGAGCGAGTTGAAGCCGCATAATTGCTGAAGGCCCTGGAGCAGGCAGGTGATGACCAGCGCGCGCTTGTTCCTCCCGACGGAGAAGAGCTCCTGCCAGCCTCCCCACCACTCCATGCGCGGCGACCCTTCCCGCCTCATGACCTCCCTCTCCTCCCTGATTTCGATTTCAATCTCCTTGATGACGGCCTCGGCGTTCCTCATGCCGCCAACGGTGTTGCCCAGCACCCTCTCGACGACCTTCTTGGCCTTGAGCGACTGGCCCACCATGACGAGCCAGCGCGGAGACTCGGGCATGAGGGCGAGGATGGAGCACTGCAGCGCCGCGGGGAGCGCCCCGAGACCGACCATCCAGCGCCATCCCGTCGACTGGTCGCCGTACTCGGCAAACGCCCAGCCGATGATGTACGCAACCACCTGGCCGAGCGTGATGAAGAGGACGTTCATCGTCACGAGCCGGCCGCGGTGGCTGGCGGGCGCGAGCTCGGCAATGTACAGGGGCACGACGAAGCTGGCGGCGCCGACGGCCAAACCAACGATGGACCGCCCGATGACCATGGAGGTGACGGTGCCGGCCCAGGCCTGCATCAGGGCGCCGAGGATAAAGAGGATGTCGGCGACGAAGATGACGCGCTTGCGGCCCAGGGCGTCGGCGACGATGGAGGAAAAGGGGGAGACGAGGAGGGCGAAGAGGGCGGTGCTGGAGGTGATGATGGACTTGTCGAATGTCGTGAGGATTCGGTTCGATAGGGAGGTGTCGATCTTGACGAGCGTTGCTGATATTACGCCCGTATCATCTGCGCAAAACGAGTTAGTATTTCTCTGTTCTACTGCCGTGGCAGAATTGGGGTGCCCAAACTCACATCCAAAGAGCAATCCGCTGATGCCGGCAGCAAATGTGAGGAGCCATACAAATAGACTCGGACCCGATTGGCGTGCATGCTTCATGGACGCGGGTAGCACGTCGGCCTCCTCATCCGCGTCCCGGTAGTCAAGCTCGTCGTCCCGGTCCTGGCGGCCGGCCATCAGCGGAGCATCGATCGAGTCGGGCATTTTGGCGGTAGATCCACGCCAAAAAGGTTAGTGTTTGGGGGGGTTATGTGTCGTGTCTGTCGTGTCCCTTTTTCATCAAATCTGTCGCAAATTGTCGAAGAGAATGCAAAAGAGAATTTGGGACTGCCTTTCAAGAGGCCATGCTGCGGAGTGCGTCTCGGCACCGTCGGTCGGAGGAGAATAGAAGGATGGGAGGCGTAAAAGCTAGGTGATGGCGATGCTCCGAGTTTCCTAACAGCGTGATGCCAGCCACGTTACGTGTTTAGAGTTGAGATGTCGTAGCCTCAAGTCCTCCCTGGGGGTCCGGAAGCTTGGGGCCTTGCGGGGCACTTTGTCACCCAGGCCCCATGCACCCCAACTATTTCGGGGATACTTTGGTGTCATATGTGGCGCGGCAGGGAGAAGAAGTATCATCTTATCTCACAGGCCAGGCGGGAGGGCCGCATCTATCGCCCGAACCAGTCAGCTTCAACACTCCGTGAATCCGAAACTCGGCAGGTGTTCACCGCCCTCCACCGCCCTCCACCGCGAAGCACTGATCATTTGCGCAGCGGAATGAGGAGCCGCTCAGACGTCGTCATCTTCTGGACAACCGAGTTCTCTTGGAGTGTTATGGGTGTTGTTTGGCGATACCAAATACTGTAAAGGGGAAATTGTGACAGTCTTAAATCCAGAAACTGGCCAGAAGCTGGCTGACCATTATGTCAGATGGCCGACCGGCTTCTGTTGAGGGAACTGCGAAAGCAACTTTTGACGGGACTCACGACCAGACCAGGGCCCGTAACTCTAGATTTTGAATTAAACACAGAGTTGCAAAGTTTCAACGTTGGTTTGTCGCCGTGCTCTTTGCTCGGCAGACACATCCGCAACGTGAGACGAGTCAAGATGTAAATGTAAGTAAGGCCTATAAGAAACGTACTTTACGTACCTTGCCTAAGATAGGTACTCATGTGGCGCAACTCCAAGAGGGCCACTGCTTTCCGATGGATACAGGTAGCTCAATCTTGTAGACGCCGCTTCGAAATGCTCAGATTTTCGCATCGAGTGAGCCAAGCAAGCCTCCGTCACGACGCCTTTCTTGGTATGCCGCTTTGCCATCATTTTGATCCGAGCTTTCAACTTCAGATCAACACGGTTCTCCGGACTTCTTTTGCGCGCTTGGCCATTTCGGGTGACTGAAGAGTTGTTGTTGCTGGATACCCACCGCAGCCAATAGACGGTGAGCTCAAGTACATGAGGATGTCGCACATTGTGTTCTTGATCGTGGGACCTTGGCTTTGGAAATAGCGTTGCGTCTCACAGATTTCGACATTGTCTATGGTCCATGATAGAGTATCTCTCACTGCATGTCATAATATAAACATCTAATCGGCTGTGTAGTGTGTAGATAAGGCACGCCATATCGCGTGGGTTTTGTCACCTTTGTGGTATGGACCGAATGGCTTTGCCGGTGACACACTTACCATCACCAGCGCCCGTTTCTTTCGTTTTCCAAGACTTGCAGCGGGCCAATAGACGCGCGATCGAGAGAGTCGACCTATTTCGGTGGCTTTTGTTGAACATCCGCCAAGCGGGGAACCAAGACTTTGCTTGGCTAGAGGTAGCACAGCACACCTCTGAATTGCTACTACACGGATGAGGCATCTCTTCGAATGTCAAGAAGACCTGCTCTCTTTTTATTAGATTCAAGTTTCCTTGGAATCTGTGTTGAGTTTCCGAGGCATGGTTGTATCGACATTGGGCCCCGGTTCATCTTTCAGACCCGGCCTGGGCCTAGGCCTTTGAAGCAACAGACTCCGAGTTCGACGACAAAACTGCTAGTGCAAGAAATGGGCACCTTGCAGCATGCGAGGTAATGAGGAAGCTTGGGTAGACCGTAGGGAGGCACAACATGGTACATTTAACTCTCGGGCTACATGTGGTCGTTGCAAGTCGTTAGTTTGTCAGATGTCAGATGAGGATGGTGCAGGGAGAGACGCTTGCGGGCCTAGCTTTGCGGGCGCGAAAGAGTCTCGCCCGGATCCTTGAGCGGACACGATCTATTCGTAGGAACGCCGGTAACCTATTCTTAAGGTACACAGAGAGCGCTTTTGTGCGTCCCGCCAAGGCAACGGTTTGTTGGGCAATGAATAGTGAGCATGAGGAAGAGTTCGTGTATCGATTCAATCAACGTCAAGTGAGAAACGACAACCTATCAAGCAAGCGTAAACATACGGCAAATGTCGAGTAATCCGGGGGATCGCCACCAGGGTGAGCGTCGAGTGAGCATGTGGAAGAGCATACCGGGAGTCTCTAGTCGTAAGGAAAAGGGCGGTAGTAAATTCTGGGAGGGTAATAGGGTAGTGCGTCGATCTTGTTCTTCCTTGTTGCTGTCTACCTCTGCTTACTGACTTGAGCACCGCATATATCGAGTGGAAGAAGAAGTTGAGATAGTTCGGAAGCGGGCCTAGGGCCACTCCGAGAGCCTGGGACAGATCTGGCGATCGTGATTACCAACAACTGTCAACTCGGCTCAGTACCAGGGCAGGCCGCAGCCGCGATAGGAGAGCTCTTGTCGTCTGGAGGAGGAATTCAGGAATTCTACCTTCCCTTCCCTAAGGTGACCTGGAATTAGTAAGGAAAGGTAAGGTAGGTATGAGGTGGCCGGCTGGAGGTCAGCGAAGTATGGTATGTACCTGTACTTTCGTCCCCCTCCCACTCAGATGAGGAACGCACACGGAGCAAGTCCGACCCCACCACTGCATTCCAGCTTCCACCTTCCATTGTGACCTTGCAGCATGAGCAGCACCAGTAGCAGCTTCCGTCTGGACCTCCCCGCTTCCACCATTCCTTCCTCCTCCCGTCAAGCAAACCGACCTCCACTCTCTCCACTGACACCGGCCGGCGGACGTCAAGAGCCTAGCACTCCGACTCTCATCCTGGCAGTTCACTTCTGCATCACAATCCTTCGCTCCCGACCGCAACTCGGACACCAGTCATGACATCCTGCCCGCTCCGGTGTCCAATCAAGCAAGCCTAGAGACACTCGATGGTTATCAAACCAACATGGTGCCGCTGGGTGAATCGTGATGAGGTGAGGCCGGGGGCATGCTCATGCTCATGCTAATGGTCCAATGGAGAATCTGCACCTCGCCTGCCTCGTCGCCCGCAATACCTCTCCTGGTGCAGCAGGGTATCCGTACTCCGTACACTACGGATATACGGGCACTATCTTGACAACAAGACTGCACAACGTCTCGTTCAACAGCTCGTGTGCTGCCCCGGAATCTGCTGTGATCAGACATGGCATGGCACGATGCAGGGTTTAGCCAAGACAGCGAGTATCCAAGCGCGTGGCTCTCGAGCTCCCACTCCCAAAAAAAAAAATTTAAAAAAAAAAATTTGCCCAAAAAGCATACCCAAAACGGCACACTACGACCCTCCCGTGCCTCCCTCGACACCAACCATTGATCTCTGTGTCCCAACCCGTCGATTGCTATTCGACAGCCACCGATCGATGGAACCTCCTGCTGGTGCCGGGGAGCCTAAATGAACCGGGGGCTCTCGCAGAAGAGTGTGTGGATTGAAGGAACCAGTTGGGAAATCCTGGCTTGCGGCCTGCCTCTTGCCAGGCAATGAGCCAGCCTGCCGGTGCCCACCGGTTGAACCGCCGCCCTCCCGGCGGCCAGACTTTGAAAACGCCCGCTCGTCTGCGCAGTGCGGTGCTCCCATTTGTCTGTTGGCTCGTCGAAGCCTGTTCACGGAGCCGACGAGCATATTTCCCCTCCAAGACAGCTCAGGTCAGGCCAGGGCATGCCGTACGCCCTACCGAACCGCTGCCATCCTCGTTTCCTGTCGCGCAATGATATAGAATACTGCCCATCTTTCGAGGCGGACGTCGGATACAAGACATTAACACTTCGGAAGCTCAACGTTGAAAAAGATATGCCCTTGGAGTGGGGGTTTCTCTCGACGACCCCTACCAACCGCATTACATCTTTGGGGATACCCCACCATCGCCCACGCTGTACGCTGCGAGCCATGACGTTGGCTAGCCAAAACCCCTGATAGAGGGGTCCCCCTCAGGGTCTTGAGTACGAGCCTACGATGTGCGAGCCTGCGAGGTGCGAGGTGCGAGGTGCGAGGTGCGAGGTGCGAGGTGCGAGGTGCGAGAGTCAGGGAGCGGGCTGGCTGCGCGATGACCTGATGCGACGAGCATCGTTGATGTCGCGTGCATTCAACAGACATTCAGTCGACGCCAACGCACGCCAAGAGTGCCTTCATTGTTTAACCCGCACGGCATGGGGGATCGGCCAAGATGCGCTGTGTACCTACACTGTAGTGTAACAGCAGGAGAGGGCAAGCCCACGTCCAGCAAGTGCTAACTTACAATGTACAATGCCATGCACCCCGGGTGCGTGCGGCATCCCGCCAGCGAACTTCGAAAGCGTGCCTGTCGGGCTGCCAGAGCGAGTTTGGCGCTTTTTGCCGAATAGACGACGGACCCAAGGTTAACAAACACAGAAGAGATGGCTATCACTCATCCGTACCATATGGGACAACCATCACTCTCGGACTCGAAGGTTTTCTTATCTCGCCGCCAGCCCGGCCAATGAGCTTACCACGTCATGCGAGCCACAAGCTCAGAGCTCCCCATCACGAGAGTGCCGACAAAGTAAACGCAACTTGAGAGACTCAGGGGAGATCTTCCACCGGGCACCTCGAGTGTACTGTACCACCGTCTACGAATGCTACGACGGCCACGGCAGCGGCAGGCTTACGAGTAGGGGACAGGGTTCGGGTGCTTCGTACAGGTACAGATACAAGCAGCCGTCCCGCAGACCTCGTTCCCCCCCTTCTCCAACTGAAAGACGCAGACGGGGCGAGGGCACGCAAGAATGAGACTGAAGGCTCATGCAACCGCGCTTGCGCCCGCAAGCCGTACGCCGGGGCCTTCTTCGCCTTCTGTTACTAGTGTGTTGCCAACCTTGCCCCCGCTATGCCGCCCGCTGCGTCCCCAAAGGCAAAAGCCAAAAACGCCCCATCCTTGGGTGTGTGGACTTGCTGATACTGGGCAACTGTAGACGAGTGTTGGGGCCCATTCTGGCCCATGAGGAACGGGGACAAAGGTACCTCTGCTTACGTCTTTGCGAGACGCGGTACAAGGGCTGAGGGCTGCCGCGAAAGCCAAAGGTAAGGGTAAGCTGTCTTCTCTCTTTAACTGAGGGTGCCCGAACATGGAAGCAGACGTGGACGGACGGACTCGACATGGAACTGACCACCAACCCGACACTTCCTCTGACCCCATGAAAATAATTCTGTTCCCGTCCAGTACCGATCTGATCTGCTTCGTCTCAAACATAAACCTCACACACTCCCAATAATCTCTTTAACTGGTCTTATTCTGGCAGCTCACAGCTCCCACACCCCGAATTCCGGCTGCTTCTCCCCCAAGAACCGGGCTCTGAGGCACGCGGTAATGCAGCCTGTGTCGTCAACGTGCTAGACGGCAGGCACGTCACCGCATTTCAGGGGCCAGCAACTACGCGAAGCAACCCAGGATACGCCAAAAAAAAAAAAAAAAAAAAAAAAACCACCCACCAAGTGGAACATCGAGCCCGTGTGAGCCAGCTACACGCGGCTGACCCGACGTCTCCGCAAGGTTGAACGGCCGTCACGAGACCAATCTCAGGATTTTTGGACAACGGGCGCCATGGGTCAGTGGTGGGATGCTTCAAAGATTGACGCTACTGTCACGAGACAGTTCGTCTGTCAGTACCTTTTACCAGAGGAGATTGAGCGCTTAGGCCGACCACTAGCTTTTGGTGACGGCTTGACGGATGAGACGTACTGGGACTGGATCAACAACAAGGCCAAACGCATCTTCTTGATCCTCGTCGACCTCAAGATTCCAGATCAGATCTTCGGCATCGTCGACGACTCGTGGGACGACCATGACTTACCCATTTCTTCCGAGCATGTCGAGCGGCTCAGGTTGACGGCTCAGAGGGACGACAAGATTGAACGCAAGTTTTTCAGTCGTCAGTTCACCTACTTGCTGAAGCCCTTCCAACGAGGCGACCACGTCGTCTTCAATGAGTACGAAATTGTCCCTCTCGAGGTCATCGAGCGCCGACCGGCGGGGAATACTTCGGTAGACAAGGTTGTTCTCCCCAACTGTCCCGGTACAGTCTTCTACCGACGCCGCATCCCGCTTGGGAACGGCTTCGGCCAGCTTTCCAAAGGCGAGTTCGTTGAGATCATCAACAGCATCAGGGGGATCCAGAATGACCACTTGGTATCCTACTACGTGTCATACACGCAGATCGGTGCGGCATACGTCCTCTTCACGCCTGCTACCGACTCCAACCTGAAGTCTTTCTTTGGCAACACGCCATCCAATTTCAAGAATCTTCCCAAGAAGGAACGGAGGCGGACGGTTATGAACTGGATCCTCTGCCTTGCCGACACCCTCGCCTACCTTCACAGCAGAAGGCTATGCCACGGGAACATCAAACCTTCATCTATACTCTTCACCAGCCAACTTCATATTTTCTACTCGGATTTCACGAGACTAAACGCCGAGGTTTTAGCCGGTTACACGGACAAGAATTCGTTCGACCGGGAGTCATACGACTATGCAGCCCCCGAGCAATGGTTTCGCCCGACAGGCGGTCCGACGAGTCCTTTGGGTCGTATGGCGACGATGGCGATATCGACGTCTCCGGAGACGCACACCAATTTCTCCATTCCGAGAAGTGACAACCCGGGTAGCCCGAATGCGATGTTGAACACGCCCAACCCGCATCTGAACCCGCAAGCTGCCGACATCTTCTCCCTCGGCTGTGTCATATTGGATCTGGTGAGCTTCCTCGTCAAAAAGACGACAAAGAGTTTTGCCGCACATCGTGCTGCCAAGCACAAGACCCCCGGTCGCGGTGGTGCCGTGTTGGATTCGTCATTCCACAAGAACCTCGGACAGGTCGAGTCTTGGATGTCGACATTGGCAAAGGAGGCGTCAAAGAAGGTCTCCGAATCCGACGGAGGTTTCGTGTTCCGAGGCATCGTACCTCTGATGCATATTGTAGCCCGTATGCTGTCGGCGAATCCAATGGATCGGCCCTCGGCGGCCGAGGTGCAGACTCAAGTCTACCAGATGTTGACCAAATACTGCGACATCAAGGAGCCTCACTGCGTTCATCAATACGGAGGCTGGGACTTTGGCATGTCACACTTGCGCATACAGCCCATCAGCCCCAACGCCGAACTCATGCCGCAGCCTATCCGACAGAACTCAATACCGCAGCTGCTGCGACGTGGCAGCGAGAGCATTGGCAGCATCAGTCCGAGAGGGTTGTCCCATTCGAGAACGAACAGCAGCGGCGGTATGTCGAATAACAGCGGGATGAGTAGTGCGGCTAGCAGCGACCAAGACCGAGACCTCGGCCCCGGATTCACTGCCATTCGGAATATACGGGTGCCACCGGTACGATCACCCGGGCCATGGGACTCGAGCCCCGGTGTTCAGGGCGGACGTGGTGACCAAGCTCCGGTGTATTGAGGACACGCATGCTCCATCGACGCGAGGCCCGCATGAAAGGGCGAGGCAGGACGGCTCATGAGCGATATTCAAACCTTTTTTTTTTTTTTTTTCTTTTTTCCATTGGGTTGGCGCAGTCCCGATATCGATACCACACACAATGCCGCCTGGATTTTGCATCAGAATCTGAATGTTAGATAAACAAGGGCGGGGAGAATGCGCGCTCGAGGTCATGGCATGAAATGTTTTGATGGTGTTTTGTTTCTTTTGTTGCTCAGCGATACCTCTGCCGCAGTTGCCCATCGCACATAGGTCTGCACACAAAGCAAGCCCTAACCATAGTCGCAAAAAGAGAAGTCGAGATAGGAATGAAGATTCGACATTGAAATCATTTTATCCGTACGTGGTTGTAATCATCGAATGACCAATGGTTTCTTCTTCATGGATTGACTGTTACGTACGGGGGCTCGAGCCGGGCCATCTACCTAGCAGCGGGTAGGTAGTGTAGTGTGAGGAGGGCGGGGCAAAGATGGGGAAAAAATGAATAGGTAGCGCGGGGATGGAACGACCACGAGAGCGAAAGGGAGGGGGGGACGAAGCGGTCCCTTTTTGTACGTAACGAGTTTTGCTAGCAATGACTTTTTTCCTTGCCTAACGCTGGTCCTCTTTGATTTCAATACCGACACCCAGGGTAATTTCCGCTGGTTTGCTGGTAAGAATGGCATTATTCGTACCACCGGTTACGTGATGGACGTGAATCCATCGAATGGGCAGTTTACATGACAAACGGAATTCCAAAGAGGCTTTTTTCTTAGCAGGGGGGGTTGTCTGTGAGCCTGTGAGGAGTAACGAGTGAGGTGAGGCTTCCTCATCCCTTTTGGGGTGTTGGGGGCGACGGCGGCGGCGTGCCGCACGAACTGCTTCTTGGGAACACTGCGACAGCGAATCACATTTGGGTGGCTAAGGTCGCAACAGCCTGGCATGCTTGTTGGTTCGTCTTGCCCACCTGCCTGACTGAGGAGGCAGGATTGGGATTGAAGCTGTTCGGGGCAGCGGGGGAATCGAATTGAACCGGACTCTTTGGGCTTTTGCTTGTGCAATGTACGGGATAGATGTGGTTTTGAATGGGATTCCGAGCTGGTTCGTGTTTATTTCGAATACATGGTATGGAGTACTCCGTACATACAGCTGTTGAACTCATCCCTGCGAAACGGATGAACCCCGCGTTTTGGAAGAGGGAACCAAAAAGATACAAGCGGGGGGGATGGATAAACTTCATGGGTCGAGGTGGTGCGACGACGTTTCCTAGCTGCTGAGACCCTAAGCAAGTCTTTTGGGTACAGCTGTCCGTACAGTGTAAGATACGGATGTGTTGAATTTGCGTTCATGGTTCTCCTGAGTCTGGTATTTGAGGTTTCGTTTATGGGCGTAAGGATGATGATTACGTGCTCCTCCGAGTTGGGTTTCCGGTTCCATGTATATCCTAATGTGTAAGTCGAACATGAACTTGGACATGTTTTCCTCTTATGCTTTGCTTCTTTTCGTTGTTGATGTCGAGCTTGTTAGTGGGGTGTGTAGTACGAATTCACGGAAAAGTTTGTTCGAGTCGTCTAGCAGATGGCGTTGGATGTGATGGGAAAGCCACACAAACTAAAGGTAAACCAGGCCGAGAACGCGAGCTTGGATTACATCGGGCTTTAGCCCTCGACGATGCGGTACTTGAAGAAGGTATGCTTCCAAGGTAATCAATGTCCTTTGCTGTCGGATGCTGGTTGGCGTGGAAATGTAAGGGTCCGACTTAACATCGCTGTGGTGAACTGCGGAGAGGGAGATGAACACGGGCAATTGGTACTCTCGAGGCCTTTCGTTTTCTGACTGGACTGAGTACGTGTATCTGCATTAGTTCTACCTGTCTGCTTACTGTCCCACGGGGATTAGATCCCGCGTGGTGATTGTTTCTTGTCGTTGACTAAAGGGTTTGAGGTTGTAGTAGAAATGTGTAATTCATATTGTTATCCAAAACCGTTACTCATACTTCCAAGTGCCACTGGACTTATGGGGCAATTCGTTCTGTTTTCACAACTTTCAGCTAGCGGGAGTTAGAACAATTGAAGTTGCTCATGGTGTTCCGGGGGCAGGGTAGTTCTGTTGGCTGAAGATCTGTTCTATCATGGTCATGGGCGCGTAGGTGGTGATGTGATGTTCGAGATGTGTGTAAGTCGCTCGTCCTCTCGGAAAAGCCCTGATAGTTCTCAATTCTATTGAGTCAAGAACTTTAAATGGAGTTCTTGACACTGTAATCGCTTTCAATGATATTGTATAATGAGCCCTTTAGTTCCAAGTATACCTCAGGTTCGATGTCATTGTTGAAGGCAGACGTGGGATTGAGTGTAGACCAGAAGCTCGTCTATAAATCTTATCAGAAGAAGGAAATCTGCTAGAGTCCCTGAACAGCATTATTCTCTAGCCCTGCAGAGGTTTGTTAGGCCTTCATACATGATAGATCCATGGTATTAGTCCAGTCTCTTCTCCGTAGACTTGTAGTTCACGACTACCTCAGGTATTCTTCAGAAATCCCTCATCCTGCAAACTTTTCACAGTGATCCCAGGCAATCCTATTCTACCGAAGAAAGTAGGATTCGGGACGGCTACGAGAAAACGACTGAAATGGAGAATAAATGGGAGGCAAATACAGCTAGACATGCCGCTGAACCAGTCAGGCCAAAGACGATGTACCTACTCTCAGCTCCGAACCTCGTCTTGGATATGCCCGACAACATCGAAATACGGCGACTTCTTGATCCGATCCTTGTTATACTGAATTAGATCCGTTTTATAGTGAGATTAAGGTCATAAAGATCTCGTAACAGGGCTATTACATCTGTCGATATATCAAAACGTGGGCTACTCCTCGCTTCTCGCGACAAATTTGATGGGCCATCATGGGGGGGGGGAGGTAAGTAAGTATCTTGCCACGACCTCAGCTCTAGCTACGAAGCCTCGAAGAAGGCTTCTTCAAAGTCTCAAGTCTTACGCGGTGACACATCTACCAGCACATCACAAGAACCCGTTGCCTTGATTCGAGGGGATCTCCTCCGATGGAAAGGCAACCCTCGACGACGTCCGTTCCAGACGTAAGACGGCCGACTTTGACGACTTCGAAGACCTCGACAAACCTCTAGACTGGCTCTTTTGTGTAATGTCTCGTAGGTGGAAAAAAGTACAACGGACCCCATAAATGACATAACGATTCGCGAGAGAAGCCCGGTCGAAGCCGCCTTGCTGGCGTGACTGTAGACGTACTTCCAGCTTAGCCTAGCTGCCCTCATCACCCGGTAGACCAGGTTACGTACCTCTTTAGAGCTTTGGCAACTGCCAATGAAGGATCCTCATCTGGGTCGCTACGAGGGACCCTCGACAGAGTAATAAATCTACGTCCTCAATGTCGCGGCCCGTAGAATCACGCGAAAGCAGAACGAAACAAGCCCGGGCTCAGGGGGTTTTCCCCTCAGCTCAGCTAGTTGAAGCTTCCCGTCATCCATTTGGAAACTATGCTGGGGCGTCTGTCATAGTCACGATTCACCCGAAGAATTATTGGTGGTCTAGTTGCGGGCGGCCTGCAACCTGTGACTTGGCCGGGGAGCCTACTATTCCCCTTATCTGATCATTCTCGCGGAAGTTGAAGCGAAAGAGACCACATAACACTACTTCTAGGATAGACGTAGAAGGGATTTTGCAATCCAGTCATATCCACCTAGGACACCCAAGACCATTTTCAATGACATGTCACCGCGAAAGCAGACCGATCTAGGTCTACTCGTCAAAGACCACAACCACACAAGCCGATGACCAAGTTCCTTGACAGCTAAGCACAACTCACCAAACGGACAGAGCAGTGTCTTTCATCTCTGTATTTGATGTAGGTCCTCACAAGGCAAGCACCAAATACTGTTCACATGATGCCTTGTCTGAGAAAATCAACGGACTTACACCGCACAGTGCGGACGAGCGTTGCACAGTCACCAAGCCCGCGATGAGTCTGTATCCACCCTCCCTGCCTGCTAGAAGAAACCAGAAATCGATACAATCTGGTCATATCTGCCCTTACCTCGTCCATGTCTCTAGAACTGTTATAAATTGCCCTTCTGAGGTCCAATATATGAGAATAAGAGACACAGAAGGGGTGAGAACCAATGCTTTTTTCCATCGCCTACGAGCCAGAACCACGTTGCACAGGCATCACATCACGTCTTGTCCCTCGATATTCGAACGGATGTCAAAGTTCGACACCATACCTTAGCCGGGAACACCCCAATACTCTGCTGCGACCGCTTGGTGGATTTGCGGGAAGCAGACGTCAACCCCCGTTTCGCGTTGCCGCTGAACCAGGGGAAGGGCGATTTGATGCTCGACCAGGTAGGCAGACTCGCAAGTTGCAACCTCAGAGTCGCAGCTGGGATTCGTCGCCTGTGTGGCATGGCATGGCATGCGGGGGCCGGAAGTGGAGGTGGGTTGAGGATCTACCTCTCTGGAACATGCCGAATGCGCAGGCTTCCATGTTGCATTTGGGCGAGCGACACGGCGAGGGAGAGGGTTTTTGCTTCGCATAGTGTGCTCGTTGGCTGCATTTGGCTTCACCTTGGGAGATGGCCGGGAAAAGTGTGGCCACGACGTCTTCGGGGCAACGCGCCGAAGCCGTCCCAAAACCGAACTCGCCGGTGTAGAAGTGGCCGACTCCAGCAGCTTAGCTCCCCGCACCATTGGCATCTCTTGTCGCGTTTTTCGAAGAGGATGAGGACAAAAGCCAAGCGATTCGAGTGCCGGACGATGGGATGGGATTCTGAAAGGCTAACCTAGCCTTATTTCGGAAGTGAGGTGTCACTGCCCTTATCTTCGCCCAGACCGAGAGAGAAGATCGCCCGTCGCTTTTCTGATAGGCGCGCGGCGTTTGCTTGGCAATTGGCGTGCCCGTTAGACCCTTACTATTTCCCGCTGGCCTCGTTGTCTGCCCATCGCATGCTGAGGGCCCTCAAGTGTCGAGCAGCAACACCCCGCCTTCGTCAATCTCTACTTCGTATGGATACCGAGCTGCTAACATCTTTCACGGATGCCGCGGGGGCAGGCGTGGGAAGGTTGAGTCGAGCTTGTCAATGAGGCGACGAGGGGTTTCCCTTCATGTTTCAGTCCATGCAGGGTGCCGGCCAGCAGGGAGCATTTGTGCTGCTTGCAAATAAATGTTCTGACGACTTGCCAAACGAGATGGAAGGGCCACGGTGAGATTGTCGACAGTCGTATCAAATGCATGTCTCACTGAGACGGTCAGTTGCCAAAGGCTCGTTGCCATGGGAGCTTTCTTCCTGTGTTACCAAGGAGAAAGCTCCTTTGCGCTTCGCATTGCTTTCTTTCGTCGTGTTATGATTGCTCCTGTTGGATGAGCAACACGCGGCGGGGTGCGCCGCAAGTGATAGCAAACGGTGTCACTGATGCAGCTGACGACCCATTGCATCACCTCGCTGCGGCATGCCACCTTCTTCAATGCTACGACGCACCACTTGCAACGGGCAATGGCAGAGAAAATGCGGCCAAGAGGCTCCTCGGAGGGATCCAACGACGGATTCGCCCAGGGTGTCAAAGTGCCGCAATGCAACGAAGCTGACGCCTGGGTCCACAGGTGACATCAATTCGTTCTCTGTCTGTTGCAACTTGCGAACCCTCTCCCTGAGTCCCTGCTCTTCAGATCAGTGGACTCGCGGACAAGGTGTTCCTCGAACGAAACAGAAGCCCAGGTTTTTCACTTCTTTTTTTGCAGTGCCCGTTGCAACCCTCGCCGGATAAGGTCCACAGGCAGAGAACGGGACCGGGGGTTAAGCTTACCCTGGTTCGTGTCAACGCTTGCCTGACTGCAGGGCCAAGAGGGATTTTCAATGAGACGCTGCGATCAGAGTGTTGCGTCATACTCATTATCCGGAAGCCATTATTGCTAGGCCACTTTTTCCTGCCGTGTAGCCGCCCTCGACCTTGGGGGCTGTTGGATACACCGTGAACAGGAAATGAAGACGGGAAAAAGGCCAATTTCCAGCCGCACCCTGTAGGATGACCATCGCTAATCTAGAGAGGTATCCCCGCAAGGTGGTCTAGGCGAGCCGGTGAAGAAGCAGAGGACATTAAGCAAGTAAATCGCGTCGTGGCTAGCCGTGGTGAGCTGGGGGGGGGCGAGGATGGAGTTCTCGCCGTTGCGTCGAAAGCTTGGTGAGCAAGGACCAGCCGGCAACAAGCGGTTCGTTGGGGAGACCATAATCCCTGGCACTGGTCGTCGCAATTGGGAAGAGGCATCCAACTTGAAGATGGCAAAGGCGAGGCAAGGCAATGTGGCGAGTTGAATGCCTCGCTGTCGCCGACCTCGTTTGTCGTTGGCTGTATCCTGCCGGAGCACTAAATCTCTGGCTGACAGCCTAGTATCAGCAGCCACCCATCAGCCAGAATAGCTCGGTCCGTTTCCCGGGTGCTCGACTCATGCTCGAGTGGACGTCGTGGAGTGTGGCTACGCGAGGCTAGTGAAAGGCGACAAAAAGTGGCGGGCTATTTTTCGGGTTGGGACAGTGAAGGAGCCGGTCTGGTTGGGCAGGCGTCAAAGATGGCGTAGCTTCGGGTGGATGGCGCCATGTTGTTTGTAGCCGTGGGGGCAAAAGAAAGAAACGACGGCCGGGTTTGCTTTTGTGTCTTCATTGTCTGTAGTCTGGAGATTGAAACAAGGGCAGAGTCTAGGAGTAGTACCCGCAACTCCGTGTCGACCCTGTGAGGTTATTTCCTTGATCGATTGGGATATGCTTGTTGTATCTGTAATTGCAGTGGACTCTGGAGGCGGAGAGCGGGAGGAATCGAAGGATTCCGAAGAGAATTATCAGCCCTGGAGGAGAGATGTCATAGCTGTCAACCAAGACCAAGAAAAGACGCGTTGGCGTCTTGTAGACTCAGCCTGCTTACTGGGTGACTCCTCTTCTGGTCTTGCGTCTTGCATCACACACCCGCGTTGCCCCCAATGAGGCCGACCAACGCCGCCGGTGTCTGCAGCAGGCAGTCCATGTCGAGTCGGTTGTGTGTCGAGTGAGAAAGGCCAGGGTGTGTCGAGGCCAGTCAGAGTCAAGACTTTGTGACTCTGAACCACTCTTGGGCCGGGCGACAATCAAGATAGGCGGTCTTCACCCCTGGCCCGCCGCCAATGGCACAACATGGCGCACCTCCATTGATCCAGACCCATGCAGTCGGCCTTGTTGCTTCAAGCTTGAACTCCTGGTTCGTTTTTTTTTCCCCCTCGTTGCGCACCTAACGCACCCCTGCCACCGTCGTTTCCCACCCTAGACCGGGCTCCGTGGCTCCTTGCTAGCACCAGAGCGAGCTCCAAGCTCCTCGTCCTAGGCAGTTTTCTCATCCGTTTGGCACTCCACGTGTGTGGAGAGGTGGGATGGCATTCCAAAAAGAGCAAGAGAAGAACGATGTGACTTGTAAGAAGGCCGGCAGGGGTAAAGAAAAGAGAGGGAAAAAACTGCAGGGCCTTGTTGTTCGGAGTATCTCCCGCGTTAAGCTGCAACAGCAAGCTTGGGAGAATAAAATCGATAGCTTCCCTCCACATCCCCCCCGGCAAGGCGTTCCCATCATCTTTTTGATGCGAGGCTGTTGCTTATCCACGATACCCGCCAGGCAAACTCCCTTTCCTTCCACCTAGCTTGACGACCTTGAACACGGTTTTGCTGCCCTGTTTGGATCTTTCTGTCGTTTCTGCCCGGAACGGACGTCGGTTGCGGTGCGAGTGTGTTGCTTTGTACGACCTTGTAAATTGCGAAAGAAGGAATTGGTTGCGGTTGTGGTGCAGGACAAAAACTCGACAAATCGAAAGGAAGGAACCCGACGAATTCTGAAGACGTGCAAAGAAAGAGGCAACCACGGCCAACAGTCATTACTTTCCTCATCTGGCAACAGCACCTGCTCTTTCAGCACTCGCCTTGCTGAGGTTTCCCTCGCCATTAATTCGATATCTTCCGCTGGAACGACCTACATCCAAACTCTCGATCCTCAACATCATCAACAGACCCCTGGTCGTCTTTTTGCTTTCTTGGGAACCGCAGCACTAAGGCATCAGCATCCTCATCGTTTGTCGCATCCTCAGCATTGCTGTATTTGCTTAGTTGAAGCTTATCAGAAGGATTTCCTTGCGATTACTCCTTCATCATGCGAGTCTCCAAGCTCGTCTCGGCATTATTGCTTGGCACCGCCGCAGCTGTTGCTCCAATCGAGATCGTAGGCAGCAAGTTCTTCGACGAGAGCGGCAAGCAATGGTTCATGAAAGGTACGCCAATCATCCACTGTCGTTTTGACCAGAATCCTCGGGACTGACGCAATCACAGGCATCGCATACCAATTGACACCAGGTTAGCCCAGCTTGTCTGAATGCACACTTACAAAGCCCACTGTCTAACGCAAAAGCTTGTCCAGATGACCCACTGGTTGATACTGATCAATGCACCCGCGACGCCAACCTCATGAAGACGCTGGGTACCAACGCAATCCGCGTTTATCACGTCGACTCCAGTGCAAACCACGACGGGTGCATGGCAGCCTTTGACAAGGCCGGTATCTACACCCTCATCGACTTGGACACCTTTGACTCGTACATTCTTCCTGTCAGTGCCGCTCTGTTCTGTCACATTTCCTGCCCGCGTGCCCTGACTAACAAGAGGTTCAGAATACTCCTTACTGGAACGAGACGCAGTTCAACGCGTACGCCAAGGTGATGGACAACTTTGAGAAGTACAACAACGTTCTCGGCTTCTTCATTGGCAATGAAATCATTGCCCTTCCTACTCAGTCCCAGGTCGCCCCTTTCATGAAGGCTGCCGCGCGAGACATGAAGGCCTACCGCGACAAGAAGGGTTATCGCAAGATTCCCGTCGGCTACTCCGCGGCCGACATTGCTGAATTGCGACCCATGCTTCAGGACTACCTGACTTGTGGCGGAAAGCCCGAAAACAACATTGACTTTTTTGGACTCAACTCGTACGAGTGGTGCGACCCAAACACGTACCAGACCTCAGGATACACAAACCTGCAAGCCATGGCCGAGAAGTTTCCTGTGCCCATCTTCTTCACCGAAACGGGATGCATCACCGGCCAAGGCCCGCGTACATGGGACGATCAGAACGCCATCTTCAGCCAGCCCATGGTTAATGACTGGAGTGGAGCCATGGTTTACGAATGGATCTACGAGGAGAACCGATATGGCATTGTGTCATACGGACCCGAAGTCTCAAAGACCATCACCGCTGACGACGTGTACGATGGCTTTACCCGCAAGGGCACCCCAACCCCCATATCCCCCGAGTTCCAGAATCTGCAAGCCAAATGGGCTACCGTCACTCCTTCCGGAGTCGCGAAATCAAACTACAACCCGACGAGCGTTTCCACCCGCGATTGTCCCAAAGCCACGGGGGGTTGGTTGGTGGATGGAGATGTCCAACTTCCCACTCTCGGAGAGACATTTAAGGGCAGTTTTTCTTCAAGTCCGACAGCATCAGGGACTTCGGGCTCAAGCACCAGCGCTTCTGCAGCGCCCACACAATCCGCTAGTTCCTCGGCTCCCGAGAGACCTTCGGGATCTGGCACCAAGCAAATCGCCGGCATGACTGTTGGCTTGGTTGGTGTCATGATCTTTTTCACCGTGTGGATGTAATTGACCACCAAAACTTTTCTTCTTCTGTACATCTTGTGCATTCACTTTTACGACGGATTGGATTATGGATTATACCCCATTTTGCGAATACACGGAAGCTTCGTATTGAAGCAGGGCATTTTTTCATGGCGTTGATGGCAAGAGGACGGGCGTATGGAGACTCGTTCTTAGACTTGCAAAGGGTTTGATCGACTTTGCTCTACATTGCTGGGAAAAGAGGTGGCCTGCCGGGAGAGAAAGTCGTCACCATGGCTCCCTTGATTGTCGATTTCCTGGCAAGTGTGATGATGGGAATGTATTAATTAATAACACCCTGTCAGAGAACAAGACGGAGAGGTATTCTTGGGAGACTTTGGACAAAGGGGCCGGCAAGAGCCTCTTCCAACCCAATAGACGCCGATTTCCGATCGAATTGTGCTTGCCCGCTCCTTCCACACATCTTCAAGTTTTGACATCGACCGACTCGAGTCCGTAGTGACTGCATTTACGTGTTGCTGCCAAGCGGGGGTCTAATACCTCAGCAAGTGATCCCCTCTGCAACTGCTTCAAAGTTTCTGGGATTAAGAGGAAGAAGGTTCTCATCAGCTCAACAGTCAGTCTAGGGAAGCCTCTCCTCCGAGACTGAAGTACGTCACCATGGCTCTTTGTGGGATTCTTTGCATCTTCCACTCGTCATTGCAAACCCGTCCGAGGCTTCTAAATCATCGAGATACGCTCTATCCCAATCACTGGTATCCTTCAACGAGCAACATCCCCCTAATACATTAACGAATCCCAAGCTTCGACTAGCAGCGCCGGCATCATGTCTTGCACTTTCTTTAGATACAACAGCAACAGTCCCCTCCCCGAGACTATTCCCGTGACTACTCCCAAGCATGCTCCAGAAGAGACGACGCATCACGAACCCGAGAAACATCATGCAGCGGCCAAACCCCACGGCCGCACCATCCACCTGCCGAGATGGCTTACATTCATGAATTTCGTCTACGCCATTCTTGCAATCTGGATGATCATTGGCACCGTCTTTATAGCGGACTACATACGAACCCGGACAGGGCATCAGGCATTCGTTGATCATTCCGTACATGGTTCTTCGCCAGATTCCACGGTTGATGGAGATTATCAACCACAGGTATGGATCTAATCGGTATCAGTGCTTGTTGTACTTGGCAGGACATGTGCTAATTCTCTTTGCGCGTCCAAGTATACCCCTCGAGCAACGATATCTGGAAGACCCTTCACAAGGAACTCGATATCCATGACCACGTATATTAGCACGGCTTATTCTAATCACGCGAGTCTCGAGAACGTCTTGCTGGCTATTTCCGGCATTAGTATGATCCTTCTGGAAACGCTCTTATGAGCCTCTCCGGATTGGAGACCTTCACGTATGTCGAATATCAGAGGGGGGCATCATAGCATCGCGGACGTCGGACAAGCCACGAGCAACGACATCATAGACCGCACGCAATTCTTTGACTCAATTCTGCTCCTACGAAAGGAGCTACTACTCCCTGAACGAGACAGTAGACTCTAGGGCAATATCAGTAGCACTGCGTTTGGGAGGCAACAAGAAGGAGACTGTGGCTGGGTCTAGGAATCTGCGGAAAACCTAGACAGTTCAGCTTTGTCGGCCAGGTTTACCGAATAATTACTCGGAAGCTCGTCTTCCACCCTGGCATTGAAGCATTCCATGCTGCCGAGCACAGCTTTCAAGCGCTTGCTTAAATGTACGTAGAATAAGAGCGTTGCTTTAGGAGATAGACTTACAGCTACGGCAATGCCGCTTCATTTCTTCTTCCGTTCCAGGCAGCCGCGTGGCGTACTCGACGACAGTCTTCTTAGTTCACGTGTTTGAGGGGCTGGTGCCGTAAGAGTTGGGATAGGCTAAGGAGGTTCGGGAGGAGGGGGGTTATAGACCAGGGAGCTACTTACCCAAATTGGAATATGGGTACTTTGAGCGGTCGTCGATGTTTGAACATCACGGCAAGACAGCAAACGGGAGACGGCCAGGGGAGAGAACGTGGCTGAGATCCATGATCTCTGGAGCCAGTCGCAATCTAAGATCTTGCCCTTGATGGTTTGGGAATTTTCTGGTTGCCCTTCGTTTGGTGGGTGGCCTCACGTCAGACGGGCTGTCACATCACTTATAACTCATAGCACGGGCTTTGTTTTTGTAGATCGAGGAGGGTTTCGTTGTAGATGGGCACGACGGGCTGCCTTGTGTGATTGATTGTCCGTCCATGGGGGTATACTTGAAGGCGTGTCTACGTGTCGGTGGCTTGAATCTGTCGGTTCCTGCGATGATCCAAGGTGGGAGGTGTCATCTTGGGCTTAGTGCTTGGTGTTAAGATTTATGCCGAGTCCTCATCGTCAAAACTGTGATCGATCGTTACCTCAGCTTGATAGGAATACATGAATACATATGCTGGTTGGTTCCGATTATGCAGTTGCTCTACTTAATCAAGTAGTGTAAGATGAAAGTGAGGTCTGGAGGAAATTTTCGCGCACTTACACCAACGACGGGTGACGAACCAGACTCCTTTCGACAAGAGTCTGTGATGGCGTATGTACAAATTCAAAATCCCAGCCCGACGGTCCCCTCTGTGATCGTTGGTACAGATTCCCATTCTACTATTGAGACTTGGACGTGACGTTATTGAGCGATATGTGAGGTTCAGTATCGTGGGCTGGGTGGGATGGCCGGGGACGTTTCACGTTTCACGTTTCACGTTTGGGGACGCTGGGGATCGTTGTCGGCGTTCGGTGGGAAGCCTTGGTCGGTACCAGAGGTTTCTGCCAAGAGGAGAGAGAGAAAAAAAGAGATGGAATGGAAAGCAAAAAGCCTCTGTGCGTGTGTGCCGTGTGTGTATGTGTGTGTGTGTGTGTGTGTGTGTGTGTGCCTTACATTGGCATGTTACTGGAAGGGGAGAGGAGTGGGAGGAGAGAGTTTTGAAGATGAGGCGACCCGGTTTTTCGTCCCTGTTTGGGACACTATTTCGGCAAACTGGGGGCAGTCGAGAAGTCCACGACGAACTGGAGAAGCATGGAAGCACCTGCTTGAGTTTTTTTTCTCCATGACTGACTTGCTGACTTGTGCTTGACTGAAGCTTGTTGTCCACTTTCATCCCCTCGTCGGGACGGTGACGTGACGAGAGTGTGGCTGTGGGTTTTGAAGGAAAACGAAAAGATCAGACTGAAGTTTTTGCAAACTCTTGCCTTTTCAGGCAAGAGGATGCAAGAAATTGTAGAGCTTCTACACGTACCACGGTACGGAGTATAGCTAAACAGCCGTGGATCCGAGCGGTTGGTGGGAGTAGGTATGGGACGTTGCTCAATGTCCGAGCACAACCAATAATGATATGCAAAACTTTAGTTACTCTTGTTTTTTCTTTTTCTCTCCAGATTTTCCTTCCACCATCGCTTGGATCATTGTAGGCCACGCATGCTGGGCGATCTGATCACCGGTTCTGCGACTGCAACCCACGTATTCATGTAACTAACCTGCCTATCTGCCTCCTTGGCCGGTCAAAAAAGAGTATAGAGAAGACACAAAACAAAACATACAACACCAGGTATTCGCTGATCGTCACCGACTCAACTACTGATCTGGCCCTCATCGGCTTGTCTATGGGAGAGCGGACGGGATCCCGAATTTTCCGATGGGTGTGGTCGTATGTGCTTGAATGCTCAATGAATGTCCGTTATGTCGGGTGAGCGTGAGGGTAGCTTCTTGGTGATGGTGGTGATGGTGATGGTGATGGTGAGACAAGTAGCATTGACAGCAGCATCTGCCACCGTTTCTTCGTCCCTTCTTTTTTTCGCTTTCTTCCTCTCTTGGCTTTGTTGGATGATGCGGCACATGGACGTCTGGTTCGTCCTTCTCTGCTAAAAATACTCATAGTGGAAACTGGAGTGGGATATCCCGAGCCAGAAAGTCGCGGGAACATGACTTGTTGGACTTGGCATGATAATGAAAAGGAGCGTAACGAGGGAAGAGAACGAGAACGAGAACTCCATCTTCGCTACTCAAGCTCTTGTTTTCGAGATTGCATACGATCAATCCTTCTTTCTCTTGTCATATAGCGGTAGGTCGGGGTTTATGCCAGCATTGCGCACATGTCAGTCGGTCGATCAATCCTGCACAAAGGCATCATCTGCCATGCGTTGGAGTCGCGGGGCGCGTAACTCACAAAATTCACTCTGCACAGGAATAGTGGCATAAATCTGCAGATATCAGGCAACGCGTCTGTCGAGCATACTTACACATGTAATATGCCGTGCTTTTTCGGCTGTTGTGATAACAGCATCAGCCGCAACACCAGCAGACGATCTCACCGACCCCGGGACCGGCCAACAAAAGTCTGCGGCTCATCCAATGAATGATCAGACTGGCCCAGCTTATTCTCGGCAAGTGCCCGGCTTTGCCGTGGAGACGACGGGGTCTTGGACCGGAGCTCTCAGGAACCCTCGTCTCACGCCCCGGGGAGTGGGGGAGAGAGGGAGACGGGACAGGATGGACATTCTGAAACATAGCTTGATGCCACGCCGTGGAGCCAACCGGTGCATCCTTTCTTGCCCTTGCTTGCATCCGTTATTTCTTCCAGTCGCGACTCCAAGTCTCCCACTCCGTCTCTTTCGTCTCCCAAGTCCCGCCTCCTCCGCCGTGCTAGTGAATCAACCTCATCACCTTTCCGCACGTTCCCTTGAAACAAGGCCAGCAGCCCCCTTCATGTCATGTGGACTCCGGCTCTCTTTTTTGACCAGGGACCGCGACGCTCTGGCCTCACCTTCTCGACGACGCTATTGTTACCCCCGTCGGGTTCTACCGGCCTCTTGTCCTTTTACACAGTACATCCTCACCGGTAGTCAGAGTCAGCCAAAACAGATGGGCAGACGCAGGTGCCAGTTGGATACAACACAACACACCACACGACAATCCGTGGAACCGCTGTCATGGGTCTGTGACCAGGGACATCCCAAGCTGACGCAGTAAACGCAGGACATGCCACTTCAAGTGACAGTGCGGGAGGGAGGGCTGTCAATACCGTCATTCCTTTCTATGCCTATTCAGGTTGGTTCGTTTCGTTCCTCCAACTGAGCTTACACGAGGGACGAATCGAACGCTACAGCATAGGAGCAAGTTGCCTACATCAAAGTCAGATCGAGTCAGAGAGTACGCTGGCTGGTCGTTCACTTTGCAACCTTTTTACACTCCTCCGCTGGTTTGGTTGCTGTATCATTCGTTCCCTCCAAGTGGGAATCGTACCCTATATTTGCTATATCACGTCTCACCCGTTCCCTCTTCCCCGGCACGCAAACCTCCCGGGCTCGGCCTGGATCGCGCTCGCGACCTCCTGCCCTCTTTCTGTTCACCGTTCCGTCTCTTCCCATGTCAGTCTTGCGGACACACGACCCCTCCCGAGTCCCCAGAGCCCCGATACGCGAGGAGGATCATGAAGGGGAAGCGAAAGCAAGCAGGACAGAGGCATGCCCCGCCTTGCCGGCATCCGCCGAAGCTGATGCCTGCCCCCCCTGTCACCTTTCTCACTTCTGCGGCTCTTGTTATGGCTGCCAGCCGTATAAGCCACGAAAAGATTTCACAAGCCGTGAGGCGGAAAACATGACCACCAAGAAACCCAGCCCGTCGACCTGCAGCACTTCCCGGCCGGGGGGCATGACGGGTCACAGACATGTTCAAACCGGGCAAAAGACGCGGGCTGCGGATGCGGCATGCAGGAACAGGCGGTCTGCTCTTTTCTTCGTCCCGCTGCAGGCCTTGCGCACGGCGCGCACCAAACGCAACATCTCGAAGCTAGTGTTTTGTTCTGTTGGATCCCTGGTTTCTCGTTTCCTTTCGTATTATACATAGGTGTGGCCAGCCCACCCGCCCTTCCGCACCACACATAGTCACACACACACACCCCCATATAGAGGTCTGAGTGTCAGAGTAGACAGAGACTCTATTTGATAGCTCTTTTTTTCTTTCTTTCTTTCTTTCTTTCTTTCTCGAATTTTGAGTCTGTGGCTCATCCATCTCGTATTTCTCACGCCTGCATGTTCCGTACTTACACACGAGCTGTAAGACCGCAAGCAACACAGTAAAGCGGCGTAGAAGGGTGGAACGACATGTCGCTCAGATTCTATCAGACTCCCGGCCCGGAGCGGCCATGGCGCCCGCCGGTAATGGACGAGGACTGCCGGCGCTACCGCCGCCGCGCAAAGCGAACCGACAAGTGGATTCCGCCCCAGCTTGCCTTTGAAGAAGTGATCAGGAACAACACGGAATCGGTGAGCGATATCCCCTTGGCGCACTTGATCTCGAGGCGACGGGTACCCAAGAGGAAAAGTTTACTAACAGCCATATGATCTGCAGCCATGCTCACTAAACGACTTTGTAGACTATCTAGTCTACGTCGAGCAGGACGCGGAACCGCTGCAATTCTTCCTATGGTACTGCGGCTATGTCCACTCGTGGACGACTCTGGCGCCCGAGCAGCGTGCTCTTGCGCCGCGCTGGGACCCGGACCGCGGCAGGAAGCTTACTTCCAAAGAGAGGAGGGCCAAGAACTCGAGTAAAGTGAGCAACATCCTCGAGATGCTCGACGAGGACAGCAGTTTCGCCCAGGCAAAAGCGGGAGGGAACCATACGCGCGACACATCTTCAGCAACGAACTTTTCTCACTCCAGGGCAACTGTTCTCAAAGATGGTGAAAAGCAAGAGGAGGAAGGGGTCACAGTTCCACAAGGTAAGATTGTCAGTTGGATACTTCACGACATGTTAGCCCACCACGCATGACTAGATCTCACCACAACTTATACGAACCGAATCCAACTCACTAACATGCTCCCCAGCACCAGCATCATCACAACCCTTCCGCTCAGACATCGACGCCATAACAAAGCACTACATCCACGCCACCGCCCCGCGCCGCCTAAACCTCACAAAAGACGACCGCACCGCCGTCCTCAAAGCAACGTCCTCCACAACGCACCCCTCGGCCCTCCTGCAGGCCTTTGAAAAAGCAGAGGCCCTGCTCCGCGGCAAACTCCACCCAGATTTCATCCGGCACAGCATGGCCAACGCGAACCGCGCCGCGACGAACCTCCTCCGCCTCCTCGGGGTCTTGCTGCTCACCCTAGGCCTCGGCCTCGACGTCGCGCTGATCCTGTCCTCCTTTTCGCGGTACTACCGCCTCCTTTCTACGCCTTTCCTCTTCTCCGGTCTAGCCATCCTCGTCGCTGCGCTCGACGGCGTCTCGTTATCCCTTCACATCGCGCGCAGACGCCACGTTCGGCCGTGGGAGGTCCCGGACTTGGAGGCAGGCAGGTGGTACGGCGGCAGCAATGGCGGCGTAAACCAAAAGAAGGAGAGGGTCCCCCACCGCCGCGCCGCGACGAGCGAGAGCGTCGCGGGCGCCGTCGACCCCCTACGCAAACCCGCGCTCTCGACGCTCGGCGCGGAGAATTATCTCTCTTTCCGGGGTGAGGAGTGGGTTTCCGCGTACGAGCGCCGGTGGCTCTGGCGGCGCGTGTTTGAGCGGAGCCGGGCGAGCCGGAACAAGCACCTCCGGATCCTGCAGGACGGCGTCGTTGCCGGGGCGGTGTTGTGGGCTTCGTTGGCGACGATTGGGGTTGGTGTTGGGTCGGTTTTTATACCCTCGTATCATTTGTTTTGAACAGGTTATGGGTGGGTAATGGCGGAATTGGGGGGAGGCATCACATTCACATTTACAGGTACAATTATACCATGGGTCCATGACAGTCTTTTCTGGAGTTTGTGTAGAAGCACAATGGTTGGCTGGCGATCTAGGCATTGGATATGCGGATCTGCGGGTATTATATAATGAGTAGTATGAGCATTAGGGCAGAGAAACCAAAACAAATATAATGAGTAGATATCAAGATTTTAATACCGGAATTTTATGACATATCCTCCATGCATCACTGCTACTAAGGTGCTTCATCCCTTGTGCCTACCTGAAGCAGAAGAAGCTGGGGCAGAAGCGTTGATAGATCTATACATATTGAGCTTCACAAACCCATTTCAACCCCCCCCTTCTATCTACACTTTAATCACGGTACGACAACCATGGTAAATAAAAGGGGAGGCAGCAAGGAAAAAAAAGGAAAAAAAAGGAAAAAAAGGAGAGAGAGGCAAAAGCTCAGGTGCGCAGTCCGTGAATCGAAATGTGCCCCTACGAAATCCTCCATCCGACGACTTCTCGAGATTTCATACCAAGTTCTGTACTAACGGACCAGGGCGTTATACCGCTCGACCATGGGGATCGATTGGGCTTGGTTGACGAAGGAGCGACCTCGATGTGAATATAAAGGCAAGAGCACTCGGTCAGCCTCATCGGGTTCCGGTGTATATTCCACCTTGCGTATTCCACCTCTAGTTTCGGTTCTGCATCTAGTACCAACCTAGGTAGGGCCTCACAAGTCTAAAAGAGTGAGAAAGTGTGACCGAGTGCTTCGGAAAAGGTATCGAATTTATTGTCAACATGGCTAAATGGTGGGGGACTTTTTCTTGCTTTCTACAACTACCTTACGACTTGCCCGCCGCTTGTTGCTGCTGGTCGTAATACAGTTCCTCTGCCGTCGTTACGCACTGCATATTCGCGCCGAGCTTGTTCATTGTCTCCAACCACTCGTCGTACCTAGACAGCTGAGTCAGTATGGAAATCTTGGGATGCTGGGAGTAGACGGAGGAGAAGATCACTTACTCGTCAGAGTCGAATACGATACCGCCACCTAAGACATCACAAGTCAGCACACCAAATATCTCACTGCCAAAGAAGACTCCATGACAGCAAAAGGGGTCAAAAGGATCAGGGGGCAGCAACTCACCAGCTTGCAAATAAGCCACACCATCCTTGACAAGCATCGTCCGCAGCGCAATACACGTATCCATAGCGCCCTCCACCTCCTCGCCCTTCTCATCAACACCCCCGTACCCAAAATACCCAACCGCGCCAGCATAAATCCCCCTCTTCTCCTTTTCCAACTCAGCAATCAACTCCATAGCGCGCACCTTTGGCGCACCCGACACCGTGCCTGCGGGGAAAATGCTCCGAAAGGCATCGAAGCGCGTCTGCCCCTGCCTCAACACGCCCGAGACCTGCGAGACGAGGTGCTGGACGTGGCTGAACTTTTCGACGACCATGAGGTGATCCACACGCACGGTATACGGGTCGCCGACGCGGTTGACGTCGTTGCGCGCCAGGTCGACGAGCATGACGTGCTCGGCGCGGTCTTTCAGGGAACTGCGCAGCTCGTCGGCGAGACGCTGGTCCTCCTCGGGCGTCTTGCCGCGCTTGACGGTGCCGGCGATGGGGTGCGTGATGACGCGCCCGGCTTCGGATTTGACGAGGAGTTCGGGGGAGGCGCCGACGATTTGGAAGTCTTTGCAGTTTACGTAGAAGAGGTAGGGGGACGGGTTCACCGTCCGGAGGTGGCGGTAGATGTTGAAGGGGTGGAGGGTCGTCGGCCGGGCGAAGCGCTGCGAGGGGACGGCCTGGATGATGTCGCCTTTGACAATGTGCTTCTTGAGTTCCGTGACGTGGGCCTCGTAGCCCTGTTGGCCGACGTTGGAGGTGTACTCCTGGCCGAGCTTGATGGGCTGCTGTCCCGGGATGGGGATGTCGGGGGAGTTGAGGACGACGACGAGCTCGTCAATGGTCTGCGTCGCCTTTTGGTACTCTGCCTCGAGCTGGGCGGCGTCTTCGGGGACGTGGAGGTAGGTGATGACCTTGATGACGCCGTAGAAGCGGTCAAAGGCGACAATGGTGTCGAAGAGCATGAACAAAGACTCGGGAATCTGCAGGACGTCCTTCATGGGCCGCGCCGTCTTGGGCTCGAAGTAGCGCACGCAGTCGTAGCCAACGTAGCCGACGGCGCCGCCGGCCATGGGCGGGAGCTGTAGCCCGGGAACGTGGGCGACTACGTGCTGGGCGAGCTCGGCCTCGAGGGCCGGCAGGGGGTCGCACTCGGGGCCATGGCCGGGACCCGTGGCGAGGACTTTGCGGGGCCCTGCGCCGACGAAGCTGTAGCGGCCGACTTGTTCTGTGGCGGCGCTCTCGAAGAGGAAGGAGAAGTCCGAGTCCTTGTGGTGTGCCGAGACCTTGAGGTAGGCGGCGGACGGGGTGATGAGGTCGGAGGAGATTTGGCGGTAGACGGGGACGAGGGTGGGCTTCTTTGCGGCGTTGGTCGTGGCTGGGGAGGTGAGGATGGACCTGACCGTCTCGAGGGACGGTACGACTGCGCGCTGTGAGAATGATGGGCGGTATGTTAGCTTTCGCTGTGTCTTTTGCTTCGTGTAGCGGGCCGGCGGGAGGTCAATTGAAGAGGGAGCAAGACTTACCGGTCCCGACATGCTGATCCGGTCCTTTGGCGAAGCTGGGAATTGTCGGTGAAGCGCTGCGTGGAGGGAGAGTTGTGTGTTTGGTTTGTTGATCCGAGTCACCCGTACCCAAAAGGTTGGACTTGTATTGAATTATTTAGCCTCCGATGCGTGGAGGGGTCACACATAGTCAGGTAGGGGTGGTAGGGTCCGATAAAGCGGAATTTGGCTGCCGTTGCGCTTCGATAAGGTGAGAGACAAGGCGTTGCCATTAGTGGCACCTCCGCTGCGTGTGCGTCAAGGATCAGTGACACAACGGGACCCCACCACCAGCCCAGTGTTCCGCCAATCTGGTCTAGATCGATGACCTGAATGAGTAAGAGTCAAGACAGCTCACATCCTCGATGTTGCAAGTGAAATCGGCAAGAAAGAAGACGCCCTTTCAGGATGCTATAATTGGTAATGTTGCTGTACAAACATGAGCTGCGTTTTTGCTACGTATAAATCAGCCACTGCTCATCGAACCGTTAGAGGACCAAGCTGACCGGCTGGCTGGCCCATATCTTTCCGTCCCGCCTCACATTTACTCGGGTTCTCCATCCTTGCTGCGAGTCGGAGGAGAGAAACTCAACTCTCGACAGACAGCGCCTTGACGCCGACGAGCTTCGCCTCCTTTCCCTTCCCATCCGTCGTGACGAGCCAGTACTCCGTCCGGACACCGCCCTTTGGCACCTTGTAAACTCTAACGTCGTTGCCCTTGCCCCCCTTGCGGACCGCCTCGATGACGTCCTTGTAATCGCCGTTCGAGTCCCAGTCCACGGGGTCGAGGAGCTCCACGTCCGCGTTCTCGGCGTCGGGGTGGTCAATCAGCTGCGCGAATTCAACTACACACATCATCCATTAGTCACCTTGTATTACATACACCGCATGCCTCTTTCCCCTGGCGTAGAAAAGGGCGGAGGCAGAGCATCAGGGGCACAACTCACCTTCGTCGGGCAGACCCTTGCCAGCCTCATCCCACTGCAACGCGACGCCGACAAACGGCTCATCCGCGTCCGAGATGTACACCTTGTCTTGCTTCAACACATCCTGAATGGCCTTGGGCACCTCGACGCCCTTGTCCTGTGCCTTGAACTCCTTGCTCTTGCTGCTGGTCGTAGTAGCGTGCCCCTCGTTGGGGTCCTGGTTCGCCTTATCCAGGAACGCCGCGTAGTCTGCGTCGGACATCTTCAAGTGTGTAAACGTCGAGAACGTGCTAGTAGCAACCTGACGAGGGTGGAGGAGCTTGCTGGCGGCGGTGGTGGTGCTGCTGCTTGGTGCGAGGATCGATCGTCGTAGTGTGAATGCGTTGCGCGAAATGGAGGATGGCGTAGATGAAGGGAGGGTCTGATGGCAGAGATTTCGGTACAGCGTTCGCAGGGCAGTGGTCTTCATTCGCTTCTTATGGGCTGCGGGAGAGCTGAATAGCGTACCGAGGGGTGTTGCGGTCGCGAACTTGGTTCGCGGGAAGCTGCACGCCATGGTTGGGTACAGATAGAATGACGCAACGGGGGGGCCGGCTAGCTACGCCTCAAGTCGCTCGCTCGCTGGCCAGACCTCGCCGCCCCACCATCTCGGCATTGGCTGGATGTCGATGCTAAGCGCCCACAAATTCTGGACAAAATTTGTACTGGATTTGACGTTCATCTAAGTCTGTTTACGATGATATTTGAAGTCGTTTACAATTGCATTCACGTTTCACAAGCCACACGAGGGATTACAGGTGGGTTGGTCATCTAGGTATCATTGGTTTGACTTTTGAATTCTCGGCACTCATTTTAACCTCAAAGGTGTCCCAAACCATCCGAAAAGTAACGTGAACCCTCTACACCGATGCCATGACCATGATACAAAGAAATTTGAGAAGCGATTTACTGAGCAGCAAGGTCCTTCTTGAGGGTACCCTGGTACTGCTTCTTCTCCGCCGGCGTCTGGAAGGCACCGTGTCCGAACTCGGACGAGGTATCGATCCACTTGAGGTCGATCTTCTCGAGGGCCTTTCTCGAGGTGTGGGTGAACATGGACTTGCGGAGAGTCATGACACGCTTCTTGGTACCGGGGATGGAGCCCTTGACCATGACGAAGTCGTTGTTGATCTCACCGTAGCGGACGAAGCCACCGAGGCTGTGAATGTGTCAGTAAATTGCTGGACCAAAAAAAAAAAAAAACACGAGAGCATAAACATACGGAGTGATGGTCTTCTTGGTGACATCAATCTCAGTGGAGGCGCTGTTGTCGGAACCGGCCTTGCCAATGCGGTAGACCTTGTGGTTGACGGAAGTACGGTGGTGGTATCCGTTCTGACCGGCACGGGCGACAGTCCACTGGACGTGGGAAGGATGCCAGGCACCGATACAGGCGACCTTACGCAGACCCTTGTGAGTCTTGCGGGGAAGCTTCTTGGTACCCCAACGGGCGGTGACACCCTCGTATCCGTGACCCTTGGTGACGGCGATGACATCGATCATCTCGTCCTGCTCGAAGATGGAGCTGACCTCAACGGGCTTCTCGAACAGACCGTAGCCGAAGTCGACCTTGTCGGTAACGGAGCCACCGTTGATCTGGATCTCCATGAGGTGGGCCTTCTTCTGCTTGATGGGGGTCTTGCGGGGCTGGGTGTGGGCGAGGACGCGGACGACGGTGCAGTACTTCTTGATGCGCTCGATCTCGCGGGTGATGGAGGCGCCAGAGTTCTCGGAGTGCTGCTTGGCGTACTTGGTGAAGGCCTTCTTCTTGGACTTGTACCAGTTCTTGTAGAAGCGGCGGCGGATCTCGTCGCTCAAGTGCTCGGCCCAGACGGTGGTGAGCGAGCGCAGGCCGCGGGGGGTCTCGATGTAGCCCACAAGACCAACAACGATCAACTATAGAGTTGTTAGCCATAGGCACAGAGCCAAGCGGGCTGCGTTGGTAGTACAGGTGGGGTATCAATGATGGAGACGGCCTCGACGACCTCCTTCTTGTTGGCCTTGGCGCCGGGACGGTCGAGGTCGCGGACGATCGTGGTCATACCGGCCTTGTAGCCCATGGTGGCCGTCAGGTGGACGGGCTTCTTGGCGTCATCCTTGGGGAAGCTGTGCAAGAGAAATTGCCATTGTCAGCCTCTGTCTTCCCGTGACCGAAGCCTCGAAAAAAATATTGCGAAATGTAGAGGGTGGAACTTACGACTTGACCTTACCGCGGTGACGGGCAGCACGCTTGCGCGGCAGGTAGGCCAAAGACTGAGCAACGTTAGTCGTAATTACAATGATTGTCGAAAGGTATAACTGACGCCGTGTCTGGGTGCCTCGTACTTGCGGTGCGACATCTTGATGATTGACCTGGAGGTTAGTTGACTGGTTCAATCGAGAGGAGTGACGATTGGGAAATTTCTCAAAGTCGGGATAGCTGAGGCTGCAAAAATGTCGTGTGGGCGGATTTCCTCCTGCCGGGAGGCACCACCCTAATCACGTGAGCGCAATGGCAGCGAAAAAAACAACACTTTCCGCCCTTTTTCTTCCCGCCTGGTCCAAGCGCTTTTTCCGAGGTCCACACTCAGCAGGGAATGGTACGTACTCGAGACCAGCATCCCACCAGCGGGCATAGGTACTTGAGGTTCTCCAGCATTTACATACAAGAGGCAGAACTTTTCTGAGAGTACTCGGTCATTCGCCTCCTTAGACAGTCAATTGGCTGCGACAGATGGTGCCAGATATGGTTTGATATTTATTGTTTAGTCATTCAAGCAGTCTAGATTCACCACTACTTTTTCTCTTCATAAGCTACCGTAGTGCCTCACGTAGACACACCAGTTTCCCGTCGAAAAGGGGATTCTGGAGACAGAACGAGGACGAGCAAGGAAATGGTATACACGATAAGAGAACACAGGATCCCTCAGACAAATAAAAACAAAGCAAAGCACGTTCAAGCCGTTGATCCATTAAGTCGACTCAACCTTGGGAGTAGGCCCCATCAGGCCGTTGATGCTTGCGCTCGTAGGCGTCTTAGTCTCCCCCGACGCCGGAGCCGGACCCGAACCGTTGGTAGTGGCCACGGCGCCCTTCTTCTCGTCTTCGCCGCTATCATCGTAGTCCTCATCGACGTCCATTTTTCTCGCTGCGCGCTCGGGCTCGCTGGACTGCGGAGGCCGGGGAGCGGGAGTGTGCTCAATAGGTGGGCGCTCTTCAGCGGGATACTCCTTCACGCCGGGAGCGGGTCCGGAAGCAGGTCCAGGTCCGTTCTGCGGTCCATCGTGGAGGATGTTCTGCATCGGCGCAGCGGCAGACTGCATCGGCGGGAGATGGTTGGTGGGCATCGGGTGGTTGGGCTGGTGGTGCGCCGCCTCTGACGGGTGGTACCCGTCATTGGCATGGCGCTGCTCCTCGCCCCTCCGAATGTCCTCTGCCCTTCTCTGGTCGTCTGCTCTCCGCTGGTCTTCGGCGCGGCGTTGGTCTTCGAAACGGCGAGCCTCTGACGAGTTGCGGCGGTACTGGTCCCGGGGTCCCGGAGGAGTCGACGGGCGGCGAGGGCGGACGTCGTCGAGCCTGGCTCGGTTCTCATCGTTGGCTGGTCGCTTATGAGAAGACTCCTCCTCCCACTCACGCATGCGCTTGGGTCCCACAGAAGGGGGACGGTCATGCTCATTGCGCTGCGATGCAGGGTCTCCGGTGATCGAGCCCGGAGGAGGTGGAGGCGGGGCATTAGCTTCCATGGGTCCGGGAGTAGGGCCGTCAGGGTGATGGCTGTACGGCGGCGGCGGAGGAGGCTGGTGTTGGGGGTACGCCGACTTGGGCGAGGGCATGCGGTTGTCATGCATGGGCCTCTCACCAGGTCGGGGACTGTTGGTGCCACGGAAGTGAGGCGGCTGGCTGGGAGGGCCATTGGGACCGACGTTCATAGGAGGCATTTGAGCAGAAGACGGCTGAGTGTAGTTAGGGTTGATGGTGCGCGGCGCAGACGTGGGAAGACCCTGAGGCTGCTGAGGCGGCTGCGGCGGTCCGGCGTAGTGAGATGGAGGACTAGCCATCCGACGAAGCGGCTCGGGATACGGCGGGCGACCACCGTGCTGTTGCTGCTGCTGTTGTTGTTGCTGTTGTTGTTGCTGTTGTTGCTGCTGCTGCTGCTGTTGCTCCTGTCTCGGGCTAGGCTGTCGCGGCATGGGGGGAGCCGGGCCACGGAACTCGCCACGCTGCTCATACGGGTTGGGTGGCTGAGGAGGAGGGTTGATGTCTGCAAGCCGGCCCCAGCCGTTGCTTCCTGGGCCGCCGGGTCCGGGAGGCGGAGGAGGCTGCTGTCCTTGCTGCTGCGACTGAGGAGCAGAGCTTCCCCACTGGGGAGCCGGGGGGCCGACCTGGTAAGCCTGAGGGTGAACATCGGCAGGCTGAGGAGCGCTGGGGGGCTGTCCTCCGTTGGCACCGCCATTTCTCAGCAACTGCAGACGGGCCTTGATGTGAGGGTTCTGAGGGTCGAGCTCTGCAGCGCGCTGGTATGCGTCAAGCGCATCGCTGATCTGGTTGTTACAAGATTCATACTAGGTCGGTTAGTAATGATGATTTTTTCTGGCTGTTTGATCTTTGCGGGTCTTGCACTTACCAATGTGCCCAAGTCATACCAGACCTCGGAGATGAAGGGGTTGAGCCGGATGGCACGAGAGTAAGCGTCGAGAGCATCGCGGTATTGGTTTATCTGGTAGTACAGCACTCCGATAGAGCACCAGAAAGTCGGATTCCTTCCATCGCGGTAGACGGCCTGTTGGTACGCTTCATAGGCCTTGGGGTACTTTTGTTGCGACATGTAGCAGCGACCAAGGAGGTACCAACTTTGCGCGTCACCTTGATCGGCGGCAACGGACTTCTCCAAGAACTCGATAGCTCGCTCTTGGCTCTGGAAGCTGCTGCTCTGCTGGTGATGAAGCCAGCCCAGCTGCTGCAGGACCTTCGCGTGACTAGGATCGCGTTCCAAAACTCTCTGGTACGCAGCCTTGGCGCTATCGTACTGTTGCGTGCGTTAGTTGGGATGTTGGAAATCACCAGAAGTGGTAACTTACATCCTTCTGCTGCTCGTGAACGTGACCAATTTGGAACCAAATATCCTCCTCGGTGAGGGGAGGGGGAGGGGAGTTGACGATGTACTTGAAGCACTCCAGACTCTGACCGTACTTCTGCTGCTGCTTGTATATTATTCCGAGACGGAAGTAAATTTCGTTGGCCTTTTCGAAGTCCGGCTGCATCTGCATGACCTGGGAGAAGGCCTCTTCGGCATGCTCAAGAGAGCCGTATCTGTCGTAAAGGATACCAATGCCATACCAAAGCTTGGGCTCCTGTGCTGTATTAGTATTTGAAGAACCCAGAGAGCCGGAGGCAGCACTAACCCTAGGGCTCCTCAAGTTGACCAAGGCAGACTGGTAGGCGGCGTAGGCTTGCTGCAGATCGTCCATCATAAGGTAGCAGTGGCCTGTGAGCAGTTAGCATGAGTCGCGTTGGTTGAACATAGAACGGGGACTTGTTACGCACCCAGGCTGCCCCAGGCCTCGCCATTGGTGTTGTCAATTTTGAGTATCGCTTGCAGGTAGTCAACTGCCTTGTGGAACTCTTCGCGCGTTCGCAGGATCAAGCTGATGGCATTCATCGCCGCGACCGACTGCGGGTTTGCTTGGAGGGCGCGATCGTAGGCCTTCATGGCCTCCTCGAGGTTTCCAAGGAGCTCAGCAAAGCTGCCTGTATCAATGGTTAGAATACGTAGCGGGTATGAATGACCGCGATGCACTTACCAATCTGCATCCAGACAGCTTCGTTCATCAGGAGGATTTGTCGCGAAGGTGCATAGTTCTGCCCTTGCTGCATACCCGGCGGCGGAGGGGGTCCAGGGGGGCCGCCGTGCTGCTGCCCCTGCATGGCCATGGTTGGCGAAGGGTGATGGTTGGCCATTGTGTTGGGAGTTGAAGCGTACTAGGTGTGCGCGTGCTCCGGTGAATGCGTCGACGGATTGTCTGAAGATCGCGCAAAGAGGCGCTGGATGCCAACAGCAACGACGTCGCAATTATAAAAGGTAATGTTTACTTGTAGAGAGATGAAGACTTAGAGGCGCGAGGCCATAAAGTCTTTGATCTGAACTGGCGTGGTTGGAATACAGGTCGTGGCTTCCAAGGGCGCGGGCGCGATTGTTGCGACGAATCGAACAGATTCAGGTTCGACGTGCAACCGGTCAACGGGAGGCTGGGCTCGAAAGTCTGAAGCGACGACAGGCCAAAAGCTACAGAAAAGTCAAACAAGAAGACGAGAATGATGTGGTGATGCGGAAGGGCGCAGAAAGCCCCCGAGGCAACACAATGATGATGTTTTGAGTGAGGAAGGGATGCGAGACCCGACAGCAATGGATCGAAGCGCCCCCGTTGTAGCTCAGGGCGAAGTTGGGGAATTGGAAAAGAAGGTGAGAGGGAAGTTGGGAGGCTGCGAGAATAGGTTCCATCACTCTCCCCAAACTCACCTTACCCTCGAAAGGTACGTACTCTTTTACCCTTCCGTTCCTTTTCTTTTACTTTGGCGACGGCATGGGGTTGGCAGAGCTGATCCATAGCGAGCGAAACGAGACGATGGGGACCAGGGGGTGCGGCGGGGGGGTGTCTTATTAGGGTGCATGCTGCTGCCGGGGTGAAAGACGGGGCACGGATGGAGAACAAGCCAGCCCATCTCATCTGAAAAAGCAACTTGGCTAGCGTCCCTTTAGCTGGAGCCGATACCCACGGTGCCACACCCACGCTTCTCACGCTTCATCCGTAGACGCTCACGCCCATCCGCCCAGCCCACGTCTATGTTCCCCCCCGTCGTCCACAACCACAACCACCACCACGTCCACGTCCACATCCACGCCGTCTGCCAGGCCCAGGTACGGAGTACGAAGTACTTCGTACATTACATACAGATTTCACGGAGGCGGGCGGGCACTCCCACTGAACGCCATGTCGCCCCTCCGCCCTCTCTCTCTCTCTCCCCCTCCTCTATTCGTACGGATACCTAGGTGCCCATAGACTGGAGGCATCCATCGCCCTCTTGGTTGCTTGGTGCTTGGCTCCTGCAGCTCCGAAATGGGGAGCAAAGAGGTGGATAACGTACCTTGGCATATGGAGACGTCGACCTCACTGCGGAAATCTGTGGTAAAGATGTGGGTGCGGATGATTCCTCTGCGAGTTTAGCGAAACACATCTTGCAGACAGACCCGACCCCTCCCCTTTTTTTTTTCTCATTGCTCCTGCAAAGTACGGAGTACGAGTCGGCAGCTCGGCGCGCTTTGCTTCGTTTGTCATCAGATGCATCAAGACGTGAGATGGCCTCAAGAGCCGCCAGAGCCAGAGCCAGAGCCAGAGCCATGTGCCATGAGGTCAGGTAGTCCAGCGGCCCAGCCCCAAGGAGCCTGACATCTCTGAGGTTAGTTGCACCGGTGAGCCGCCGTCAACAAGGCATCGCGTCGTCAACTGTTATTTAGACTCTCTTGCAAACTTGGCGGTGCGGCGGCTTTCAGTGGGACCCAACTCACGCGTCAACAAGAGCCCAGGCCTGTCGTGATGCCAAGGCATCGTCAAACCTTGCTTCTCAACGGTGTTGCAAGCTCATCGATAATCCGACAAAATCCGAGGCAAGCTTCCAATAAGCCTACCAAGCCCCCTCGAAATCGACTGTGACTGTCGGCTATCAGATAAACGCACTCAGATGTGTGCATCGCATGCTGTTGCGTAACGTGATGCAGCTTCGGACAAAGCTTCGCGAGGGTTGATGCCTTTCCCACATTATTATGTTTCTGCACTCTGTGCCAGCAAAGAGACACGGTGCGATCCGGCGGCAGCGCATGTCATGGTAAGTCAGAGACCGAGGAAGCAACCGGAAGAAGTGTGCGGGCATCCCCCGTTTGGACTGCAATGCTCTATGGCTCTGTATCGTCAGAGTCAACCACCTATTGTTGGCAGTATCTGCACCCTGAGGCATGGCACATCGAGAGATCTACGGACAAGGAATGTCAGCGACCGCCCAGTTGGACATGCCATTCGCAGCCAGTTTGAAACAAGAGACAGCCATGTCGCATCGCATCGCGGCCCCATCCTCTCTGATCTCTCCCAGTCAGTGTGGCGGAAGAACACCGAGGGTATGGGTCTTGATTGGGTTGCCTGAGGCAAAAGATTCAAGCCAGCAAGCACCAAGGTCATGGACAGCTCTCCAGTGCTCCCGTTCGGACCTTTTTGAGTCGTGACCAACAAGCTTCTGGTAATTGTGATCAAGGTGGGTGAAGACTGAATTCGACGGGTGCGCAGGAGATCAACCGAAACGCCTGTCAGAGAAGGGAACGAATTATTAGAAACAGAACAATAAAAAAGAGAGAGCGACACACCAAAATAATAAAGATAATGGAATAAACCCCCCCCCCAGAAAAGGGGGAAACGCTGCGGTTGAGGGCCGCCGCCGCTAAACTGCATTACGGCACATCCCACGTGTCTGGAGTTCCAGGTGGTCACCTCATCGTTCACCTCAGGTCAGGCCCAGGGAGGTTAATATCTCACCGAAGGGTACGGATAGGTAGGTAGCCCTTCCCAGCCCTTCCCCGGGGAAGCGCCCCCTGAGAAGACGGGAGGTACCATCCACCCATCCACCCATCCATCAACTCCCAGTCTGAGTCCGGCTCTGTGGTGCCACTGGTGTGTCTGGCCGCCCGGGCTGGCTGGCTGACTGAGCTGGGCTGGGCTAGGCTGTGCCCAGGGCAGGTGAGTGCATGGCTGGTGACCCCCTCCCTCCTCTCCAAGCTCCAAGATCCTGATCGGGGGAGTGGATCGCACGTCGAAGAAATGCCAGAAGCCAAAACCAACACAAGAAAAGACGAACTTTGAGTTTGGTTCATGTCATCGCTGCAACCGCTGCACCCATCCACTCAGGGCGCCGATGTGACTTCATCCGTGCCGCAACTGCTCGCTAGTCAGTTGTAAATTACCTTACCTTTCCCGAGAGTTTCCCACCCTTCTCTTGTGCGCGCTGGTGTTCCTGTCGCTGGCGTTCTGGCTGGCATGCTGTCCTCTCCCGTCACCTTTCAGGCACCACAATTGCATTCCTTATTCCTCGACACCCTCCCCTACCCCCGGTTGAGATCTTCGGTTTCAGCGCCTGATGATCGGGATGGGATGGGCTTGGTGGTTCGTCGGCTTCTTCGAAACCACCGCACCGAACGGGCCTGTGAGCGAGCTATTTGGTCTGTTGTCTTTGGTTGTGTGTCGCACCAGGCTTTTCAGTCGTTGAACAAGCTCATACCCGCAATCTGCAAATATCGTGGTGGATCGGTGGTTGAGTCCAGGAGGAAAAGATTCTCGATACGAAGCTATCGTCAGTTGGCGGCGCAGTGGCTGGGCCCCTCCCTTCTTCGGTTGGACCGGTTTGAGTAAGTGTTGCACGCTGTTTTCTCTCCTGCGGCGCGGTACACGCTACGCTAGCCAGCGGACAGAAATGACGGGTTATTCGTAGACGTATCCGTAGTCGTACACTATTGTGTAGTGCTCTCGTGCGCCTGTACAGTAGACCAAGCCGCAGATACAGGACACACATGACGCGGGTGCACCTGTGGGCTCTGCTTGGGACCTGCGAATAGCTCGATGGGATCCGGTCGCCGCCGCCGCCATCGCCGCCAGGCTGGAGGGAGATCATAGCTAGATGAGGCAGAGTGGGGAGGGAAGGCCGGGGGCTTACCTGAGGTGTCCTCGGAGAGGAGAGGAGAGGAGAGGAGGGGGGGGGGGTTCCGTCAGGGGTCAAGGTGTGAGAGGAGAATTGCGACAGCAACCAAGTGAAGGGGGGCGTCTGCGTCTGTCTCTACATAGTATGCCCGTAGCAGGGGGGTGTGGATGGGGTTGCCTGCCGTTCCCCCAACCCTTGGCTTGGACCAGGCAGAGAGAGATTGTGTGCGTAGCCAGGCTGTACCGCAATATGTACGTGCAAGGTAGGCGGAGGAAGGATGCAGCCATCTCTCGCATATGCAGGCCGTTTGGAGCAGTGCGAGGGTACCCGACTGACGGCGGCGTCAAGCGGAAGGGATGGGGAAGAGAGATACTGTAATGTGTGGGCGTACACGCTGTGCCGATGTGCGTGTGCGTGTGTGCGTCGGATGTGTGCGTCGGATGTGTGTGTCTGGATGTGTGTGTCTGGATGTGTGTGTATGTGCGCTTGTGCGGGAGTGTGTGTGTGGTGTGGAAGAGATGGTGACGGTATCACGGTGGGAGGCAGGAGGGCGAAGTGAGAATTGATTTGGGCGAGAGACGCGGTGATCTGGTATTGGGGTGGGCGAGAGAAAGTGGTACCTAGGTAGGTGCTCTGTAGCCTGTATTCGCAGGTACCTGGCGAAGATTAGACCCCTTGCGGCAAAGAAGGCTGGGAAGGATTTAGTATCCATGGACCGTACGTGATTATGAGGATGGATAAGGTATGGATAAGGTGCCGGGGACGGGCTGCCATAGTCCGTCCCGAGCAGTTATATTGGTGCTTGCGATTACCTTGTCGTGCAGAAAAACGTAGGAAGACAAAAGTCGGGGAGGGGAGGGAGATGCTGAGAGAATCGGAGAGAAAGCGCACAGGTCTCTCGAAGTGTTCTGTCAATCATGATCTATCTGCCTCGAAGGATTTCATGGAAGGTACGGAGTACGGAGTACGGAGCACACATACGCAGTGGATCACACCTAGATGGAAGGAGAGACAGGTAGTGACAGAGTCGTGAGGTAAGGTGCTCTAGCCTCTGTAGACTCAAGACTGTGCCTCTGCGGCGGCAGGAGGTAAGGTACATATCGAGGCTACGTGCATATTTGGTACCTCCCGCCCAACCTGTCGAACCTGACGTGCCACCGCGGAGACTGATCTGACTCCTTGGCGTTAGCCGTGGTGTGCTACGAGTACGTACCGGCAAAGTCTGTGGGCCAAAGAGCCTTTTTCGGGGTCGAGTGGCACGGCACACGGCCGCTGGGCCCATCCATGTTTCTTCTGTCCTCCATTCTTCTCTCACTCTTCCCAATTCGTACAAGCGTCATACCCCCGGTAGCCCGGGTATTTTCTGCCTTTCTCTTCGTCTCTGTGCTCTGTGCTCTGTGCTCGTCCCTCTGTATCCGTACGGATACCGTCCGCCCGTCTCGAACCCTTCGGCCCCCCTTTTTCACTGTCTCGCTGGGCTGGAAATGAACAAGACCTGGAGCCTGGAGGCGCGGGAAACGGTTGAGCGGTACGTATCTTCTTACACACAAGCCAGCAAATTCCCTCTCCTTTTACGAGCACTGCTAACATCACATCCCAAGCAGCCACAGGCCTACACAGGTTGGTGCCATTTTGATCGAGTATCCGTACCCAGTCCGACGCTGCTACAATCCACCGGCCATCACGATCTCCGTTACTACGGCATGTTACGATCAATGCTGGCAAGAACTACTCCGTACAGAACCCTCCTAAGAGGCTGACAAGATTCGGGCTTTCGCGGTGAAATGGGTCCAGAGGTGCTTTGCGGGCCGCCGGCACAAGCTCATATTAAGCACGCAGAGCAGATATTGCTTGCTTCGCTGCTATGCTGATCTCTACGACAGATTGGTTCACATTTGGGCTTGGCTGGCATCTCTCATACCTTCATGGCCCACCCAACCAGTCGTTATCGCTCGACCCAAGCGGATAATAAAATCGAGCAAATTCTCCAGCCTACCCTACCCTGGTCGCTGGCGCTGACGAGCTTGCATATTCAACCTTCCTAACTTCTAAGGTTACGCGCTGCGTCGCTCGGAAACGCCAGGACCTTGTCTCCTTTCTATTTTCCCTTCGGGCTTATAGACGCAGTCAAGACTCAAAAGACAACAGGCGCGGCGGCCCTCGACCCAAACCCACCGTTCAAGGAATGGCTTGGCTGGTGCCGCACTCCGACGACGAAGGCCCTCCCTGAGGCTCCCCCCATCATGTACGTAAGTCGCAACGCTCCTCAGGCCCCATCATGCGGTGAAGGTAAACGGCGGAGACTGGGTCTGGGACCGCACTGAGTCTGGGACTCGGTCCTGTCGGCAACCACTTCACGGTAGCTTGTCTCTAAGATGACGAGCCTATCCCCGACAGTCAGGGCCCCGCAAACCGTTGGTCAGACTGGCACACTGGTTTGGTGTTCCCAGTCACGACGCACTACGAAAATACGTACACACTTACCTGTTTGACGCGATGACAAGACCTATTCTCCATCGCCCTTTTCAAAACTCTTGTTGTCAACTCGCCTCCTTGAAATCCCAGCATTTACTCTGCACAGAGTATGGTCCGGCAAGGGTAACCGCAGATCGAATCGCTGGGCGCAAAGCGCGGGCATCTCAAACACCCGCATCCCACTACAGCATCAATCCACAACGCGACACCGATGCCACGATATCACGATGCCACGATACTCTTGTCTTGGCAAGATAGTTACGGTCCACAAGTCCAAAGAGATGCGAGAGTCATCGTCAATGCAGGGCAGTTTGCCAGATGCACCCGACACCGCCTCAGCAGCAGCAGCAGCAGCACTGCGGGACGCTCAATTGGTTGCCTCTACGGAGTAGTCGTGCTTCTACTTGCCGATGACTTTCAACGGGGGGGTACTACCCACGGCTACGCGGGCGCACATTCCTGCGAGGGTTGTGGAACATGGGAATCAATTAAAAGCTGAGACAAATGATGCAGCCCAGCCCAAGCCAGCCGGCGGCCCAGACAGACTTCTCCGAACGGGATGCCACACCTCCAGGCTCCTAGGCAAACCCACCACATGAGCCACAGGCATCCAGGGCTGCACGCGCCACGGGGAAGCCGACTCAGCCAATGCCAAGTCCTAGCCTCCCGTCGTGAAGAGTTTCTAGCGGGCCTCAGAAGCCAAGCCGTAGGCCGAGCCAAGCTGTCTGTGATCGAACGGCGCGTTTCCTCGATTTACTCTTCCCAGACCAGGACGTGCCGACGTCTCTAAATCAGCTAGACCTTCACGGCCTCATTCCACGAATACACTTGGGCTGAATTCGTCGTCGCTCTAAATCACTTGGGCGGCTGCGGCTCAGCTCACCTCCACACTCCCGTACAGAGTATACGTACCCCTGCCTCAGGTCATTCACCAGCCTCGAACCCGCCAGCCTATCGCCGAATCATCGGCCCAGAACTCCAAACACCGCGAAAAGCACCTGCTGAATAAGGCTTGCTAAAAGTGGGGGCCTCGATACTCTCCTCGTCATCCCCCTCTCCGCCCCAAATGCGTGAAGGAACCCCAGCATCGTCACGTTTTTTCGCCGTGATTGGCCCGGCCAGCTGACGCTACATCGGCAGAAACCTTTTTTCTAATTTTCCTTCTTTGCTGCCCCTTCACCCCTTCCACCTCGAGGCAAACAAAGCAAGCACCACGGCAAGTCTTCCCCACTCTCGCCTAAGGCATGTGCTGAAATACGTACCCTTAGATCGGCGCATGCCGTTGTCGTCGACTAAGGTACTAGCCGTTCCAGACTATTGGCCCGGGACTACAGGCGCCCAATGTCTAGGCGGCTTTGACGCGTCCGAATTCCTTTTCCCAACATCACCCAGCTCATCGAGTCCATCATAGAAGTGTCGCGTACCGAGATGATTTCCAAGTCATTGGATGGCGCTGTTGGGCAATTGAGCATTGCGTCGAATACCAGACCCAGATGCCTGAGCTGGCCCTGCCAAGACACACTTGCTGCATCGTCGTTCTCGCAGATGACAATCTTCGGGCTCATTTATTCCGTCCAGTCACCGCCAAGAAGCGGTAGTGGCTCGCGGAGGACCGAACCCCAAGCCTACGTAAGATGTACTCCGTAGCCTTGAGGTGTTGGTGGTGGTGATGAAGCCTCTGTGCATACCATCCATCTTTGCCATGCATTGATCAAACACACGCACACATCGGTTCGCTTTCCATTACAGAGAAGAGACGTAAGACGTTGGGATTGCAGGAACCATAAAAGAAGGGAGCGAGGGAAGAGACCGGACGATCAAGGATTCCCTGACCAGTCCCCGACTCCCCCGTCCCTCCCGCGGTTGTGTTATGCACAACCGACCTGCTTCGAGGTTCATGTGTCATGTCCAGAGTTTCTTAACCTTTTTTTCTCGTTCTCTGTTGTCTGTACGGAGTAGTGCTCACTGCTCACCGGACGTTGCGGCTCACTATCCATCCATGTCCGCCACACCCGACAGACCGTCCCCGTCAATCTTAACCCCCGATGCATTAACCGTCCGGTATACAATGCATTACGGTGCCAGACTACGGTGGTTGAGCAGACTTTGTGTTTCTAGGCTTCGCTCGCCTTGCTGCCCGTTCTACGGATACTTACAGTGTACCATGTTAACCAAAATGACAAGCTCCAAAAAAAAGTTCGGCGCCCAATCCATCAATCCCGTAGATGGAAGAAGCTTCGATAAAAGACAAGATGAGACATGTCCCGGCAAAGTGCGAGAACGATTGGGATTAATTAGGAGGGACGGCAAGTTTTTTTTTTTTGCTTGGCTCGGAGTAAGTGGGTGGCCACCTTCTTTTTTTTTCGTTTTTGAAACATGACAACTCGTTATCCGTACTCAAAGATCTTATCGATGATGCGTTTTTCTTATTGCTCACTTTTTCTTCCCATCTCGGACTCGTCTCGTTTTGACCCTTTCGGACCGGGAAATCCGTGCGCGCGTTCAATCCAAACACGTTAAAACGAACTAGAACGCCCAAGAACAACCCAACCCAAGATGTCTAAAACTCACTACTATTCTATTCTACTCGACATACGAGGTAAGCTAATGGCCGCGTGGGTATCTCTTGAGGGCCATGTCTATTTTCACCTACGCGTGGTATCCGTACAGATACAGATAGGTATGCTGTGATTTGACGTGCATGGGTTGGTGGTGGGTGTGCCGGAGATCGACGGTTCCAACATTCCTCGGTTATTGTGTCCCGCAACTCTAAATCACCCGCTGGTAGGTACTAAAGGAAATCCGCGGGAACGCGTGTTTGACGGAAGTGCTGAAGGAAGGGGAGGAATGTGGGTTAATAATAATAAAAAACCGCGACAACTCACGGGAAACCCAAGACCGCGTTCTTTTCCCTCATTCCTCTACGGGCTGCATATTCGACAACACGCTTTTGAATAAGGGGGATTTCTGAGTCTTCTCTTTACCTTTGCTTGATCTCCACATCCTAAGCTCGAAGCATAGCAGCCGGCTTGGATCAAACCATGGAATGTGGAGTCATTACACTACCTACGCAAGCTTGATAAGGCAAGGCAGTTAAAGAAACCCCACTGAAGAAAGACGAGAAGACATACTCTGTTTATCAATTGTCAGCAGAGAGAGGGGGGGGGATAGCAGCTCGCCATGTCGCCCGTACGATATCTCATGTTCGGGGTCGAACGCCGCAGAGACCTCTTCCCGCCCAAACACGATCCCCAAATGCCGCCGATGACTGAAGATGAGGAGAGACGGAAAGGTTTCAGGGTTGGGCGGTATAAACGTAATTTTTTGACAAAACCGATTATCCGAAAAGTGAGTCTTTGATTCAGATCAAAGTTCCCCCCGTCTTAAGATAACCCCCGAGCCAAAAAGCTTGGGTGCGGATTCGACGGTGATGTCATGACGGAAGGTTGAGTATTGTCGATGGTGAATCTAACCCCCCGTATCAATTGATCGCAGGTGCATATTGCTATTCCATGAGCCTCAATTTCAAATCACCCGTGGTTAATGGGCGTTACTAAGTTCTTCAAAATTAGTGCATAGTTAAACTTCCGTCGGTCATGAAGTGGCAATGTTTCTATATAACAATCATCTACTGCGGATGCACAACTACTACTGCATCCGCTCCTCAATCTCTGAAGTATAAGAACCGAAGAAAACTGTCACGACATCACAACGTCAAGATAAACTCAAGAAAGACAGCCCGAGATCACCACACTCAGCACCAAAACACATAACCTCCCGTTCCGTCATCTGGTTATACAAGCAAAGCCCCCACCAACCGTCAACATATATCATGCAGATAGGATCAGACTTTTCATGTTTCCACGGTCCTGTATACGCCTCACGCAAGATTGGCGCACGCAGAGTTTCCTCTTCTCCATCTATCATGTACGATGTTGTCCTTGAATACGTTGTGATTATCACAGATACCAGGTGCCTTGATTCATGTAGCACCGTACCTAGGTAGCAAGGTAAGGTACCTTACCATGGTAGGGGTGGGGCCCGTGAGTGAGGTGGATGGGGTCCCGTCCGCGCCCCGGCACGAATATTCCCCCTCCGCCCACGGACCGGCGATCGCGCGTGTCAGTCGCAAAGAGGGAAGAAGAAAAAAAAGAAGGGAAGGGGGCCGAACTGAAGATTCGATGGGAGGAAACGCTACCGACTGCCGGTCCGAGGACAAAAAAGAACATATTACATCTAATCATAAGAAGATGGTCAAGGGGGGGTCTGTCAAAGAAACATTCCTACAAAAGAAAGCCCCGGAGTTGGGACTGAATATACGCCAACAAAAAGAAGAACAAAACGAACGCTGTCCGAGGGTGCATACGGAACGGGTACGGGTACCATGACTTCTAATTAGGTCCGAGGGCTAAATATTTCACACACAACGTCCCCTTCCTCGCCTCTCTTCGGCCCTTCGGCGCCGAAGAATCGGATCCTAGTGGATGAGGCCCCCCCCCATCGAAGATCTTTGTTTCCTCTCGGGTTATATCTGCCGGTGGAGCTTATATTTTCCCAAGAGACCAGCCGGGCCGGCCATCATGACGCAGCACGTGGGAAGATCGTGGTCATGGGGAGCGCGCGCGCGCGCGTGGACCTAAATCCGAATCTAAACACTTTTGACGGCAGAACGGACAGAGACTATGCAAGTTCTACACATACATCATTTCGAATTTACGCCCATTGGGTGTAGGTTAAAGCTCTACACACTACCTAGGGCCAGACCGTCGCTGTCATAATCCTGGATCGCCGCTCATACCGCTTTACAGACGCACGCGCGCACTGGAGGTATCCGTCTTTAGACGCCGATGCCAAACAAAAGAAAAACCCGAATTAGAAAAAAAAAAAGTTCCCCCAAGGATTAACACGGATCGACACATACGAGTACACTGTTGGCCGCAGCCATAAACCGGCGCCGGTGCCGTCTTAGTCCAATCGTCCAAAATCGGCTCGTGAGCTGGCCATAAAGAAAGGAAAGTAAACCGATTCTCTAGTCGAAGTGAAGTATTGTCTCTCTCCCCTTTGTCTCTTCTTTTCTCATGATGCGGATTTATCGCTCGAGTCCTGCTCGGGGTGGTAGTTGGTCTCCCCCAGCATCGCAGTCGGCTGCGTAGTCATAGCCGTCTGCGTGTTGGGCTGCGGTTGCGTCTGTACCGTGGGACCCGTGGGCTGCTGCGCCGGAGGTTGCGACGAAGATCGTGCCGCTGTGCTTGTGGTGGCGGCATGGAGCCTCTGGTCCAACGTCTTCAGTGCCAGCGCTCTTCTCCGCTCCGCCTCGGCTCTTGCGCCGCCCGGTGCGCCCCTCTGTATGAAGTTGTTGCCTCGTCCGGATGGGAGGTTGTCCGCGGAGAAGGGGCTACATATCCGCATCGCTACCAGCACCTCAAAGATCTGGTTTGAAAGGGTGGCGACGAAGGGCTTCACCGGTGCCGGGAAGAACTCGGCAAATGCAAACGTCTCGCTAGCGTCTCCGCGGAGAGAAGTCGGCTGGGAAGAGTCGAGGTCGGGGAAGACGGTCTTGTAAAAGCGGAGGTATGTCCAGCTCGTGAGCAGGCCGCTCACAGCAAGGGAGAAAGAGGCCGCCGTCAGAAGCGGTGTCAGAGATAGGACAAAGACGATGCCGAGATATAACAGAGGGAATCGCGGAACTCGAAGGGAGAGGATGCCACGGAACAGAGTAACAGTGTGCGCCGGGACGAGCTGGCTGAATGCGACGAGGAAAGAGATCTGCATCGGAATCGTGCCGCCAATAACGGTCAGTCTGTCAGGAGCTTAATTAGTGTTGCTGGCGGCAGAAACAGGGGGGGATGCCAACTTACGTCCAGCGCTCGTTTCTTGTCAGGGTGAAGAAGATGATCATGAGCGCAAAGGTCAGGACATTGGGGATCAGCGCCGTGACGGCGACGAACTTGGCCAGCTCCGCCGAAGACCAAGCTCTCTCGAGGTATCTACCGCCTTGATAAATGGTGACGCCGGCGATTCCGAGCGTGAATATGTTATTCTCGACCAGTGTTGAGGTCAAGAAGGTCCACGGATAAATAAGGGAGAGCTGAGGGATGAGCGTCAGGTACGGTATCACGATCTCGGATGTCGCGCTCCATTGACGATAGCGGATCGCGGCGCTCAGGAACGACTGCACGACAAGCACGGCGAGCAGAACCCGGGTGACCGGCGGGATGTTGATTCGGGGCGGCATTTTGGACAGCTTCCGTTCGGGGAGGACGTCGTCAACAGCTCATCTAGGTTGGGATCGTGAGTTGGGCAAGCTCGCTTTTTTTGCCCTTCAGATATCTGGTTCCTGGAGCCTCACACAAGGGGACACTTGGACGTGAGTGGTAAGGCGTCCCGGGGTCGTTTCAATGGGTCCAGAGACGGATTAATAGTAGTGCCGATATCAGAGATGAGCTAGTCCCGGCAGGGGGAAGAGCTGGAAGCTTAGCGCACGGGCCTTGCAGACGGGACTGATTGGATCCCGTGGTCCATTTTGGCGGGTTCCCAGCAAAATTGACACGGGCAGCTTCTCTCCCCGGTTGCGGTACGTACCTAAGAACCACGTTACCCCGAGACTCCCTCTCGTGCCTCAAGTTCTCTCAACGATGTGTCTCTGAATGCCAATATCAACGTTAGGGATTGTCCTATATTCATGAGAAATCCTACGATGAGTGCCAACTTGCGGCGAATCAGCAAATGAAAAGCCATACGGATACCTGCACGAGAGGCAATTAGCGGCGCACAAGCAATAGCACAACAGGCCCCCGAGTTTTTCATCTGCAAGGCGATGAACGGGCTGGGAGGGGGGCGTGGGAGTGTTCCACTGGTGGATACGACGAGTCCTCGATGCGGTCGAAACGGGGAGATCTCGTGGTTCCATCCCTGCAGGGCTCCCAAGTGCACTTGGTTCGGTTGAACGCCAGCCCAGCCCGGCCGTGCCAGTCAGAAGCCGTCGTCCGCCCTTTCCCACAGGTGCCACCGTCCCGTCCGGCCTCTCGGCAGGAGAAAGCCTTGTTGTTGTTGTTCATTGTCTTCAGCATGGCCATGAGCAAAGGGCCATTTCAACGATCCTTTGGGGGAATGTTGCGACGGATGGCAGACATGCCTTTCCCCAGCGCAAGCTGTGGCTAGCTTTGGTGAGAACGCCACAGTGCCCAGGCGGCCAAGACTGACTCGAGAAAAGGGCCCCCTGGACGCCTTCGGACGGTGCCGCAAACCTCGGACGGGCTGCCCTAAGACAACCAAGAAAAAAAGTGCCAGATCGCTCGTTTGCTTGACTAAGTAGGCTTTGTCGGCTAGGAGGGAGACGCCGTTGCGTTCGCTATGGCATCACTGAATGTCAGAGAGGAAACGAACTGTCAATCTGCAGTAATCGTCGCCACCCAACTTCCAACGAATCGATCGCTTGTCATCATTGCAACGAATGTCAGCTTCCCCGAAACCCAGTCCGCGGCTGGCGGCTCAAGTCCGACATACCCTTTCCCTCGTCATCTCAATACCTACCTACCCCAGACGCTGCGGCGGCATTGCGCTGGGACACATGTCACCATTGAAGCATGAAATCCGAACACCAAGCAAATGGCAACGGGCAATAAACAGCACAAGCGGCAGTACGGATATACTACGAATAGGCATCGTTTGAGTCTGTGCCAAGGTGCCAGGGTGATCTCTGTGAGAGCGTGCTGCCATTCCCAGGGGTGTTTCCGAACAACAAAACGTCGGCCAACGTTGACGGGATGGGGTTTGACCACAAAACGAGGTCCCATTCGGCCAGCAGTGAGTGGTCACAGACAGGCGGTGGCAGGGGGGCCTGAAGAAGTCCCCGGAGCTATTAAAGATCGAAGGCCATGCAGCCATCACATCCTTGTCCACACCCACCCATGGCGCCTCGCAACCAGCGGTTCCCGCCAGGGAAGGCCCCTTGATGGGCAATGCCACGTACACACAAGAGATGACCTTTGCGGGCAGACAGACGAGAGCTTGGTACGAAGTAGAGGGGAGAGGGAGCAGGATGGGAGGAGTACCGAGAAAGACGATGAACGCCTGCATCGACGACGACAGTGGCATTTCGTCGACCATACGTCGTTGACACACCCAAGTGCGGTAACAACCCTCAAGACAAGAGAGGCTTGTTCCGGTTGTCTCGTCCGACTCCGACCTTGAGCGCGCCCCCAGCTGCTGTCATGATTGGTATCCCCCACTCGGCACCGTACCTTGCCTTGCTCATTCAAGGTTTGGCGGTACGTACATGACGGGTAAGAATTGGAAACAGACGACAAACCGCTGCCCATCTGCGCGGGCTGCAGCCCCAAGAGGCGCGGCCCTCTCTCGGCATTAGCCTCCAGGGCGGTGGCCGCATGGGGCAAAAAGAGAGAAAGAAAGCCATGTACGTATCGATTTGTGCATGCAAGCTAAGCCGTGCCGCACTCAAGACGACGGTTGGGCGGAGACGTCAGAACACACACAAGCACCAGTGGCCCAGTGCGCCAGACAAGCATAGTCTGGCGCTGGGAACTGATCCCGTTGCTCATCTCGTCCTCCCTCCTTAGCCTGGCAAGCCTGCTTCTGCGGCGTGCTTCCGCGCGTGTCTAGCCCTGCTTTAGTTGTGCACCTTTTAGTCGTGGAACAATGCTGGGGGCCAGAAACAGCACCAGGTTCACCAGGTTCACAAGACTGGGAATGTTTCTGGGTCTGGGGTGTGCACCTGCCGCCTGCGTGTCTCTTCTGATCTCCGACCGGTGAGGTGGAGATGGGTATCCGTAGCGGGATCAAGACGAAAGGGGGGGGAAGAGGGATGGGGGATGCCGGAGCACGGTGGCAGGTCAGTGGTCACTACCAGTGGTGATACAAAAATTGCATTCGATTGGCGCAGATGCGCTAGAAGCGATGTGCGGCGGCGCCCGCAATGGGCAGACATGACGGACGGCAGAGTCAGAAGTTTGAGCGAGCAGATCAGGACTGGCTTTGCGGCGTGCCTTGGTTGAAGACATTAGAGGTTTTCGGTGTTTCCCATTGCTCCAAGAAACTTGGGAGCCGCCTTACGTAAGGTGGGTTTCGAGGGGGGGGCTTGAGATGTAAAAAAAAAAAAAACTCTAGCCAATCCGTGCATCGCTCTCCCGTCTTTGTACCTTTATATGTAGCTTTGGACTCTACGGATACGTACTCCGTACTGCGTAACTTTGTCGCGGTCGGTACGGATCTGAGGACACTACGGAGCACCTTGAAAGTTCAACGTCTCCAGCCCTCTGTCCGTCCACGGTCCAGCTGCCTGTATCCTTGATTCCTTACGTCTGTCAGTCAGGAAGAGCCCAGCATCCACTGTGTCTTGCTTGTTCTGGACCCCTGAAACCATCGAGGTTTTTTTCTTCTTCTTTTCTTCTGATGCGGTCACGGGCGAATACTCGTCGATACGTACATCAGTATCCGTACCCTGCCTATCTGTGCACACCTTGGAAGGCATTCGCTTGCCCCGTGGTCAGTCAGCCAAACGACCAGAGATCAACACATACAGAGCAAGAGATTGAGCGCATTCGCGCACTTGGTATATCGAGTGCTATTTTGGATGGAAGTGTGCCAGGCAGAGGGATCCATCACCGATGCTCACATTGCACGACAGCATGGAGAAGCCTAGCGAGAAGCGAGCGACGCATTACTCCCGTTACTCCGTACCTACCTCGAAGATCGAGAAAAGCACGCTCAGCCAGCTGGGCCCCAGGCAAGGCACGAGGCAAAGAAGGGCAAAAGAAGAGAGGTAAATGTACTTTTACGCATGCGCGAGTATGAGACGGTACTTGGGACAAAGCGCAAGGGGCGGCATTGTGACTGGGTGTCAGGACCACCTTCAAAGTGCCCCAAAATGTGGCTCTCCCGGGAACCCTGTCTTGAGTAGCAGCCCCAAACACCACACCCCAAGTTCGATGGACCACAACAACAAATTGATGGACGGGGACCACGGGATTAGCAGAGAACTATCGTTTTCTCGAAGGCTGCCCGCCCCTTCTGCCTCCTCCCCTCCCCAGACAACAATTCTCTCTGGGTCCTCCCCTGACCTTCATGGTGAAAGATTTCCATCGCCTTCGAGTCGGTCGTTTCCTTCTGCCCGACACCCCAACAGCTTTTTTTCTTCTTGTCGAGACAGCCGCGCTTCGAAACATGGCAAAGTACTGGGAACAACGGGGCAAGTCAAAGGAATTGCCTGCCGTCTCGTCATTGTCGTTACCGTCGCGGCTGGCCCAAATTTCCAATGGGATCGCTGACTGGCTAGTGATTTCGAGGAACGGTCCAAGAGGTACGCTGAAGGTTAAGTACCTTGGATCATGCACTTTGGGGCCTTGGAGCCGGCTCCACACCCGCCCGACATGTGTGGTACGTACCACGTGGGTAGGTAAAGGTATGCTTGTTCCTCCAGCTCCCGTCCCAGTTGATGGGAGAAAGTGTGGAAGTCTCCAAAGATTTCGTGTCTTGGTTGATGCTGGCTTTGCGCTCGTTCGTTCATCAGTCTTTTGCCTGGGACTTGCAAAGCCTCGACCAGGGTCCAGGGCCTCAGGCTGATCCCTTTCCCTATCCTCCCCCTCCCCGTCTGGCGAGTTCCCTGCTGCTCCTGATCCGACTGCGACAGGTGTGTGTGCGCATGTGTGCGTGTGTGCGCCGCCTGCAACTGCATCGTCGTGCCGCTGCACCGATGGGGACGGAGGCATACATCGGGTCGTTGGTGGTCGCGGTAGTGTCGAGGGCACCACCGTACCGTACGGCACCTTGAGCAGAGAAAAGAAAGCTGCTGGTGATCGACGGGACGGCGGTAGGCAGGTAAATTTATGGGGTGAGTGCATCAGCTACTACTACTACTACCTTAGTAACCTAGGTAAGGTATTGGTAGTGTATCCGTACTGTGGTGTATGGTAAGGTACGGATAGCAGTAGCGAAAATGCCACTGCCAGTTCCACGCGCACTTCGGCTTCCATCCGTCGTCAAATGCTGCGCAGGTGGCAGCTAATAACAGTGAGTGCAAGCAATGCGGAGGCGACGCCGCGACGCAGAGAGCGAGAAAAGGCGTATTGTGCTCATCCCGTCATGCCCCGGTCCCAAGTCCCAGTTGTACCTTAGTCGCAGTCGCAAGTGTCAGCCCAGCCAGGTATCTCTCTCTCTCTCTCTCGAGTCTTGAATCTTGACCAGGTGTCTCTCCTCTTCCTCGTCCTCCATCCATTCCATCCATCCTCCTCCTCCTCTTGCTGCAGTGCTGGGTCCCCCCCCCCCCCCCCCCCCGGTCAGTCATAGGCAGTCCCCTACCTTAGTCGCTAGTCCAGTCAGTGCCCGCCATTGAATCCAACTGGGCTGCTGGCGCTAGCGCCACGCCTCACGCCTGGTCTCGCCTAAACAAGGTACGTAGGCTACGTACCGCCAGATTCAGATTCGCCCATCCTTCCATTTCATCCACTCTTGCGGGCTTCCTCAATCTTCAATCTTTCCTCATCTTGAATCGACGACTGCAAAAAACCGCTTCCCCCTCGACCAACGACGCCAGCAAAACGCGCCCGCGAAGGCTCTCATCGAGTGCCCCATCGAAACATCTTACAGAATCTCCTTCAATCACGCCGCCTACAGCGGCGCCGAGCGGCATGGTCACCAAGGAGTACCTCGACTCGGACAGAGTCAACTTTCTCGTCTGGAGGTGAGTTCACCCTTTTTGCGTCTCACCCACTCCCGCCCGCCGCACCTCCACGCACATTCGCGCCTCACTCATCTCACGACCTCTGGCTTCAACCTCTCATGAATTGGCTCTCGACCGACGGCCTCGCGCCCTCATGCTATCGCTGACATGCTGACTTTGACTCTCCTCTCAGGTATCTCTTGGAAGGCAGTACGTGACAACCGTCTGGGTACAGCCAGCGACAGCTGGTGGTGGGCCACGGGCTTTTTTTTTTTTCTGACGATTGCAGACTACCGAGAAACCGCAGCCAAATTCCAGAAAGAATGGCACATTCAGCAACCTCATCGTCATTTTGATTTCGCAAATCACGTCAAGAGCCACGCTTTGGTGTCCGTCATCAACAAAGGCCTCTGCTACCATGCCCTCGAGAGAGAGCATGCGAAGAAATTGGTAAGGCATTGTGCTCCACTCGGCTGTCCTCCCCCCCCCCTTCCCTTCCGCGTCATGAGCAACCGGTGCACCCCGAGTCGGCGGCGAGACGGACGGGTGGGTGTGTGGAAAATGTGTGAACTCTGGCAAACTAACATTTTCTCTGCGCGTGCAGGTGCCTCCAGATGCTGCGGCTGCGGCCGAAGCACTGCAGGTGGGGTTGTTTGGGCCATTGATCGTTCAACCGCCTCAAAAGATTGAGGAGGATGAGGACGCAGATGGCGAGGTGGACGACACAGAGATGGAGGTCGAAAACACTCGGAAACGCCAATTTGACAGCCGGCCACAACAGCAGCACATGGTGAATGGCGGCTCACCCAGCAAGCGGCCCAGGCTTAGCAATGGGTATGAGAGCACGAACGGGGCGGATGCAGCCACGGACCCCATGGAGCTAGACAGCCACGGCGACAACAACCACGCCTATCCGTCACCTCTCGAAGGCGAGCAAGCTCCGACGCCCACCCCGAGAACAGATGGCCCGGAGCAGGGCACGCAGGTCGACAAAGTCGAGGAATTGGCCACAGAGACGACCTTTCTGCGATTAATGCCCGATGACAGCAGCACCAGCGCCGGTGCCACCAACAACGCTCGCGACGGCGGCGCTGCAAGCGCAGGCGGCCCCGGAGCTTCGCCCTCGACAGCCAACGGTGAAAACGCACCCATCCTGTTGCGCTGCGAGTGGAACCCAAAGGACCCATCAATCTTGGCGGCTGCTGGAACCGATGCGCTAGCCCGTATTTGGACCCTCTCACGTTCAAGCACAATGACGCCTACTCCAGCTCCCGAACCCGACGGTCACGTGCATGGTGTACATCGCCCGTTTCATAGTCTCATCGACGACGAGACTCCCAGGACAGCCACAGTAGGTCAACTTGCTTGGAATAGTGGGGGAACGGCCATCGCCATTGCCATCGAACATGGCGACAAGGCGTCTGTCCACATCTGGGCAAAGGACGGTTCTCATGTCGACAAGTTCGACGTCTCGGACCCTCCCGTGATCAAGCTCCGTTGGAGCCCGAGCGACGCAGCCCTTCTCGCCATTGCGCCCGATAACAGCAACGCAAACGGACCCGGCGGCGCTCTGGTCACTGTCTATCACTCCCTAACGTCCAACACATTGTCCTATTTCCTGCCAAATCACGACTTGCTCAGCTGGCCACTGGATGCTGCGTGGACCAGCGAAACAGAGTTCCTCCTCACTGGCGGAGATGTCATGTTGTCACTGAAGTGCACGGAGATGGCCATCGTGCCGAACAAGAAGTTGGAGAGCAGGGAGGACGACACGTTTACTCAGGTTGTCTATGACCGACGATCAAAACTTTCCGCAACGGCGAGCGACAAGGGCATCCTGGATGTAAGTATCCCGAAACGCCTGTGCCATGAGAGTTCAGCTGACTCAACCTTTTAGCTTTGGGACGAAGATGGTCACCGCCGGTCAATAACGGCCCACTCTGGGGCGATCACGGCGGTACAGTGGCAGCCCCTCCCGGACGATGCCAACGTGCCGGAAGACGAGCGGTTGATCGCATCTGGAGGCGATGATTGCGCCATCATTATTTCCAACGCCAAGGACCCTGAGCCAGGAAAACCAAGGTCCATTCTGACCATGGAATCGCCCATTGTATCGATTGCATTCACACCAGATGGCGCCTTCATCGCCGGAGCCACGGCTGGTCGGATTCTGATCTGGAAGGTTGGTGAGCAGCACACTATGCCAAGGGCAAGTTGGAGCAGATCGCCGCATCCCGGATGGCTCAGCCCCAAGGCGAGCTCGGAGCCAGAGGACGAGGATGAGCACTGTTTGTGCTGGGACGCTGACGGACAACGCCTCGCATATGGAGCTAACAGCAGAGTAAGTCATATCTTTGAGATCTCGTGGTGCGACCTGATGCTAATTCTGCACAGCTGGCTGTTATCAACTTCCGTCGGTAGGCGAAAAACGAGATTTCGTGCCCTTTGGCACACGTTAAAAGTCGTTCAAAGCATTCCAACGGAGTGTTAGACGTTATAGAGACTCGGTACTCCAACACCAAACGGCCGAGACCCTCCGAGGAAGAGGAAACCATGCCCACCCTCCGAGGGTGTCCTTACCAGACGATCCTGTATCGTGCATTTACCACTTTCGAATTTTTGCAGTTATCCGGCGTCGCGGCGGTGTTGTTTATCGATGATTTCAGACAGGCCCCCAACAGGCGGCGGGGTTAGGGCGGGGAACCGGCTGCCTTCTTGCATACGCATACCTTCATCTCACATTACAACTGAAGCTTCTGGAAAGGACGACTGGCGTCTGCGTTGGTTTAGATGTCACCGTGGTAGATGATTTCGGTCTCTTGTTCCTCTGGTTGACTGATTGTTCCCCAAACGGACTCGTGTCCTGCCAGCGGAGGAGGAATACTTACTTGACACCTGAGGGGTCAGCACGTTGTACACTATGCCTGTATATACCAAACGATATGGAAAAGGGAAACTATGAATCTTGACTGCTTCATGTTGGTCTGATTTGTGTGTGATTTCATGTTGTACTAGTGAAGGACTCTAGGTATCGTGAGATGATCAGGATTGACAGCCTCTGATAACATCCAGCTGTCGTATGGGTCGATAGGTGAAGAACTCTCTATTGATGAGTTCCTTATTTTCATCGCGGATTTAAGCACACAGACGGCATGCGGCTCCAAAACAAATTTGCTCGTCAGGGTAAGATACGTTGTCAAATCACCGGCAGCTTGGTTAGACGTGACACAAAAATGGCAACTCGCGGCTTTCCTTTTGCTCGACCGCCCGTCGCCCCCGCATCGGATCCGGACGGACGGGGGAGAGGCGGAGGGGGAAATGGAAGGGAAAGGGGAAACCCAGCCACAACCTGCTTGGTTAATTGCCAGCGCGGCAGCGCCTCCTCATCCGTGCCCCGCACGTGTGAGTGAGTAGGTACCTTGTCCATTGCCAACGACGTCCCGTCATTTTTCATCCGTGCGCGTCCGTCGTTCCCCCTCTGATTGCAAAGAGGGTTATCTATCAATCCCATTGTTCCAATCCAAACCCGCCCTCGACTACCAAGAAGAACGCATTGTTTCTTTTTTCTTCCACTTCCCGTCGTGGACTCGAAGATTCCAACAGACCGAGGTGATTGTGCCTCACTTAGTTAGGTCCGCCATATTGATCTCGCGATATCTCGACGCTGCTTGACGGATCTTTCTTTTTGACGAACAGGTTCAAGTGAGCGAGGCGACTCACTGCGTATTGAGTGAGGTGAACTGCGGAGGCAGGAACGACCTCACGAAGCCCGACGTGCCTAATCGACCTCGGAATCCAAGAGCTCTCACCACCACTTTACAACTTCTCTCATCTCTCACTCATCACACATACGACACCCACCCAAACCAACAACTCATCAAACCACCCTCTCACACCTCATTCACACACACAAGAAAAAATGTCAGCACCATACTACACCCCCCAACGACCCTACTTCCCCCCTTCAAACCACCCCTCGGCATCCTCCTCCACCTCAACCTCTCGTCCCGGCGGCACATCAGGAGCAACACCCTCCTTCACACCAGCCATGCGCGACCGCCAAGCCCGCGGAAAAGACCCGTACTCACCGCACGACAGCCCATCAGACTCGGATCTCGAGTTTGATGGCCCCGGCGGGGGCTCGCCTTCGAGGAGCGGGGTGGGTAGGTTGGGACATCTTGGTCCGGGAGGCGGACATCACGGTGGTGGTGCTGGTGGTGGTGGGATGTTAGCTGGAGGAGGAGGAGGTGTTGGAGATGGTGATTCCCACGAGGTTAGGAGACGGAAGCTTTGGGCTGTTGCTGTGCTTGAGGATCCGGAGAAGTTGGCCATGTATGCGTGTAGTCGCGGAGACGTGAGTATTTGCTCTTTCTCGTTGCCTTTCCTTCTCTTCCCGTCCCTCCCAGATGTTAATCCCACCTTCACGTACTCCTCACACGAAATGCACATCTCTGTGCTGATCTGACACCCCTTTTCGCAGAGCATCCCCGGAACCCGCCTCCACTTCACCCGCATGCTCTGCGGTTTTGACGAGGAGCCGACGCTGCAGCAGCTGCAGCAGTCGGACCACCGCAAGGTGTCATCGTCTTCGGCGTGGCGGGATCCGAGACGGCGGAGCGCTGGAGGGGACCGGATGGGTCGTCATTGATCGGGGAAGGGGGATGGAGGACATTTCTACCTTGTTACTCTTTTTTTAAACGGCCTTTCTTCACTTACGACTTGGGGGGGTGTGTGTGCGACTGGCGGGTTATGGCGTCGGGACTTTTGATTTTGGAATTGGGGGGGGGGGGTTCTTTTTTGGGAGGATTGCTGTTCTTCATGACGGCCTGCTCTGCCTTGGGTGTCAACTCGTGGACGGCCCTTGCCCATGGATGAGAGAGTGGTAGAGAGACTTCCCTTCAAACACTTCTCTGAGAGAGCTTGCTTCGGGTTCTGGCAAATGAGGAATAAGGGAATATCAAGGAGTTATAGAGTCACCACATCACGCACCCTCAACGCTACCTCAAATCAGACAAACTGCAATGAACTCACGACAAGGTACAGATCCAGGTCAGATATCTCAATGTGGAAAAAAGGGATTGTATGTCGGTCTTCCCGCTGGTATCCGCACCGGATCAGCCAGCTGACCTAAAAGAAGCTATGTAAATCTTTCTCTCCCCCCTCCCCGACCATTCTCTAGGTAAAGGCTAATCCTTCTCATAAGGATACAATCCGTACCCCCTTGGTCATCATAATTACACGAATTAGCATTCCCGTATCAATACAGGTTGCCGTGGTTCAATGTGCAATCGTTTTAGCCCCCTGGTCTGAATCCAAAAAAGGGGTTGTGGGCAGTAGTAATAATAGTAAGAAAGAAAAAAAGAAAGAAAAAGGAAAAAGCACCGCCAACTCCGAGTAATGCAATGATCTAGAAATATCCAATGGATCCCACTGTGCCGTCCTGTATTTCCCTCCTCGAGCTGTGCCACGTCACTTTTTTTAAGCGTACCTGGCGCTCTGAGTCCTGTTCATCTCCCACCCCCCGTTCTGATAGGGGTCACCGCCATGATAAGGCGGCGGCGCACCAGGACGCGTAGCAGGCGGCGGCGGCGGAGGGATGTTGGGGTTACTCCAGGCGCCCCCTCCGTAGCCGTTCCCGTTCCCGTTCCCGTTCCACCCGCCATTATGCGCCATCGCCGGCACAGGCACGGGCTTGAGGCGCTTCGCCCTCTGCCGGCTCCTGCTCCGCCGGCACGCGCCGCAGATGCAGCTAAACAAGACAATGAGGACCAAGAGGCCGACGACGACGACGACGGGGATGAAGATGCCCTTGTTGTTCTGGATCCAGTCCATAATCTCGGTGCCGGCGTTGGCGCCTTGGCAGACGCCGTTGGAGCACTTGCCGCCGCCCGTGCACGATGTGCCGTCGAGGAAGTTCTGGTTCATCGTCACGCAGGCGCCGTTGCCGATGCTGGGGACGTTGCAGGAGATCATGCAGTCTGAGCTGCCGCTGTTGCACGAGGTCACCGAGGTGGAGTTGGTGCGCGAGCCCCAGGCCGTCTTGCATTGTTGGTCGCGGGAGGTGCACTGTCCAGAGGCGCAGGTGAGGCCCTCGCCCGAGTTGCCGCAGGTATCGCCGTCGGCCTTGTGCTCGTCGCTGGGGCACGTTGACGATGAGCCGCTGCAGGTCTCTTGGGGGTCGCAGGAACCGGTGCTCGTTCTGCACACGGTGCCGTTGGACGCGAACTGGCACTGGCCGTTGCAGCAGTCCTCGTTGGCGGGGTCGCAGACTGATCCGGTGGTGAACTTGCACGTCGTGGGGTTGCAGCATTTGTTGCTGCCGCAGCCGGATGTGCCACCGCAATCGCAGTCCTCGCCTGACTCAACAATGCCGTTTCCGCACTGGCTTCCGGTGATGGTGTTGACGTTACGGTTGTTGGTCAGGCAAGATGACTTGACCTGGTTGCGGAGGAGACCGGAGCAGATGTTACCGATACTGCAAGGGGAGAAGGCCGTGATGCCGGTGCCGGTCGACGGGTTCATAATGTAGGTGCCACCCGCAGGGCAGGTGCTGGAGCTCAGGGGGCAGCACCGCTGCATGTCGGAATCGCCATTGCTGCAAGTGTCGGAAGTGCAGTCGTGTACGGCACCAAAGGTATGGCCGACCTCGTGAGCGATAACCTGCCACTCACTGGGCGTCTGGATCACTACATTGGCCGATGCAACCGTCTCGTTGTTGCTGCCGCTGCCGGAGGTCTGGGCTCCATCGGTACAGGCCTGTCCCAACCACGCCAGACCAACGGCGGAATCGGTGCCGCAGGTACTCAGAAGCGTCCAGAAGGCGTTGTCGTCGTTGGCCTTACCACGCCACGCTGAGAAGAGGTTCAGACGATCGGTAATCGTGACGCTGTTGCTGCAGGCGACGTTCCATGGGGCGGTCGAGCTGGCCTGTCCAGGGCAGTTGGCATCGCTAATTGTGAGATTCTGGATTCCGAGTGAGATGTTGAACGTGCTCTCATACACCTCGGACGCGGCATTGATCACGTCGATGATGTTCTGCCTGACGGCCTGCGTTGAGTTGAAGGCGGCGGTGTAAGTGCAGTCCGTGGCGACGCCGAGGAGGGCGATCTTGCGCGTCGTCGGGCATCCGTTGGTTTGTCCGATGGTGGAGACGAGGTTGACACCTGCACCGTTGTTACCGGTGCTGCCGTCAATCTGTCTGCCGAAGATGTTGCGTCCGAAGAGAGAGTTTGATGGCACGGACTGCAGGGGTTCGGCATCCCGCGCGTCAAAGATCTTGTAGTCGGTGTTGAAGTCCAAGCTGTCCGAGTTGCATGAAGACCGGCCGAAAATTTCCCGCTTCTTTTTTAGATCCTCACGGTCGGTCCAGTATTCGATAATATCCGAGTCCCTCCAGACCACCATGTACTCGTCGGGGTTCCGGCCCTTGCCCGGAGCGTCGGGGTCCTCGCGGTGCTTGCGCGCATGGTAGTTGGTTCCGGTCTGGATTCGGTGGTGGTCGTCGTCGATCCGGAAAGCGCCCTCGAAAATGGGTTCTGCGCCGTCTCGGTGTACCGTGATTCGAGCCCATCCAGCGTGCCTCCAGTCGTTGGGGCTTCCCTCGTGGCGTACGAATGCCTTTCCCCTGAATACCCGGTGCTCTAACCTGTCGACAGTTTCTGTGGTATGGATCTTGCCGTCGTGGCCCATGTAATTCACTTGCAGATTGTTGTGGAGAATGTCATCGTTCGGTTCCAGCGCAAGGCGTATTTGCTGTTGCTTGTCGTGTATAGAGAAGGTGAGATCGAAGTGCGAAAGGGCGTGGCAGTGTTGTGAAGGGGAGTGGAAGACGGCATCTTCGAGGATGGTGACATAACTCAGCGGGTTGCGCTGTGTCGAGTGTGCTGTCCGCCGGCGTCAGTATGCATCGCCGTAGAAACATCACTTGCCCATACATACCAAAAACACTCTGGGGAAGAGCCGCGAGGCCGGCAAAGGCGGCAGCTATGGTCCTAAAGGAAACCATGGTATGTGGTGGTGTCCCCGCAAACGGGGTGAGGCTCAGAGAGGCCTCTCACTTGTGGTGTTGCGTAAGCCTCTCGAATAGGGGAGACTGAGCGTAAGAGAGAAAGAGGGTCTGGTCGGTTTGCGATCGTCCCTAAACCACTGTTGTGCCCGCGTCGCACCGCGTCGTTCCGGGTGTTTTCCAAAAAATAAAAAAGGAGTAAATACACACACGAAGACGAAGGGATGACGAACAAAAAAGGCAACAAGACAGACGGCAAAGTAATAAAACAAGAACGGACGAATGGAGAGTGGTGGACGGGGAAAAGAAGGTGGAAAGTCCGGGTGCTGGCGGCCGACTGCAAAATAGTGTGCGAGTGTGAGATGAACGGTGGATTGCGCAACACGATCTCTTGGTACGGGGGCGTGGACCAACTGTATTGGAGCTCGAGAGGTGCTGTGGATTCCAGAGGCGGGCTGGGCGACGTCTTGGTAACTCTTGGCTTAGTGCTACTCGGCGACGCGGCAGTGGCAACGCCAATGTCCAAGTATCCTCGTGGGGGCTGGGACAATGCACCTGGTAGCCTCCCTAGCAACCAACCCGGTTTTCGTGTCTGTATCTCTCGGTTTGTCGTGTTGAGTACGGAGTACGGTGCAAGAGAGAGAGAAATAGTTACTGCGTATAAACGACAGTCCCGAAAGGGGGTTGGGTTGGGTCGGGTGAGTGAATCAAGGTTGCGGGATGGGTTCTATTGTGGCTCTGCACACTCTTTTCTCTCCTCTCTAGACTCCTGACTGGCTGGTGATGTACAAGGTACCCTTATCCAGGACCAGGGGAGGAGAAAGAAGCCTGGGAGGATGGTTCGGATCTTGTGTCCCTGTTTCACTGTTAGTTGCTGACAACCTTTTGGCAACGGAAAGCCGCAAGATGCCAATTAATTCTGCGACCCGGTCGATCCCCCCTTCCCCCCTTCCCCCCTTCCCCCCCAATCGACCCCGAGCCCATGGACGCCAACACGGGCGCTACGCTGGACGCTGCGCTTGCTTTGCTCGCTCGCTCGCTCTCGTGATCCCTCCCACGCACCCGGGCTGGCTGTCACTGACACCAACATTCCCAAAAAGGAATAACGAGAAGAATTGGGGCCACCAAGAGAAGAAGAAAAAAAGAAATAGCCGAAGAACCCGCCGTCCGTAAGCCTGATTGATGCCGGTCCGACCAAGACCACTGACGCAGAAGCCGGCATCGGGCTCTGTTTACTTTGTAATGTTTGCGCTATAGTTCATCTCATGGCGCTGACCGACATATGCACGCAATGATTCAGGCTCATGCGAGAATAGGAAGACACAAAGAGAGAGGAAAAACCTTCGTTCCAACATACCTCTTTGATTCCGACCGACACCAGCAAGTGGGATGCGGGAACGTGCGTGCGTGCGTGCGTTCGTAGCGAGAGGGGGGGGAATCCCGGCGTCGAAAGCCAAGATGCTCCTTTCCCGGGGATCTGACACTGTCCTCGTCTGAGCTGAGGCACGGGGAGGACGACCGTTGGAGTTCCAAGTCCCGCGAATACCTGCTCCAATTCCCGTGAATACAGAGGGGGCGCTGGCCTGGCAAGGCAATGGAGCCGATGAATGGAGGGGGGAGGGACGTGATGGGATGGGATGGCAGCCCTGGGAAAGATGTATCGGGCTGAGCAACTGGCAGCGTGTCAGCGTTTTCTCTGAGGATTCTCTTGCACGCTGAATGGTGGTATCACTCGTCAGTGGTGTGTGTGTTGGGTTTCCCTTGACAGAGGGGGATCCCTACACTACTGTGTAATCGTGAGGTGAGGTATGAGGTGAGGTGAGGTGGGCTATTCTTAGCTTGTGCTGTTACAGAGCAGAATACGTACCTTTCTTCTGAGGTGAGATGAAATGGGGGGGGGGGGGGGGGGTTTCCCTTTCCCCCTAGTCCAAACCCTTGGCTCCAAGTTGCGACCTTCTTCCCGTTGTATATTTCAGAGCCCCGGTGGAATGGCACGCTGGACCAGGTAGTCTGCGAAATTCGGGCGCTTTCTCGGCCAATGGCAACTACCTCACGCTTAGAAAGGGTTTCGGTCGAGAAATGATGCTGCAATAGCAAATCCGAGTGAGGGGTTCTCGTGCCTTTTTCAAGTTGGCGAGAGTAGGTAGTAGAAATGTCGAGATCTCTATTGCGTACCTGTAAAGCCTCAAAGGCAAAAGTACAATCTGATCTGAACATTCATCCATCCGGTAGTGCATGCACCCACGATGATTTAAGTATTTTCCCTCTCTTCCTTCCGGGAATCTTGGAATGTTGTCCGATTTCTTTGACACAACGAACAAAATCTGTGGATCATTCGATTGCGCCGATACCACTATCACGCTCATCACTTTTCTTGGCTTCCTTCTTCTCTGCCACCTTTTTCCCATGCCAAACACTCTCGTCTGCACTGTATCACTGTATCTAGCCGGTCCCTTTCCCTTACCCCCCGCCCGCGCGCGTCGGACGGGACGGCCTTGGTCGTGCTTGGATAGTATCCAGTCTGCTCATGTTGTTCTGCCACTCCCATGGGCCATTCACCACCGAAAAAAACGAGTAAGCTTATTGAAGCTTACGTCGCCCTCCTCCCCCCCCCCCTCTCTATACACTGGGTCCCTGACTTTCGAGAGGCTGAGCAGGGCTTGGCTTAGAGTTAGTTCTCTGACGGAGCCAACTCTGTCTTGGTCTGGGTGGTTCGGGACCGCTAAACCTAATTTGGTTTCTTCTCTTTTCGATGTCACTCATCTCGGTTTTGCCAGGCTCGCTGAACTTGCATGGGCTTTCAATTTCGCTGTTTTTCATCCCATCTAGTAAATTCACCAGCAAAGACCCAAGAGAATACTGCTACGCCTAGACACGCAACCGAGACAGCGTGGTCCGGTTCGAATTGCCTGTAGCTCTCAGGGTCTCAAGCGAAGTGGTATTCAAAGTTGCAACCAGAAGAAACCCCCGAGATGGTTAAACCTCCCGCGTACAGGGCATGGGAATGGATGACAGAGTCCCAAAACTCAATATCATCCCCCCCCCCTCGCCACCGACCGAACCAATCATACAACCTCATCTCACACCTTGGCTTTTCACCAGAAAAAAAAACCATCAGACGGAATTTCTAGAGCAACCATTGGCATCAACACCGCTTTTCCCTGGATACTGGTGTCAGTCTTGTCTACACAGCCCACGCTGGTCAGTGTCAGTCAGTCGAGAGGGTCGGATTTAACACCGCTTCTCCCCCGATGCCGTGCAGTATGTACCATACACTACATACTACCGCGGTGTAAAAAACAAGCACATCCAACTAGTACAACTTACACCTCGGCGGCCCCCCTCATGAGGATTGCGCGTCAGACCCCATCCTGTGGTGGCTTTGCTCGCTGCATGCACAAGAAAGACCAAACGAAACAAAACAAGTTCCCTTTCGACCAATGATTTCGTTTGTGAACCTTTGTTTGCTGAATAACCGACGTCCAGTACCCAAGCCGGTGGAGAGAATGGGACGTAACCGCTGCATAGGTAGTCCAAAGTCCATAGTCACCTTACAGCCTACACAGGTATGATCAGGTAGGTACCTTACCTTATCCAAAGAGGCCTCCGCCTACCTACTCCATGTCCCTTGTCTTCCGAGAAGATGCCAAATCCTTTTTTCCCCCACACGCAATCAGGGTATGAAATTACCTCCGAACATTTCGCGGCACCTGAGGCTGCCGCATCTTTGGACGCCAAGTCTACGGGGGGACATCTCACCCTCTATTGTGTGTGAGAGAGTCTAGCCTTGGTTCTTGGCACGAACAGGTCGATCGTGGTTGTTGGGGTTTCCGTCTCCGTCTAATCGTCATCTGATGCTTCTCTTGGACAGTATGTAGAACCCAGGACGATGGGAGGTGACGGAAGCTGCCTTCATCCGAAGGGCTCCACAACTGACTACCGCTGCTTTATGATCATGGGGCAGAGTTGATATTGGAGCCAGGGAATTCATGATTCCATCGCTACTACCTGCCTACCCAAGTTACTCACGTGCCACTGTTCAGGTAACAGGTTGTTACTAGTCATAACATGGACAACCGTCACGTGCCGTGTAAAGGCTTTGCTAAAGCGCATGTATACTCGGATCGTTCATCAGTTACACCAGTCACTCCTGTCCATGGTCAGACAATCATGTTCTAGTAAGATCTGATCCGTACAACATATCGCCATAGCCTCAGAAAGGGCCCCTTCAGTAGTCACAACCATCACCTTCCCAAATTACCCAACGACTCCCTTGGTGTGAAGTGTAAGCGTATAGATACACTGCCTTCTTCTAACACTCTCCCGTCAACCAACGCGTCATGTCAAAACTAATACCTAGTGGCAGAAGACTAATCAGAAAAAATATTCTCGTACAGAGTAGTAAGCAGTCCCCTTCTCTACATCCTCGGATTTAAGAGACCTTTGATGACATGCCAAGTCCAACCATGGAGAACTCGCCAACTCGGCCAAGAAGCTACGGAATGGGGGAGGATGGATCCAGCAAGGCGATGTTCGGCCCTTGAGAACAGTGATGATGGCATTGACTTTGCCCCCCCCCCCCCCCCCCCCATATACCCCCAAGATGGTCCGTCTGCACCAACCCCTCCGAATGGCAAAGGAAGAAAAGGTAGTCATGCAACGCGGTGAGGCTATGCTTCCATCGCAGACTTCAGACATTCCGGGGAAGCGCCGGCAACAGTCCCATCAGATAGAGGGTCAGGCCTTCTCCTCCTCATACTCCTCCTTATTCGTAAAAGGTTGCAGAAGGGAGAACATACCCCATCTGCAAAATATCATCTCGGTCCGGATCTGCACAGAACGGCACGACGCAGAGGCGCATCCCACTCGAACCCAGAGCACACTCACCTCCCAACCCGCATCACCCAATCTCCCAACATACAGGCAGCCGCATAGCAAAAAACTGCAGGACCACATCATTCTGTCCCCGCGCAGCCGCGAATGGTGCCGTTCTAGCGTCACGCATCTCCCGCTGAAACCGTGCTCTCTCTCCTCCCTCTACATATCTTTCGGCCTCGAAAAGCAACTGCATGCCGACTAGCGCGCCTCCCGGGCCTTGACACATGAAGAAGAAACGAACAGACCTCGCACTCTCGACCGACGGGGCAATGCCTGCGCTAGTGGCCCCGTACACAGCCCGGGCTTTACCCTCCGGGGCCGCGGACGGAGCGCCGAGCATGAGAGTGTGGGGGGGGATCCGAGTGTCAGCAAGCTGCAGATATAACGGACGGACCTCTCTTTTCCTTCTCCCCGGGTTCTCCGTTACTGTAGACTTACCTATGTGCCTACTCCATTCATCGATCGACCGCGGTCTTTGATCGATGTTTTGGTGTTCGAGATAGCAGCTGAGTCTCGGTGGCGAAGGGTAGGCTCGTCAACTATGAGTATCTACGGCACAGCCTTCCTCGATTTCCAAGACTTCCTTCAAGCCGACTTATTGATCAGTGGAACCACGTCTCAAATTCTTGAATGGACTACCCAACCGTCATCAGGATATCGAGTAGGTCGGAGGGCCAGGTACTAAATCCGATATCGAGCCGGGAGTGCAACACATGGCACGTTGTAGGCAGGCAATGTAAGTTTCCATGTTTTTTTTCTTTGGCATTTGAATCGAAATATTTCAAAATACGGTTCGCTATTTGGCAAAAAAACAAGAAGTAATAACCCTAAAAGTCCTTTCATGGGTTTTCCAAGGCGGGCGGTACATTAACCGATCGGTTCGTACCTTGCTTGTCCTATCCTCCTCTGCTCCTGTGGTATCACTCACGTCTCTCTTGTCTCTCCCTCACTGCCCCTAACATCGTCATCATGCATTTACTTCTTCCTCTTCTCCTCGTGAACAATGTTGATGATCTTTTCGACAATGGAAGGATCCGAAAGCTGTCTTTTGCGTTAGCAAACACGACTTCCTCATACAACGGGTGGATGGAACTTACAGTCGTAACATCACCAAGTTGATCCTCCTCACCAGCCAAGATCTTGCGGAGAATTCTACGCATAATCTTGCCGGAACGGGTCTTGGGCAGATCGGGAACAATGTGAACGGCCTTTGGCGCGGCAAACGGCCCGATGCTCTTGCGCACCTGCATGATGAACTCCTTGCGCAGCGCGTCCGAGGCCTCGTTGCCGTCCTTGAGGGCGACAAAGGCGTTGACGGCCTGGCCGGTGAGCTCGTCCACGACGCCGACGACGGCGGCCTCGGCGATGGAGTGGTGCTCGATGAGCGCGGCCTCGATCTCGGCCGTCGACAGGCGGTGGCCCGAGACGTTGACGACGTCGTCGACGCGGCCGCGGATCCAGTAGAAGCCCTCGTGGTCACGACCGGCTCCGTCACCGGTGAACTGTGTTTTGTGTCAGCAACTGTCTCGAAACGATGAGGAGACGACAACGTACGTAGTAGCCAGGGTAGACGTTCAGGTACGTGTCCATGTAGCGCTTGTGAGCGCCCCAGACGGTGCGGGCCATACTGGGCCATGCCTGCTTGAAGGCCAACACACCCTCGACATCGTTGCCGTGAATCTCCTCGCCGGAAACGGGGTCGATGATGGAGGGTTCGATGCCGAAGAAGGGCAACGAGGCACTACCCGGCTTGGTCGGCGTGACACCGGCCAGGGGAGTGATGACGTTGGAGCCGGTCTCGGTCTGCCAGTATGTCTGCAAGTCTGTTAGTCCGGCTATACCCTCACGCCAATTCCAGCTTCACTTACGTCTACAATGTGGGCCTCCTCCTTGCCGACAACCTCAAAGTACCACTTCCAGACCTCGGCAGCGATGGGCTCACCGACGGAGCCGAGGACTCTGAGGTGCTTCATGTCACCCTTGACATGCTGGTCACCGGCTCTCTTCAGTAACCGCAGGGCGGTAGGAGCGACGTAGAACTGAGTGACTTTGTGGTTCGCGATGATGTCCCAGTATCTTGAGAAGTTGGGGTAGGCGGGCGTGCCCTCGAAGACGACGGTGCTCACACCGAGCAGCAGAGGGGCGTAAACGACGTAGGTGTGTCCGGTAATCCAGCCGACGTCACCGCCACAGAAGTAACGGTCGCCATCGTGGATGTCAAAAACGTACTTGCCCGTGGCGGCGGCACCGACCAGGTAGCCACCGGTGGTGTGCATGACGCCCTTGGGCTTACCGGTGGAACCGGAGGTGTAGAGGAGGAAAAGGGGGTCCTCGGAGTTGACCCGCTCAGGGGGGAAGTAGGAAGGCCACTTCTCGACCTCTTGGTGCCACCACCAGTCACGGCCCTTTGTCATGGGCACATCGGCGCCGGTGCGCTTGTAGACGAGAACGTGGGACACATCGGGGCACTGCTTCAAGGCGTCGTCGACAATCTTCTTGGTGCCGATCAACTTGCCGCCACGCTTACCCTCGTCGGTGGTGATGACGACCTTGGAGTTGCCGTCAATGACACGGTCACGGAGGGAATCGGCGGAGAAACCGGCAAAGACGACGGAGTGGACGGCGCCGATACGGACGCAAGCGAGGAGGGCAATGATGGCCTCGGGAATCATGGGCAGGTAGATGGCAACGGTGTCTCCCTTGCGCACGCCCATCTGCTTCAGGACCCAAGCGGTGCGGGACACCTCGCGGAGGAGCTCGCCGTAGGTGACATTGCGGCCTTCACCGGGCTCATCGGCCTCGTAGATGATGGCAACGCGGTTGGGGTCCTTGAAAGCGTGACGGTCGACACAGTTGTAGCAGGCGTTGAGCTGGCCCTCAACAAACCAAGCACTATCGCCACCGGCCAGGGAACCGGAGTAGACGGTCTGGAAATCGCTGAACCAAGATAGGAGCTCGCGGGCTTTGGTGCCCCAGAAGGCCTTTGGGTCGGTGATGGATTCCTTGTACAACTTCTGGTAATCCTCGAGACCTGCAGCAATGGAGAGGAAGGGGGGAGCTCCGGTCAGCCAATGAAGAGAGGTGGAATTGGGGTAAAGAGGGGAAAATGGCTTACTGCTCAAGTGGGGCTTGCTGGGGTGCTCTGCGGGAAGAAGACAGGAATTGTTAGCCAAAATGTCCAATCAAATGAGCCCAATAGCTCCGAATTGCGCTGCCCCTCCTTCTTTCTCCCATACTCCGTAGACCACCAGTAACCACACCCCCTGCAGAGCGACCATGGCAATCTCCAGTGCCCCTCACGCGACTTTCGGACGGCAACAGGCCATGGAACTGGGTCTGACTCTCTTGGGTGTCTGGGTCTGGGTGGTCTGGATTCTGGCTTCTGCAAATCGGCGGCGCACTTACTGTCAAGCATCTTTTGGGGGGGATCTGTTGGGATTCAAATTAGCCATGGTCGTTCTCCCAACAAGCAATGCATGAAAATGTCCATTTGGTCGAAGCGAGAGCATTCAGAATTGCGTTGCGCCCAGAGAACCGTGTAAATGCGGTTGAAAGGACGCGGACGCCTGCTCGGTGCTGTTTGGCGCGAAGGACCAAAAGTAGACCAGAAATGGAGCTAGGAAATTGGGGTTCGTTCGGGCTTACGGAAGGTATCAACGAGGTGGGCCTCGGCGACCACGGGGGCCTTTTGTGGCTCTGCGGCTTCGCTCATTGTGGCGGGGTGGTTTATGTGTGTGTGTGTGTGTGTGTGTGTGTGTGTTGTGTGCGTTTATGAAGCGATGCGGGGTACTTTGTGCACGCTTCTAGAGGTCGAGACGAGATTCGAGAGAGGTTCCGCTGTCGCTGCAGAGGTTGGGAGAAATCGTGCGACGGTGGTCTGTCTCTGCCGTCCTCGTCGTAAGAGAAGCGGTCCTGCTCGTGCAGTTATGATGACAGGTCGCGCGCAAGCTGGGATTGGAACTGGCGCAACTCTCCACAACTCAAGAGTCGAGTCGCGTGGTGTCCTTGATAAGCGTTGCTGCAAAGCGGGTAGCGGCAGCAGAGAATAAGAGTCGACGTCCCAATAGGTGGTCCCTTGAATCCGGTTCTCGTTTTGTTTGCTTTTATGCGTCTGCAGCTGGGAGAGGAGATGCCCTGGAAGTGTAGGAGCAATCGGAGTTGGGTTGTGGAAGTGAAGTGAAGAGAAGAGGAGTGGGAGGAATTGGGAAAGATGAAGAGGATGTGAGTCGTAATTAAGAAGATCAGCTCCCCAGGTGGCCGAGCCGCGAGTTGGACGGGGGATGGGATTGCTTTTAATGGACGAATGGGGAAGTTGGGACTTGTACTGAGAACGTCAGGTCAACGTGTACAGAGAGAGTACCGAGTATGGGACTCGACAACTTGAGCCGGAGCCGCTGTTCGGGACCTGGGACGGTGCACCGCGTCAAGCTGGGGAGCTAAAAGGAAGCTTCCTTGTAACGACACCAGCCACTGCTCGGTACCATGCTCCGTACACATACCTACATCCATAGCTTCAATCGACAGTCACTATTCAAGTCTTACAGTACTTAGTCACTCCCAAACAGCCATCTCCGCCAGCTCAGAGTCCCAGGTTTGGGCATTGTGCGGCGTGCCAGTGAATTCAGCCAGGTCTCCATTGCAAGGAGCACCATCCACGGTACGAGATCACGGTACAGCGCTGGCCGATGATGTTATGGAGAAAAGGGACAAGCCATGCGGAAAGGGAAACTCCTTCAACCCATCCCTTCACCTCAATTGGTCATCATTTGCCATGGCACCCCGCAATCCCATCCGCGTCTTCTACGAAGTATCTATGGATACGCAGTAGGCGGGTTGTGGCTGGTCCATCTCCGTAAGGTACTCCGTCCTCCGTACCGCTGTACCGTTACCGCTTGGCCGGGGGTTGAGATGCGTCTTTCCTTTCCTTTGCCCCGAACCACCTGCGAACCCTCCCCTTCCCTGCAACCCCTCGCATCCAACCCAGCTCCCAACACCGCGCAGACCTGCATCGTCCAGTCAAAGACGAGACGAAGGTACCTTTTGACCTTTCTCCCCCAAAGACGCCAAGCTACCCGTCTCCAACCTCGCCAAAGCAGCCCGCCTGGATGCTCCTGGTCCCGTCGGTTGGTCTTTGTCTGGGGGAGGGGAAGGGTTTCTGCGCTAGGGAGAGACAGAAAGAAATAATTGGACCTAGCAGCTGTAACTTGTATTGTATCCGTAGCTTGTCTGAGTGCGACGAACTCTGTTCGCCCACCGATGGGATTCTCCCGTCGACCGGCCGAGCAAACTGAACGACCAATGGCCCTTCTCGTGATCCATGATAGCCTGTTGTTTGGCTAGCGGTGACGACGTCCAAGAGCATTCTCAGAGGCTTGCGCGCATGTGTACAGCTGATGGTCCATACGCTTTCACACCATCGGCACCAGGGAGCCTGTCTTAAAACGGGGGCATCGCGTGTCAATCAGTGTCAAGATTGAGGTTGTCTCCTGCCTGTGCTCGTAAATAGCCTGTATGTATACACTGACCGCCTAAATTCGGCCCTATGGTATATATTCATTGGTTGACCATCGACCATGTCGTTTTACCAAAGCAGAAGATAGTGTGAGCTACTGTCTTGGTGGAGCTTCCTTCTTGCACTGCGGCTGTGACTGTCGACATCTCTCCTGGTCTACTGTTTCGGGTTGTGGTCTGTCTTTTCATGTCCTGGCTCGAAATCGCCGAGAATGCGCCAGTGGTATAAGTGGCGCCCATCACCCGACTTCTTCGTCCATCGTCACCTTGGTTGCTCGAGTGGCCGAGACAGACCGAGGACAACCGGAAGCTCCAAGAATTTGTCAATGCGGCAGACTTGTTCCCCGACGCTTTGCTGTCAAATCATTTTGGTGTCGAGCGAGCGAGGTCACCAAAGCTTGCCCCTGACCTGCCCAGAGTTCCCCGCACTCATCTTGCCCAGCGGCGTCGAGCTTGCGCCTCATGTGTCTCCTAGGCTGACTGCATTGCGCCGCTATTCAGGAAGCTATGCGGCTGTCGCCCAGTGAATTGTACGCCAGCCGAGGACGATGGATGCTGATCACGGCGCGCGACCCTTGAGTGCCGTGGTGTTCCGGCCTCCGTGATTGGCCACGACCCCAACGATGACATATTGATGATTGTGAGCTTTGGCTTGGCTCCCGCGACTTCCTGACGACCTGGTAACGACCATGTCAACATAGGTTCTCTCGACGACGATGATGTTGTGCTTTCAGAAGGACGCATGTCCGGTCGTATCGGAGCATCCAACGAAACTTCAACAAAGTCGAGAATAGAGAGGTCCCAGGGCTCCGCAGGCCCCGCTGTTCGTCGTAGGCATTTCGGGGTCTGGCATTGGGTCGGGATTCAACAAAGTCTCGCAGATTCCGGGGTCGTAATCCACACACCTGCAGTCGCAATTTGCAACTGTCTTCTGTCTCCTTGCAGATTGTGGGTAATTTCTCAGGCTGCGCACTCGCGCACTCGCGCTCGTTGCCGATTATCTTTCGGAAGAGAAAAAATGCCCCCGAACCCACTGTGATGACTGTCGACGACTGCAGTCCTATCACGCGGCATCTCCGACGTCGGCTGCGGTCCACAGAATAACCTACGTGGGCTGTCGAAGTACATAGGTACGGGGTACGGTAGTAGCACCCACTTGGGTGATCTGTCTTCCATGATACTAGAGTCGTATCGTAGTTGTCGTGGCCGCCGTCGAGGTCATCTCCAGTTGGGGAGCCTCCATCAGTAGTTGCAGGCAGCATAAGGTAGGGAGGTTGGCTGTCGTATTGCTGCTGCATGTTGTGGGCCTGTAGACAAATGGAGGGGCACATCTGTACGAAGTACCAGCACCATGCAGGCGGAAGAAAACCATACACTAGAAATTGATGGTGTAGCGAGTGGTGGTGTGCGTGTGTGGTTGGAGGGGTCGAACGGAAGTCCCGCTCGTCCTTGCACAGGTTGAAGAAAGGAAGAGAGGGATCCATGGATTGCTTGTAAGTGGATTCCATCCTCGGGTATGACTGATGTAACGCACCACAGGCAGGTGCTGCGTTCTATTCGTACCTACCTACCTACCTTACCTAAGGCGCCTGCCTCTTGTTTTTGTGTACCTGACGCCTGGCGTCGTCTTTGGGAAAGTGGCTTGCCTCACATCAAGAGCCCCTTCCTCCAACGATGACACCAAAGCGTCACTTTCTGTCAAATATGTGAATACGAACAGGTTGAACAGCTTCACTATTCAGCCAGTACACGATAGTTAACATTAAGGTGGCACGACGGTCTCCCGCAATTAACCGCTCGCCTCCGCGTTTTCCCCTCAGAACCCTTTCACCTAACCCTGGACTCCCCAGATAGCTCCCGCATTTTACCCCGTGGGCACCCGGATTTTCCATGTCCACCTGTGAAAGTAGGTAGTAAAGTACCTGTCGATATGTACTCCGTACATAGGTAGGGCAAGCGCGCGCGCCCGTGCTTGTGATGCGCTGTTTTAGTCGTGCTACTTGCTGCCATTCCAGAAGGCCGGGTCCCTTGCCCTTCCTCATACACCCCTGCTCCGTTGTCCTTGCTGCGTGTGTGTGAGACTGGTGCCAACCTAACCTTTCCCTGCTCATCCGGGTCAGTCCACCTGCCGCCGTCTCATAGGATGGACGAATGGAAGTTGTCTTGGCATACCCGACACCCGCGCGCGGGGGGAGGCTTGGGCAAAACGCCATCCCGCCGTCGCCGCCGCATCTGTAATTTGGGGGCTGGGGTGGAGGGGTCGTCCTTCTTTACGGGAAACCCGGGCGAAGGATCCTCTTCTGTTTGTGTGGAGAAAACAGCATATCCCACAGGATCACGATACACGAGCATAAAAAGTATTGCTTCGGCCGGGGTTGTTCTGGAAATCGGAGTTTGTCTCAGACGGTCCATTTGGGATAAACCACCGTGACTCCTCCGAGCCTCGTGCGGCAGGATGGATCTCTAGCAACCCCATATAAGCATGTGGGAATTTCGCCCTTTCTGTTGGGGACTCCTGATGACAGATTGTTGAGTGCAGAAAAAAATGGAAGAGGAGCCGCCGTCTTAGCCGCTTCTCTGTGACCTATCAGACTTGGATTCACTTGCATCCTGCGTGAGGCAGAATCGTCGCTTCGCAGACATGGGCATAACTGACATCCTACCCTCGGTGCCCTTGTCGGATATCCTGACCGGAACTATGGGTCTTGCCGTGAGGCTTTGCCGATCGATCACAAGTCACCCACATGCGTGCACTTCCGAATGTCTTCGAGACATTGGACGCTCGCCTTACAAACGTAAACGTCCAATCGGACTGACGGCGAAATACACAAGAGACCCAGCTGGCTGGGAACCGCTAGGTGGACTCGTTTGCATTTTGGCATTGGCCTGGTAGTAGAAGAAGTATTTGCCCCCGACATATGCCGCCTGAAACCCCTAAACGCCTCCTTTTGTATTATCCATTTCGCTCACAACTCCATGCTCATCAAGTACATCTCCATGATCCTCATGAACTTGGCCACGAACGCCTCCAGGTGGAATATGACCTTCGTGCCCATCCTGATCCGGTGCTCGTAGAACGCCGACCACTTGATCACCTCCGCCTTCAGAGCGTCGTCGATCAACGCAATGAGCTTGAATGTGAGCGTCTTGAGAATCGTCGTGGGCGGTATGCAATGCGTGAGAAGATCGTACAGCTTCGCCCGCACCTGGAGAATTCGTGCCGGCGTGTGCTCGTCGACAATCTCCCTCGCTATCTGGCTGATGAGTGCCTCCCAGTCTGGCGGGGGGATTGGTGTGCTATCCGTGACTTTCTCGCTGTTGGCTTGTTAGCTCGCTAGTCCTGCAGAAAGCCGTACAAAGATGCCCTACTTTTGTGCGTGGACAGCCTCGTACATGAGCAGAGCTCGTCGCAGGTTCCTGCCACTCTCCTGCGCTATCCTCATATGCAGACCCTTCACCATGGGCCAATTCTCCTTCTTCGCTGACACTGCCAGGACCTCGCAAATTTGCTCGTGGGTTGGTGCAGCTACTCGGACTAGCAGTGTTCTCGATCGGATAGGGGCGATGATGTTTGCCGTCGAGTTGGCTAGGAGGATCAATCGTAGATTGGGAGAGTACTTCTCCATCGTTCGACGCAGCGCAGCCTGCGCATCTCTGGTGAGGTGGTCTGCCTCATTGATGACAACAACCTTGAATCTCTGCTTTGCCGACTGGTCAACCTGTTGTGTCTGTGCCACCTCCTTCAGCAGGTCCTGGACAACAACTCTGTCGTAGTTTCCAACGTCCGAAGGGGTGATTTCGAGGTGGTAGTTCGACGCGACAATGTTGAACTCGAGCTTGCGGTTGCTCGATGTCTGGAAGACACGCGCATCAATCTTGATCTTCTCTACGCCGGGTCCGTACAGCTCCTTGAGTGTGGCGACGATGCGTGTCTTCTTTCCAGCGCCGGACGGTCCGTATACCAGCAAATGGGGGAAATCTCCGCTTTGGGCCTGTGAAATATGTGAGTAGCTGCCTGGGAGAGTGCAGAATTATAGCTTCCTACCAGAGAGCCGAGTCGATCTGAAAGCTCCTGATGATATGTCAGAGCATCTAGTGACTTTGGTCTATGTTTGTCGACAATAAGCGCCATTTTGCTTGCTGTGATGTGGTATGACAGACGCCGTGTAAAAGACTTGAAGTTTGCTGGCTGAGCGAGCTGCAGAGCGTGGGACTTTCTGGTGATGCGCTCTCCAAGAAGACGCGTTCGCGTTAAGTGGGAAATATCTAGGCGTGGCTAGTGGACTTGGTCCGTGCCCTCAAGCCACATCATGGCAGTTTTGAGGTATAGACCACTACTTGGCACATGATAATGACTCTCACTCACTTGATTCCACCTTGATAAAACCACCCGTGCAAATAGCAAGTTGACAATAATTTTTCCACAGTAGACTTATGATGGATTTGAAAGGTATTTTCCTTTATTTGTACAGCCGCAATGACACCTCGCCATCTAGTATGGTCATCTATAGTACAGCCACTCCATGAACTCGAGATTGCGCCTAGCACATCTCATTGTGAAGAGCGGTAAATGTTACAACCAGTCTCATCCAAAACTCTAGGGCTTTGCAGACGGCGTTGTGGTAGATGCCGCGCTGGTGGGCTTGCTCGTTGCCTCGGCCAGCAAGTCCTCAGGCGCGATCACCTTTCTTGGTCTCTTCAGATCCTCCAACGTAACACCGTTCTCAAGCTTCGTAATACCAACAACAGGAGCCGCTCCCTTGTGTACAAACTCCCATTGACCTTGCATTATGTAAGTATTGGTTATGCTTCACGCACTTGGGGATGTACTCACCGGGCAACTTGTTACCCGCCAGACGGAAGGCGTCCTTCGCAACTGCCTCGTGAAGCATTCCTCTGATTTCGAAAACGATCTGATTGACAGCAACACGAGCCGCCCAATGATCGAAAGAACCCTTTCCCTTACCCATACGCATCTAGTCCGAGAATCAGCACCTCACTGTGGCCTATAATTCCTGATCATCCGCCTTACCTCGTTACCCGACACATAGACACCGACGTTGCAGCACACTCTCTTGTACATCCGGTACTTTTGGCCACGTAGTCTCATCTTAATCGTATCTTCGGCGTTCTTGAGCTGCTTCGCGCTGATTCTTCGGTGGTGGTCCTTCATCCTGAGGCCGTAGTCACCCCAGATGACAGTTGTGCCCTTGGTCGATCCTCCCGTGGCCACACGGGGGCGTCCCTTCATCATCTTCTTTGTTCGGTCGATCGAGGGTTCGAGCCAATTGCCCTGCGCTGCAGGTGTTGTGGAAAATGGGCGAGCATCGCGGAGGTTCTGGGATGCGACCAGCGGCTTCGTCAATTGAGGTCGGATCGCGGCCCTGAGGGGGCTGGCTGACGGCGTCGCAGATATTCTAAGGCCTTGAAAGGCGCTGAGTAGCGCCGTGGGAGCGGTGGGCCTCATGTTTGCGGCTTGCCGATGAACGTCGTTGATGATGGGATCTCCAAAAAAAAATGTCCCTAGCTTCACGAGAGCTTGGGTGTGGCTTAGATGGCCTGAGATATTGGGCGATAATTTTGCTGAGGCTGCCTTGAGCTGCTGCGCCACATGCACTCTAAAGTGCTGACCGGGGTCACAGACCTCGCGTCACTTTCGCGTAGCAACTGGAAATCCAATACGTGCACGCTTCTCGACGCCAGGCACGGCGACCTCGATTGGCTTCTTCGTCTGTCAACCTCCAACGTTCCCTCCAGGCAACAGCAGCCCAACTTTCGATTAAAACCTTTCGTTGCTCTCTGCGACTTCTCAACGGAAGACAGGTCACTGCACAAGACACAATGCCTGATATTAGGTCATTCTTTGGGCCTAAGGGAGGCGGGCCTCCGAGGCCACCGCCGAAGAAGGTCGAGGAGCCCCCGAAGGCACGAAGGAACAGGAAGGTCATCGAGGACAGCGACGACGATGCCGAGCCTACACCTGCGCCGTTAGTATATTTCACAGACTTGCAGTTGAAAATGTAGCTAACTTCTCCTAGAAAGCCGGCTGCGAAAGCTGCTGTCAAGAAGAAGTCCAAGTACGTGAATCGAATTTCTCTCTCCATCGATCGCTTCTAATTCTATAGCAGAGACGAGGCTCCGAAGGGAACTGAGACCACGGCCAGCGATTACTTCGCGTCATCCAAATCTTCGAAGGCGGCTAAGCCTGTACCCGCCGCAAAGCCAGACCAAGCAACCAAAGTGAAGACCGAAGTAGAGATCAGGACCAGCCCGCGCACCAAGAAGACTACTGCCAAACCTGTACAAGAATCGCCCAAGAAGCGGGCCGCTAGGACATACACAAAAATCGACTCCGACGACGATGCTGATGCCTACAAGGACGAAGACGACGAGGATGACGATGACATCTTTGCTGCCGATGTAAAGGGTCGCAACAAGCGAAAGACTGACGACTATGCGGAGGACGATAGCGATGAGGACATTAAACCGAAAGCGAAGCGTGTAGCCTCTCGAAGTGCCCCCAATGGTACTCCAAGCAAGACTACGAAGGCAGCAGCTGGTACAAAGAGGCGCAAAACTCCTGACGAGGACGAGGAGGAAGAGGAGGAAGAGCAGCCGCCAAAGAAGAAGGCCCCCGTTAAGCCACGCGCTCCCAGGGCTAAGAAGGCCGACGAACCCGAAGACTTGGCTTACCAGTCGATCCTTGACAATATTCCCACCGTCCGCCCTCCGACACCTCCTGCCCAGGACCCGAATGCACCCAAGTTTGACTGGAGGAAGAATGCTGGTGGAGGGGGAAACAGCGCGGCTGTCCCTGCTAATGCAGGTGCTGCGAAACTGCCCGAAGGCGAGGATGAATGTCTCTATGGACTGACATTTGTCTTCACTGGTGTTCTTCAGACAATTGGCCGCGAGGAAGGCCAGGCCTTGGTCAAAAAGTACGGAGGAAAAATCACTGGAGCACCAAGCAGCAAGACGAGCTATGTTGTTCTGGGAGACGACGCGGGACCCAGCAAGCTGAAGAAAATCAGAGACATGAACATCAAAACCATCAACGAGGAGGGTCTCTTCGAACTCATCAGGAAACTGCCTGCCTATGGCGGCTCCGGCAAGGGTGCGGAGAAGGCGCGCGAAAAGAAGAAGAAGGATGAAGAGGCTATCAAGATCCAGGCATTGGAGATGGAGAGAGAGGAGAAGGCCCGGAAGGCTGCAGCAGAGAAAGCAGCCAAGCAAGCAGCAGCCGCTCGCGGGACCACAGCCGCCCCTACCCCGACAGCAGCTCCCGTACAGCTGTGGACATCAAAGTATGCCCCGACGGCACTCAATCACATCTGCGGCAACAAGGCACAGGTCGAAAAGATCCAGGCTTGGTTGAGGAACTGGCAAAAGGCACGCAAGTACGACTTTCAGAGACGTGGTGCAGACGGTATGGGTGGCACGCGAGCTATCATTATCTCTGGTCCGCCAGGCATCGGCAAGACGACTGCGGCGCACTTGGCTGCCAAACTCGAGGGCTTCGATGTCATTGAGAGCAACGCCAGTGACACTCGCAGCAAGAAATTGGTCGAGAATGGTGTCGCTGATATCATGAACAACACATCGCTTCTCGGCTACTTTGCCGGAGATGGCAAGAAGGTCGACGGAGAAAAGAAGAACATTGTCTTGATTATGGACGAAGTTGACGGAATGTCCGCAGGTGATCGTGGTGGTGTCGGAGCCCTGGCCAAGTTCTGCAAGAAGACTGAGATTCCCCTCATTCTCATTTGCAACGAGCGGAAATTACCAAAGATGAAGCCGTTCGACTTCGTCGCCATGGACGTTCCCTTCAGGCGCCCGACGGTTGAGCAGGTCCGGTCACGTATTATGACAATCTGCCATCGCGAAGGGCTCAAGCTTCCTGTGCCTGTCGTCGATGCCCTCATCGAAGGCAGCAACAAGGATATTCGGCAAATCATCAACATGATCTCCACCGCCAAACTCGATCAAGCATCAATGAGCTATGACAAGGGCAAGGCAATGACCAAGGCATGGGAGAAACACGTCGTTCTCAAGCCTTGGGATATTTGCCAGAAGATGCTAGCTGGTGGGCTGTTCGCTCCTGCCAGTAAAACCACCTTGAACGAAAAGATCGAGCTCTACTTCAACGACCACGAATTCAGCTACCTGATGATCCAGGAGAACTATCTGCGCTCAAAGCCCATGTCATTGAATAACAGAGGTTACAACAAGAGGGAGGAGAACTTGAAATACCTCGAATTGGTGGATCAGGCGGCGGAAAGCATCAGCGATGGTGACCTGGTTGATCGAATGATTCACGGACCTCAACAGCAATGGAGTCTTATGCCTACTCACGCAGTTTTCAGCACAGTTCGGCCATCGAGCTTCGTTGCTGGCCAGCTCATGGGCTCCAACTTCACTTCTTGGCTTGGCAATAACAGCAAGACGGGCAAACTCGGTCGTTTTGTCCGCGAGCTGCACTCGCACATGCGGCTGAGATCCTCTGGCGACGCTAATGAGGTTCGCCAGCAATATCTGCCTGTCTTGTGGGATCAGATGATCCGTCGGTTGTCCGTCGAAGGCAAGGAATCTGTCGACGAGATTATCGAGCTGATGGACAGCTACTACTTGACACGAGACGATTTTGACGCGATTCAGGAGCTCGGTGTTGGTCCGCAAGCTGAAGGCCGGGCTGATATCGAATCCAAGACAAAGGCAGCATTCACGCGAACGTGAGTACTCATTCTTCTCGATGTCCATATTGAGTGCTAATAACTTCCCAGCTACAACGCAATGTCTCATCCTATCCCTTTCTTGAAGGCCAGCAATATCATGGAGCCCAAGAAGGTTGCGAAGGAGGCTCCGGACCTTGAGGAAGCTATCGAGGAGGACGATGATGCCGATGTTGCGGAACCTGCTGATGCGGACGAGGAGGACGAGGACAAGATTGACTTGAAGAAGGACAAGTTGATCAAAGCGCCCAAACGGAAGGCTAAGACAGCGACGAAGAAGGCTAAAGCAGCCGATGAGGATGACGACGAAGAGGCAGACGCCAAGCCGAAGAAGGGTAGGCCCAAGGCCAAGGCAACGACTGCCAAGGGGAAGAGCAAGAAGTAATGGTAGAATGGTCGACAGAATATGCTAGGAGGGACGTCTTTCTTGAGGAGAGCACGCCAATGTCTACTGAGTTTGAGTGAGGCAGTCCCGACCTCGGCATAGCATGGTTAGGATTATGAGGTTTAAAACAGGAATTCCTGCTTTTCTTTGAACACCTCTTCTCTATGGTTAGATATTGTATGAACCTGTATAACAATCATATCATGATTTGAGAGGTGTACATCATGAAAGGGAATTGGTGTAAAATACTGTGAGCGACAATGGCTGTGAAAGTTAAGGTGTGAAGAACCAGACTTGAGAATGATAGCTATAGCTTGACTTCTCTCTGATGGGCAACTGCCAGTACTTTGATAGACGGGATTTTTGTGCACACCCATCCACTGCCAGTGAATCCCAAAGGAAAGCTTCCTGCCAAAATAGGTTGTTCTTGGGCTTTTGCCAGAAATCCCCAACACACACATCACCACCTGCACAAGGGGTGGTGTCAACCACATACAAGACTTGAAAGGCACCCAAACAAGCTCGAAAACCCTTCATCTTTCAACCACCCAAGTTCAAAGTGAGTTTATCTTGATGGCCCCAAATTCTGACTTCGCCTCCCAATTGTACAAAGTTAACCCAAGCCGTTCGTTGCGCAGTCCACTATATCCAATGATCCCCATCACTTACAACGCCTACATCCCACCGACCGCCCATGGAGCCACACACCTGGAAACCCGCTTAGTAGTCAACACGGCTTCAAGCTCCGTGATGATGGACGAGAAAGATCAAGGAGAGCCCCACTCGAAGAAGACGTTTCGAGCTGCCGCAAAGGCTTGGAAGGGTGAGTATTTCTCATAGCCTTAGACGCTTCCCCTTCCCGATCTCACGATCTCTCACCTCAATCGCCTTTACCTCATCCATTTTCTGATCCTTCCTCTTCATTCTTCCCATCGAGTCCTGCCGAGTTTCATCCATCTTTCAAGCTCGAGTGTTTGAGGTGTTTTTTTCTTCGGAAAATACTCACAAAACATCTGCTTACCCTTCCTTCCTATCCTCGAATCGGATCCTCGTTACCAACAATTATTTCATCGTTTGGCAATTGCTCATTATTCTCATCACAGGTCTGGTATCGAAGGCATCCTATTCACTCAAAAGATCTAAGAGCTTCACTACTCTCAAGCGCCTGTCGAGCATGTCTTCTCGACTTGACTGTGGCAAGCACTCGCGCTCCAAGTCTGGTAAGTCATCCAACTGCTCATGATTTTTTTGGGATGCTTTCATCGTAAATAGGAAGGGTATTTCTGACGAAAAATAAATAGCAAACAAGATCGATACAGCGGGTGATCTCAACGATCACAATCCCCATCGCCTTTCGATCATCGAAGAGGCATCTCGCGAGTCGTCCCGCGAAGTTCACCTTGCCAACATGTACGACGAGCAGGGCTTCCTCAGCGAGGACCATGAGGACATCTACGACCTCAACGAGTTTGAGATGATGAACTCCAACGTCGGACCCCACGGCCAGGAGAATGGAGCCTTTACCCATGACACGCTCTTATACGGCAATTGGGAGCAAGACAATAACTTGCGCGAGTTCAATCGTTCTTCGAGTAAGTCGTCGATTCGCTGCCTTCTCATTTCTGTCTCTCATTTCTTGAAACAGGCCCGGATACCGTCGTTTTTGACCATGCCCGCTATGCTGGTGTCAACCTCTGGGAGGTGAGCATTAGCACCGATTCGGAGTCGTACTCGCGTTCGGTCCATGAAGGTATCAAGTGCTCCGCGTTGTTTTGCTGCTTCCACTAGGTCCCTAGATAGCATATTCTGGTTTCAATGAATAGCTTTCTGCTCTACTGACTTCACCTACTTCCTGCCAGGGCTGCGTATACTTTTTTGTTTGTTCTTCCCCTAATACGGATGTCGTAGCTAACCGACTTATCTTAGCACTGGATCCCAGCATCCAGATCGAGGGTATCCCCACTACCAAGGACTGGTCCATCTTCCAGAGCAACCTGGTCGATTACGGTTTCGATGAGCCTAGCCGTCAGCTCCCTGGCTGCTCCGCCGGCCACCCTTACGCGAAGGAGTGGAAGATGACAGACTCCATGATGAAGGCCTACGATGCTGTCCGCGGCTCCATGAGGGATGCGAGCGACCCACTGCGATCTTGGATGGAGGTGAAGGCTTTCGAGTCTGCTCTAAGAGCTAAGAGAGACGGTGCCAAGGTTGCGGTTAACGGCCCGTCTTGCCAACATGATGAGAAACCCGACGTCAAGGGAAAAGGAAGAGCTGTTGATGGTGGTGGTTTTGCTCACAGCCAGCCTTGTGGGAATTCCGAGAGCAAGGGGAAGGAAATGGCCGTCGACGGTGGCTGCTTTGCACCCGGCGAATCCCAGAAGTGAGTCTCTTTCCGAGGACGTACCCTCTTACTTGTCATCCTCCTAACCATAAATCTCCCTAGAGCTTCCAAGACGCAGTCGTCTCCTGTCAAGGGAACCGAGACTCCAGGCTTGCACACTGAGCTGGAGCGAGAGACGGATGACTATGTCAAGTGAGTTTTCATGTGACGAGTTGTTCAATTCATACTCATGACTGACTGTATCTAGGATGCTCGATGACACTCATCTGCTATCTCACGAGTATGCCCCGGATACGGCGGACAGGAAGGCAGCCTACAATGTCCCTCGACCCAACTACCTCCACGTCGTGCCCGACTTTGAGGGCTTCAGATTCGAGGATTACCTCCCTCAGGTCGCTGAGGCCTCTGGGCCCTCTTTCGAGGGGCTGCTCCCCTACAAGCTGCCCTACGACCCGGACCGCAACTTTGGTAAGTCTGGCTCAGGTCCTTGTTTGCGCCGATACTGACACATGTTAGTCGAGGACTACGGTATCTCGGACGATGAGGGTGATCCCGCGTCTGGAAGAATCTCTCCTTGTACTTTCCGCCTTCTTGCCGAGGGCTGTGCCGAGCAGAACACTGACGGCAAAATCTTCCCGGAAGATGTAAGTTGTACTAGATCACCTTTCCAAGCAACCCAATGCTAAACAAATCATAGGCTCGGCGTATGCGTCCCGCGACTGCCATGGACGATGGCCCTCCTAAAGTGAAAGCCCCTGACCGTCTCAGAATGGAGTTCGAGACCCAGAGAGACATCAACGACAATGGCTATCTCACGCCCTGCTACTCTCTTGATTCTGAGCCTTCTATCCTCTACCTACCTGCTGGTAACTAGCACAACAACGGCCCTCTCATGCCACAAATCACTGACTCTAGCATAGGCGTGACCTTGCAGCACAAGATGCGCAACTGGTGGTTCGGCCTCTTCGACCGCATGAACCCCGAAGTCGGACGTAACTTCCGCAAGATTGAGTATCATGAACAGGGCGACCCCCCAATCGCGCCCCCCGCGCCCGTCACCGACGACTCTATAGCCACTGCCGAGCCCGGCGCCATCTATGCCGAACACTACACCCACTCTGAGATCGAAGAGATCCTCAAGACCCCCGGCGCCCGCAAGGTTGCCGGCGTCGAGGCGGCGAGCGCGGCTAACCTCATCACGCAGCGCCAGAAGACCATCCTCCGCTGGAAAACCCGGGACGAGGAAGTCACCCGCGAGAACGCCGTTCTGCGCGACGACGTCGGCCGGGCTCAGAAGGAGCTGCGCGAGATGCGCCTATCTGTTGATCACGTCTTGGCACAGAGGGCCGCCAAGGAGCGCGCCGATCGGGAGCGTGCCGCGCGGGAGCTCAGAGAAGCTTGGGAACGTAAGGCCGCCTGGGAGAAGGCCGAGAAGGAGAGAAAGGCCGCGGAAGAGCTCGCCGAGAAGGAGCGCAAGGCTGCCGAAGAGCGTGCCGAGCGAGAGCGCAAAGCTGCCGAGGAGCGCGCCGAGCAGGAGAGAAAGGCTGCCGAGGAGCTCGCCAAGCGCCTGAAGCATGAGAAGCGCGTGCTGCGCCGTGTGTCTGCGCACTTGCACGACTTGCGTTACGAGGTCCAGGCCAAGTTCCACTCCCTCAAGGACGCCGAGGAGGAGAATGAGAAGATGAAGAGTGAGCTGATTCGGGTCAAGACTCGGATCAAGGATGAGTGCTCGAGAGCCAACTTGGCGAGTCCCGAGGAGGTTCGCCGGGCTGTCTCGCAGAACTTTCGGGACAAGATGGCGGCTTTGGACCTTACTGGTTGATCTTGAGGTGATCGTCTAGTGAAAAATGTTCTGCAGCACAGTCAGTTGTGCTTGTGGTATTCTCGCTTTTATCCTGCTGCGTTTGGCATGGTTCTTCAGTGAAATGTTGCTGATGGGTAAGTTCTGGGATTCAAATCATGATCAGTTCGTCTGGCTTACGACAACACTAGGACAAACCCTGAGAAGGGAAGACGATCGACAGGGCAGAACATCACACATCTCGCTTAGTCGACTTCGAATTGCTACGTTGCTGTCGGGGACTATCAAGGTCCAAGCTGTGGTTGACTCCTCTCCCCATATGGCTGTTGCAACCGGTGGTGAGCAGACTATTCTCGACGACTATGATTGCTTTGAATCACCGGGGTCGACTTCTCGGCTTTCTCATAAGTTTCCTATGAGCAAACAATTAGGTACTGCCAAGCTACTATCATCAGTATCGAGTGGGACCATTGACTAACACTACGGCGCAGGTCGGGGAAGCCAACAATCCTTGACGAGAGCTTCTCGATTTTGTTCTCCCTTTCAGATTGCTTTCCACGAACGATGCTTTGGGTCAGGATGTGGTCACTGTTTGAGTACGATACTCTATGACGAGATAACTGGAAGATGTAAGATTTGCCTGAGTGCCGAGGGCGGCCTTACGGCAGTGTCAGTGTAAATAGGATGTGTCAAAGTATTACGTTCAACCTTGACCGAGCGTAAATGCAAAGACCGGGATGTGATTATGCGTGTGTGATTAAGACACAGGGAGATTGAAATCTCCTAGACGGTATGATTAAATTGTACCAGAGCTTTGAGAAGAATCGTCAGACCCCGAAACCCCTATTCGGGGTCTATTGTATACACAAACTTATCCAGATTCTATCCGTTTCTTCTTTTCATCCAGCAAAAAGGCCTTCCCATTTGCGGCACCCTTACATTTTTTTCCGCCATGCTATTGTCACATCATGAGAGGAGCATTATACACCGACCGGAACGCCCAGTTCGCTGTTCCGGGAATCGAGAGAATATCGTAGAACATAATGGTACAAGGGGGCTTGTAAGTCGCCGATGCCTCCAGCGGTCAGCCGACTAGCCCCATGATTTTTAGAACAAGATCTTCGTAGAGATCGGAAATTGTATGAAAGATGTCGAGACATCAGTCTTTCTAAGCGTTCTTCACGACGCCGACCTTGGCAGCGCGCATCACGCGGCCGTTGAGCTTGAAGCCCTTCTGCTGGACGTGGAAGACGGTGTTGTCCTCCTTATCGGGCTGAGGTGCCATGAAGGTGGCGTCGTGCTCGTTGGGGTTGAACTTCTCGCCCTCGGGGTCGAAGCGCTCGATGCCGTGCTTCTTCAGCGTCGACATAAGGATGTCGTCGGTCATCTTGAGACCCTCGTACAGGTTGGCGAGGTCCTTGAGGTCGCCAGACTTCTCCTCGACCTGAAGCTTCTCCTGGGGCACCATGGAGAGGGCGCGGTCGAGGTTGTCGATGCTGTCAATGAGGTCCTTTGAGAACTTCTGCAGGGCGAAGTCGCGCGCCTGCTTGACCTCGCGTTGTGTGCGGTCCTGGAGGTTACGGAAGTCGGCGACGGTGCGAAGGCACTTGTCCTGGAAGAGCTGCATGTTAGAACTGGGTCTCGAAACTCGGTCGCCGAGATCGGGGGGAGACAGAATGCGAACGAACCTTCCAGTCGGCAGCCTCCTTCTCCTTGGTCTCCAGCTGCTTCTTCAGGGCAGACTCGGCATCATCAGCGGGCTTCTCGCCCTCCTTGGTGGCCTCGGTATTCTCCTTGGCGTCGCTGTACCATCTCGCAACGGAGGGTTGCGCGGCTCGTATCCTGAAGGCAGGGGAGCTCTGGAACTGATTTTGGAAGACAGACTTGGGGGTCTGGGTGCGCATGCCGGTGCGCACTGCGCGAGAAGAGGTAGCAATAGCTTGTCTGAACATTGTGGCGGTTGTGGAGTTTGAGAGAAAGACTCGGGAGGGCGAAAGCGTGGTTGGATTCGAGGAAGCGATGTAGGGACTGGTCGCGTGCACGGAGAAGCTTTTAGAAGAAAATGAAATTTTATCGGAATGGCCCCAAGTGACGAATTGCCGTCCCTTGAACCCCCGGCCATGCGGGAAAGTTCGCGCCCAATCATAAGATTCCAGAGAGCTCCATCCGGGGGCGGATGAATTGAGGGACCGCTCAGAGCTTTATCGATAACACTAGCTCCAAGGCAAGAACAACGCGCTTTCAGCAGGCGCCAGGCACGGTCGCTGCACCTTCCAATTGGTAATTGAGTGGCACCTGAGGCGGCGGCTTGTGTTCTCTTTGCCTCTGGTCGCAAAAATATCCATTCAGCCTCCCCTCCACATGAACACGATCGCCAACTTCCACCCATTCAACCCACCTGCGACCCACGATAATTACGATTGCCAAGGCGCTCTTGCTTCCCATACACATCGAATCGAAAACTTTTGCCGCAGAACAATCCGAATTGCTTCTCCGAAACTTCGACCGAGCTACCACTGAAAGGAGAAAGGCGGCGCGATGGATTACGAGCCGATGCTGCTGGATGGCGAGTCTGGAGGACCATCGATCAAGATCTCAGGGGTACTACTTTCTCAATGACACTTAGCTTGTGGCTCTAAAACTGACAGCCCGGCGTCTCGTTAGGCTGATAATATCCACGTCAACTTTGATCTCTCGAACTGCGACCTCTCCTTCGCCAACTCGCTGCGTCGTGTCATCCAAGCCGAAGTCCCGGTGATCGCTATCGACCTGGTCGAAATCGAGGCCAACACATCTGTCCTTGCCGACGAGTTCATTGCCCATCGCCTGGGTTTGATTCCCCTCCAATCCAAGGACGTCAACAGCTTGCTTTACACCCGAGACTGTGACTGCGAGCAGTACTGCGACAACTGCAGCGTAAAGCTCACGCTGCATGCGCGATGCTCTTCAGACGAGACCATGAAGGTCTACGCCAGCGACCTCATTGCCGATAGCTTCAGACAGAACGGCACCGTGGGCAACCCTGTTATCCTCGACCCTGAAGGACAAGGCTCTTTGATTTGCAAGCTGCGCAAAGGGCAGGAACTCAAAATATCATGCATCGCGAAGAAGGGCATCGCAAAGGAGCACGCAAAATGGATGCCGACGTCTGCCGTTGGGTTTGAATACGACCCCCATAACAAGCTGCACCACTTGGACATGTGGTTTGAAGAAGATGCCAAGGCTGAATGGTGAGTAATGCGAATGACATGCTCCTTGAGGGTGAGAGATGGCTAAACTGTAGTAAAGGCCCGAGAACAAGTACGCCAAGATGGAGGACCCCCCACAAGAAGGCGAAGCCTTCGACTACGACGCGCTTCCCGGCAAGTTCTACTTTGAGGTCGAAGGTGTAGGCAGTCTGGAGCCGGATCAGATTATCCAGGAGGGAATCAAGATTTTGCAAGAGAAGCTGGCCCTCACGCTCCACATCCTCACAGGCGAGGCAGACGACGATGGCATGGGCGACTTTGATGGACCTCGCAGCCCCAACCTGGACATGGACGGTGGCAACCCCTGGCAAGACCAAGGCTACACCACTCCTTTCAATGGGGGCAACCAGACCTCGTGGGGAGGCAATGCAACGACACCCTATACCACCACTACCCCTTACGGCGCCTCCGGACAGTCTGGATGGAACTGAGAGAGAACGACAAGCACAAAATCATAAAAAGGCGTTTATGTATGAAAACCACTTTGAGACATGGGGGCGGTAATGGAGTTTGCGAGTTTTTGCAACGAAGCTAGCTTGGCCATCAGCTGGTTAAATTGGCCCAAGTGGAGGGAGATGGAGGTTGCCTTGCGACGCGCGAAACGGATCAAGCACGCACAATAAGATGCACTCCGCAGCGGCAAGAGGTGGTAGGCCTCTCAGCGTCCTGACGATTAGTTAGACCTGGACCCAGACTGGCTTCCATTCGCTTATAGACACCCGTGACAGGGGATGACGACGGTAGAGCAATCGCGAAAGCAGAAAAAAGCCTGTTAAATATAAGGGCGAAGTGAGGTAGGCGGGGCTTGATTTCGGCCGAGAAGGTGCGCCTTTTCCCGGATATCTATAATACAACTCACACAGAAACCTCACATGAAGCGAACATTGGATTGCTGCAAAGAAAACCAACTCTTTCTTTTTTTCCTGTATATACCCTCCGTGACTCCTGTCAAATGCAGCAGAGTTGCCTCTTTTCCAACGCCTCCAAACATGCCAAGATGGTACTAGTGATGATGATGCAGCACCAGTCTATGTATCTAAATGCTCATTCTATAACACAACACAAGCCTTTTTTGTGTATCTATTACCCCTTGATGGACGCATCTTCACCGTTGCCGATGTCGGCGACCTTTCTATAGACATTGCGGTGCATTTCTAGGAAGACAAATGTACAGATGGTTTGTCTAGACGGGGGTTAGTAAAGCGTACAAGATATTCATCATACGAGCAAGCGGGGGGTAAGAACGTACGGTCCGAGGCGGAGGAAACTGGGCACCCAGCCCTTGAACATCCACCCAAGGCCCTCGGCCTTGTAAATCTTGGCCAGGGTATGCACCAGCCCCTCCTGGGTGCTCGCCGACATGACCCGCGTCTTGATGACATCAATGGGGCTCGTCACCGTAGCGGCCACAGCACCAGCGAGGAACGAGGCCGTAAAGTGCGTCGTCAGGTTATCCCCCATGGGCGTGTGGCGGATGAGCATACCCTTGAAGGTATCATACGACGCAAGCTGCGAGGCCGTCATGGCCGCGGCGCGCATGCTATTGGGCAGGACGCCCCTGAACCAACTCATGATGCCTTCCTCGCGCGCCATGCGGAGCATGCCCTCGAGGGCGTGGCTGTAGTTGCGACGCTCGGCGGCGGGGAGGGCGGCGTCCTGCTGCATGCGGACGTTGAGGACGTCGGCGGCGTTTCCCGAGATGCCGCCAACGAAGCCCGCGGCCGAGGCCATGGCGACGAGGACGGGGAAGGAAGGGGGTTTGCCGTCGTTTGCGCGGGTGGCGCGGATCTTCATCTCCTCGTAGGCGCCGAAGCGGACGGTGGAGTAGGTCATTTGGCGGAGGAGGGAGGCCGAGAGGCCGTTGTAGAGGCCTGTTATGCCGTGGTTGCGGATGATGTGGGTGAAGGTGCCGACCATGTTCTTTGGCGCGTCGGGGCGGCGGACCTGGAGGCGGACCTAGATGGGGTGGTGGCATCGTGTAAGTAAGTAAGTCTTGCTTTGGGAGCTACGTAGAACAGTAGTTGTGTGCTACGTCTTGGAAGAGCTTGAGTTTGCTATCATGGATCGAGGGGTTTGTTTCCCGGTGTATTCTTGGAGTGGGAGCGCATTACCTTTACTGTGAGACATTGTCAGCTCTTGGCTCGCTCAAACATGTGCGATATCGCAGGCTCTCGCGCCCATATCGCGAGATCATTGTTGGCAGAACTTACCCAAATCCAGGGGATGGGTCACGCAGGCGGCCATGCTACTGGCGCTGCCTCCGAACCAGAAGGGATACCGCAGCGACGGTTCCACCGTCTTCTTTTGCTTCTGAGGCGCCGGCGTCGTCGTTGTCGCCGTCGTCGTAGCCGTCGGTTGCGCTTGCGACTGCGGCTTCTCCTGGACCTCCTCGAGCTGCCCCATCTTCCGCGGTGACGGCTGCGACGACGGCGACGACCCCGACGGCCCTGACGGCTCGTTGGCCGGTTTAC